ATAGGGAGTTCTACAAGCAAATGGAAAAGAAAGAAATAAGAGCAGTATAATAGATTGTGTCACTGGTGCGAAGAAAATAAAGCTTAAAATGAGTTGACTGAGAACCTGATAGAAATGGCCTACTATATGATGTGGTTTTCAGGATTCACTGCTTAAATGAAGTTAAATTAGTCATGAAGGTGAAAAAGCAATTTAAGCTAATAGGGCATGCAAGTCAGATGAAAATGCAACTTTGGTCAAGTTCCACTTTTTATCTTCAAAAAAAGTGGTTTAATTAAGCTAAGTGTTCAAAGGAATAAGTTTACTAGATTTGTTACCTGTATACATTAGTCAGTGTGATGACATGGTGAATGGAAAGCACTGAATTCAGAAACACAAATTCTAATCCAAACCATCTATTATTTTAATTGTACAACCACTCAGTCATCTAATAGGGTAGAGAGATTTGTAAACAGATAAATTACCAGAGTGTTGGTAATTGCTATACTGAATGTGATCAGAAGCGATTAGGCAAATAATTTGACCATTTGGGGGCTCATTTTCTTCACTGTAAAAAATGATTGTTTAAAACCTCAGACTTAATGTTGCCAACCTCTCATACAACCCTAAATTTTATTCATGTTATTGTAAATTGTTCATGTTATTGCCTTTAAAATACTTTTCTTTAAAAATTTCATTACAGGCGCGCAGACTTCTCCTGCCGCGCCCACTGCTCCCCTCAGCAGGGTACTTCGTCAATCTGCCTGCTCTGTTCCCTGCTCTGGCTCTGGTGAATTCTCTCACCCTCCCACGCTTCTGACTATACCCAGTGCTTGTATAAATAAATAAATAAATCTTTAAAATTTTAATTACATAGTATACTATCTTTAAAAATGTCCCCATACTTCTATCATGATGGCTCATGGGTGATGAGGTGGAATGTTTATGGAGATTTATTCATTTATTTTATAAAAATGAATAACAATGTATGAACAATAAATAAAAATGTTCCCCATACACTGAGGCTGTCAATGAGTAGTGTGTATTTTCATCCATTGAGTGCTCTACACCCTTTGGAGAATATATTTTGAAATATGTATTAGTTTCCTGAACTGCTTTTTCTGCCATTTTTTTACATTATTACTACTTTAATATTCATAGCCATGTTCATAGTAGCACACAATGCACATTAACAGAAGGATGAATAGCAGTGTTTACACAATAGAATATTATGCAACAGTGAAAATCAACTGCAGCCTCTTGCAACAACCATGGCTTTTGTTGTGTTTTGGATTTTTTTCTTAAATGATACTTAATTTTTTTCAAATCAGAGCATATTAACTTATGCAGGGTATATATTTTATTTAAATGTAATGGATTTGATATAACTTAAAAGATAATTACTGTGTTGTAGAATTATTCCCAATCTCTTATGTATCATGAATGTGTTTAAGTAGGCAACTTTGGTTATGATTTGTCAGTTGTTTACATAACTATAATTTTGGGAGTAGAACTTCATATTTCTATATATATTCATGCTTCACTTACCATACACCAAAGCACCAGTGCCCTAGTACCTACCTTCCTTTTTTCCCGCCTCCATCTGCATAGTCCCCTCTGTGCATTGGTTTTCTTCCATTATTTATATTCTGAAAATGAGTGATGAAACAATCCAGTAATAGTCTTTTACTTTCTGACTCGTTTCACTTGGCATAATCATGTCCAGATCCATCTGCTTTCTCCCAGAAGGCACTATGTAATCTTTTTTTTTTTTTTTTTTGAATAGCTGGGTTGTATTTCAATGAGTATATATTCCATAATTTCTATATTCACTGTCAGTGATGGGCATTTCGGCTGGTTTTATGATTGGCTATTGTGAATAATGCTGCTGTGAATATAGTAGTGCATGAATATTTTTTTATTAGTGTTTTCATATTCTTGAGTAATTACCTAGCAGGGTATTACTGGATCGTGTGGTATTTCCTTTGTGTTTTTTTTTTTTTTTTGTTTGTTTTGTTTGTTTTGAGGAATCTATGCCATTTTCTATAGCAGCTGCACCAAATCACATCCCCACCAATGCTGGATGGGTGTTCCTTTTTCTCCAGATCCCTGTCAGCGTTTATTGTTTTGTCTTTTTGATACAGGCTATTCTCACAGGGGTGAGGTGATGTGTCTTTGTGGTTCCTTTATGTGATGTTGAGTGTATTTTCATGTGCCTGTAACTCCATCTGAATGTTTTCTTTGGAGAAATGTCTATTTAGGTATTTAGTCCATTTTTCCATTGGGTTATTTGTTTCTTATTCTTGATGAGTTGAATGAGTTCTTTATGTTTTGGAAATTTAGCCCTGGTCTGACATCTCATGTGTGAGTATCTTCTCTGAGTCTCTGTAGGTTGCCCTTTTGTTTTTTGGTTTTTAAGATTTATTTATTTATGCATTCAAGAGCTGGGGTACAGGCGAGAGGTGTGTGTGTTGGGGGGTGGTGAGAGGATTCACCAGAGACAGAGTGGGGAACAGAACAGGCAGATTGACTGAAGTACACAGCTGAGGAGAGCAGCCGGCAAGCCAGGAAACGTCTGCTGAGCCATATGGGTTGCTTCCTGGCCGCTGGGGAGGGAACTCGTGCTGCAGAGTTTGTGGATAGCTTCATAGGTTGCATCTTAACCCCTTGTGCCACCAGGGAGGCCCACCCTTTTGTTTTAATGGCACTTTAAATCATGGTACAAAAGTTTTTTAGTTTGACATAGTCCCATTTGTTTATTTTAGTTTTTATTTCCTTTGCCATTGAGTTGTATCCTCAAATATATTTCTGTGGTTAATGTCCAAGAGTGCATCACCTATGTTTTCTTTTATCTTTTATGGTTCCACATCCCACATCTGAATCTTCAATTTTTTAAATTAATTTTTGTGTGTTGAGTTAAATAATGATCTTATTTCATTTTTTTGATTGTGACTGTCCAAGTTTCCCAATACCTTTTGTTAAATAGGCTTTCCTTCCTTCAGTGCATGGTCATAGCTCCTTTGTCAAGGATTAGTTGTCTTAGTAGTGTGAGTTTATTTCTAGGCTCTCTGTTCTGTTTGTCTGTGTTTTCCTTTTGTTCCAATACCATGCTGCTTTTATTACTATCACTGTGTGGTTTAGTTTGCAGTTAGGGAATATGATACCCCCATTTTTCTTCTTTTATCTCAGGATTGCTTTGGCTATTTGAGTTTTTTGTGGTTCCATGAAAATTTTATAATTGCTCTATTTCCTTGAAAAATGTTATTGTGATTTTGGTAGATATTACATTAAACCTAAAAATTGCTTTATGTAATATGACCTTTTTAACAGTGTTTATTCTTGCAATCCATGAACATGAGATAGCTTTCATTTCTTTGTGTTTTTTATTTCCTTTGACAGTATCTTACAGTTTTCAGTATATAGGTTTGTCACCTCCTTTGTTAAATTTATTCCCAGGTATTTCATCCTTTTTATACCATTATAAATAGGATTATTTTCTTAATTTCTTTTTCTTCTAATTCTTTGTTTGCTTATATAAGCACAGCAGGTTTTTGTGTATTGATCGTAGATCCTGCCAGTTGACTGTGTTCATTCATCACTTCTAATAGGGTTTTTTTTGGTAGAATCTTTCAGCTTTTCTATTACCATGTCATCTGTGAATAATGATAGTTTCATTTAGTTTCTGACTTGGATTCCTTTTATGTCTTTTTCTTGCCTGATTGTGCTGGCTAGAACTTCAGTACAGTGTTGAAGAGCAGTGGTGAGAGTGGACATCCTTATATGTACTGATCTTAGGGGAAATACTTTCAGTTTTTCACCATCAAGTATGATGTTGACTGTGGGCTTGTCATATATGGTGATTATTGTTATTATGTTGAGACAATTTCCTTTTATTCCAATTGTATTGACTTTTTAAAACTCATAAATGGGCACTGAATCTTGTTAAATGCTTTTCTTCAAAAGCATCTACTGAGATGATCATGTGTTATTATCTTTCATTTTGTTGACATGATGAATGACATTGATAGAATTGTGTGATAAATCATACTTGCATCTCTGGACTAAATCCCATTTGGTCATGATGAATTGATACTCTTACTTGATTACTGGGCTTAGTTTTCCAAGATTTCATTGAGACCTTTTACATCTGTGTTCATCTGAGATAATTATTTATAGTTTTCTTTTTTTGAGCTGTTATTTAGTTTTGAGATCAAGTTAATGTTGGCCTCATAAAATGTGTCTGGGAGCTTTCTCTTTAGGTTTCTTTCTTTTTTTTTTGAAGTTTGAGAAAGATAGGTTATTAGATCCTCTTTAAAGGTGGTAGAGTTGACTAGTGTAGCCATCTGGTTCTGGGCTTTTGTTCTCAGAAAGACTTATACTTACTCTTTAGATTTTTGTACTTGTGATTGTTCTGTTCAAATTATATTTAATCTTGGCTTAATCTTGGTTGTATGATTCTAAAAATTTGTTCCTTTACCTAGATTGTCCAGTTTGCTTGCATATACACTATTATGATCCTTTATATTTCTGTAGTATCTTTTGTAATTTTACCTCTTTCATTTTCTGCCATTTTTCTTGAAGTAAAGACTCATTCACCTTTTACTAACATTATAGTAAACATTTAAATTACATATATAGTGACAAAGGGATGCAAGTAAATTCTGTGAATCTGGTCATTAAAATGTAAATTTTACAGAGGCTAGTGGCTTCTTAGAAATGGTAAAGGAAAATGAAGGTAAAGATTATTAGACTTTCATGACCGAGTAACCAGTCATCTTCCTAAAGCATAGACAAAGACAGATTGTCAAAAGTGCTCATTATATCTGAATCTCTGGGAGCACGTTATAAGCATGTATGGTGCATGTGGCTAGGAAAAAGGTTGAGAACTTTGGTCATTACATTCACATCTGTATTCATAAGTCAGACTATACTCTTGAGTGCAAGCCATGTTTAAAAAATGTTTATTTGTTTAATTAGATGAAACAAACCTACATTTTAATTACCTTGTTTTTTGTTTATAGGTCCAAGGACAAGTTCATCCTACTCTTGAGTCTAGTGATGATGCTCTTCAGTATGTTGAAGAATTAATTTTGCAGTTATTAAATATGTTATGCCAAGCTCAGCCCCGGAGTGTTGCAGATGTAGAGGTATGATAAATTTTGCCTTTTGTTAACTTTATATACCTCTAATATGTATGCTTACTGTAATGTTAGTTAAGGGGGAAAGAATTTACTCTTCATATATATGTATTCATATATATGTATATGGTATTTAAAAAATGAAGACTCAATTTATTTTCACTTTGTATTGGTGTCTGAAGTTTGTGTATATTTTATCTGTGAAACTAGTCTATATAATTTGTTTTATCTAAAATTAACTTTTATTGGCCTCTAACTCTACACACTACTCTTTGATGCTAGAATTATAAATATATATGCTCAGACCTTTAAGGGTAAAATATGTCCAGGTGTTTGTTTTTCAAAGCCAGATACTGTTTCAAAAATATTCCAGGTACTCTTTTTGATTTTCAGTTGTTAATGTATTTTAGATAGTAAGTGACTCCTTCTCACTAATTGGAGGGAGAGAAACATCTAAAATCTAAGAAAAAAGTTCTATAATCTGTTATAAAGATGATATGGCCTCTGTCTTTTTAGGGCTTATAGTTTAGTGAGGAGATAGGTATATGAGCAATACATAATGTGATTTACTATCAGTAAAGTACATGGGAAACCGTATGAGGAGTAAAGTAACATAGGCTTGGGGTTTAGGGTTAGCTTTTTGGAAGAAGTAGCATCTAAATTTGCATTCTGAAGGAATCAAAAGTTTGAGAGGAGTAGAAAGTTTGCAGTACCAAATATAGAAAGTGGGCAATAGATCTGGAAAATATAACAGGAGTTTTCAGCAGAGATGAAGGATCATTTCACTTCAATAACTTGTATGAATAGCAATACAGACCTTTGGTTTCTGTGACATTTCTTTTGTAGTATTCAAGTGTGAGCACGAAAAAGATAGTTGACTTGAATGATATTTCACCATGGCTGTGCAGTGGCAGACTAGTAGGACAGGAATTGTGGAAATTGGAAATAATGGTACTTTACAAACCTTTTCAAGGCATGACACACATAAAATGTAATAATGATTTTATAGCACACAGTGACAAGGGGGGAGGAGCAGTATCTATGTACTCCAGGTCCTGCCCCTTTACTTGGAGAGCTAAGGAATTGATATATAGTCCAATGAGAAACTGCTGAAGAGATACCAGATAATCTACTTGGATAAGAAAAAAATAAAATATGATAATAGCTGCCATTTGAGAGCTTGCTATGATGATGGTGGTGGTGGTGGTGGTGGTCTGGTCTAAATACTTTGGTGTTCTGTATTTCATGTATAGCTCGTAATAACCCTGTGATGATGGTTCCCCTTTCCCCCTTACTATAATATAAGCTCTAGTGGTTTTATTTTTCTTGTTCACTACTGAATCCCCAACAGCTAGAACAATGTCTGGCACTGAGAAGTCACTCAGGAAATATATGCTGAATGAATAAATGTGAAATCTGAAGCACCAGTAGGTTAACTACGTTGTTCAAGGTCACAGCTAACAAGTAGTGAAGGCAAGACTGTAACCCAGGAAGTCTAATAAGCTTTTTGGGCAAGCATTCCACTAAATTATACTGACAGGGAAGAGCAGGCAGGTAAATTTTTAGAAAATGGAGGGAACATGGTATTGGATTTCCCGGTAAGGTCAGAGAACTGATAACACGAGAATACCCAAGTGAAATAAAAGAGTAGATTGGGAGTAGACAGAATTGTTGGAATTTAGGATTTATGCAGAAATGTAGATACAAAGTAGAATGTGGTGGCTAGACTATAGGTAAAGGTCCCTGAGATGAGGTTTTCTGGGAATTAAGAGATCAGGGTATTTTATGTGTTCTTAATATAGACAATACAGTCATAAAGGATGGTGGCAGGACTTAAAGTCCTGCTGATTAGTGGAAAAGATGGTAAATCTACCCTCTTGTGGGTGTGGGACAAGGACAATCCTGCTCCAGCTTCTTTATGGGAGAGCCACATTTCAGTTGAGGCAAAGAGATATTAAGGAACATTGAATTACAGAGGTCACAGATGTAGAAAAAATTGTGTACTATGGAACAATAATTCGCTGTGATTTTTTAAAAAGTAATTCAAAGTAGATTTCATACATTTTTTTTAAAGATTTATTTATTTATTTATACAAGTACTGGGTACAGTCAGAAGCGTGGGAGGGTGAGAGAATTCACCAGAGCCAGAGCGGGGAGCAGAGCAGGCAGAAGGACCGAAGTACACTGCTGAGGGGAGCAGCGGGCGGCAGGAGAGGTCTGCACGCCATGTGGGACCCTCCTCCGGTGGCCGGGGAGCAGCCAGGGATCAAACTGGGTTGGCGCAGATTTCATACATTTTTATCCCATTTTGCCACTGAAGTAGAAATTCAGATATATTTTATTCATAATCTCCATTAAGCTCTTTTGGGCTGCACAGACTATATCTTAAATAGAACTGTTTGCTTGATTCTCTTCATTAACAATTCCAGTTATTCTTTTGGATCCTATTTAGGTTCTCCTATAGTGTTTATAAAATACAGAACCTAACCCTGTCTCTGCCCTATCTATATTATTAGAATGGGCTTACATTTCTCTTCTTGCTTACATCCTGATGTTAGTATATTCTAAACATTGACTAGATTGATACCATTACAAATTCAAATTCAGTAATTTCCAGATAGTTGTGTTATATACCTATGTTTATCTAATCTCCTTTCAATTAGTAGAGGAACTAGTGAATAATTCTCCTATTTTTTTAAAGATTTATTTATTTATTTTTTTTTTGTGCAAGCACTGGGTACAGTCAGAAGCGCGGGAGGGTGAGAGAATTCACCAGAGCCAGAGTGGGAAGCAGAACAGGCAGAAGGACCGAAGTACACTGCTGAGGGGAGCAGTGGGCGGCAGGAGAGGTCTGCGCGCCATGTGGGACCCTCCTTTGGTGGCCGGGGAGCAGCCGGGGATTGAACCGGCGCTGCAGAGGCTGTGGGCAGCTTCGCAACCCAGTCCTCAACCGCTGAGCCACCGGGGGGGGGCCCAGTTCTCCTATTTTGAAGGGGATTTCCATGAATTCTCAAAAATCATTAGCCTCTCAGTAATCCACTTGCACAGGCCTAATTAGTATGGAGGAACTCAAGACTCTAAATAATATAAGATGTTTTTCTCAGCTTTTTAATACTCACTTGGGAAGAGAACGTCTGCAATATCAGAGATACTTACTCTCTGCCCTCTCTTGATATTTTTAAGCATCTAATCTTGGTCCTTAAATGGAATATAGCCATGTGATGTTTCAGTGAGTTGACTTTGGGGTTGGGAATCGACTTTTAGAAATAGAATATGTGACAATAATGGAAATAGCAATTGGTTGTATTATAGACTTTGTAATTTCAAAGTTATTTATGACTTTACAACTACCCTGTGTCATTATTATTCTACTTATTTATAAAGTAGTATAAATATTCTACTAATATTTATAAATATTAGAATGGTAGAACAGATGGAACACAATGAAACCTGAGTCTTTTCAAATCAGTAGTCAATACCCTTGTTCCTATATAATTCCTGGAAGGATATTTAGATGAGAATATGGAGATGATTATAATGCTGAGATAGAATCATTCATTAGGAGATAACTCTTATTTTTTTCATTCACTAGAATTCTTTATTTCTTTGATACATTTCATTATTACACTTCATTGATTCCACACATATGAAGCTTTCTTTTAAATAATAAGGGTCATGAATTTAATAAGGTCTTCAAGGTATTTGAGGTAAGAGATAATTCATCAAAATTTAAAAAAATTGTTTTGAGGGCCACATATAATGTACTTAAAAAGTAGATCATTTGAATTGTAACTTTTTAATCTTTCTAAAAATACATTTTGATTACTTTAAAGCAGAAGCATAATTCAAGGTTTGATGTCAATTTTGCTTAATATTTCGCATCTAGGGGAGTCATTTTAATGAGAAACTAAGAGTAATTTTAAATTGTCCTGTAGTTTTTGGAAAATATGTGCTTCAAAAGTACTTAAAAACTGATAAATTACATACATGACCCTAATCATGTGTATGCTAATTTTTAAGTTTAATAAATTACATTACAGTTCATCACACTATCATAGTCCAAATAATAAGGTTTTGTTTTATTGATGTAGCTAATACTTACTAGTCTATGCCACCAATATGATTGTCTGTTATTTGTTAGGCAGTTTTCCAAATGAATAAGGAGGTGTATGTGTGTGTGTGTGTGTGTGTGTATAAATGTCCTGGGAATGCAGAGGCGTGAAGTATATTATTTGGCTCTGTCTTTTCAGAATAATTTAAGTTCTAAAGGATAGTATATAAAAATAACTACATATCCTTCTGACTTATTTCACTGAACATAATCCCCCAGCTCCATCCATGTTGCTGTGAATGACACAAGTTCATCATTTTTGATTGCGAGTAGTATTCCATTGTGTATATATACCACAGCTTCTTGATCCATTCTTCTGTTTTTGGGCATTTAAGTTGTTTCCATATCTTAGCTATTGTAAATAGTGCTGCAGTAAACGTGGGAGTGCAGGTTTCCTTTCGAATGAATGTTTTGTGTCCTTTGGGTAGATTCCTAGGAGTGGCATTGCTGGGTCATATGGTAGCTCCATTGCTAGTAATTTGAGGGTCCGTTTTCCACACAGCTTTCCATGTAATTGGAACAGTTTGCATTCCCACTAGCAGTGTAATAGGGTTCCTTTTTCTCTACATCCATAGGCAAATCTTAAACCTAGCTTTATATTTCACTAATTTTTTTCCCTAAGTCTCTATATATTAATCACTATAAAAACTCTCTCATTTCAAACAAATGAAATTACTGATCTTTATTGAAAGTAGTAGAGTAATGGACTTCAAATATGTGACTCTTTCATTGTTATTTCTCTTTGGACTGCTTTACTTTTAAAATATTTATGAAATAATTGTAAAAAAGATCTAATTTTGCTATAAAATTATAATTAACATTGCTATTAAGAGATAAAGTTATTTCTTTCAACTTGACCTTTCCACCTTCAAATCACCTTTTGTGATTCTTCCAAACTTCTCCCATGCCTTAATGCTTTCTTGTTACCTCCTAAATATAGAGTTGGTAATTTGATTCCAGTAATACACTGGTAATAAGTAAGTTTAAAATGTGTTTATCGTTGTTATTTTTACTTTCTGTTTCTCATTCCAGATTTTCTTTACCCTTTTTTGTCAAAACAATAGACAATTTTCAAATTGTGTGGATAAAAACTGAGATGGGAAGGGATTGGTGTTCCATTTTCTTTTTGTTCCACCTCAACCCATGCCTCCTGTTTACCTCTAATTTTGCTAGTGATTTTTTTTTTCAGTGACATATGTTAAATATATTTAGAATTGTCAGACTGAGTTCAGCTTCTATTTTTTTAGACTTCAGGTCATCACCCATTAGTAAATCATAGAAGCACTTCAGTGTGTTGCCCAAATGAATAGAAAATATCAATGTGTGGTATATATTAAGGGCAGACTTTGTTTTATGAAATTTTGTTTCAGTTTGGTATGCATGTGCTATATAAGGGTGTAATACAAAAAAGTATTAAGAATTTACTATTTATTACTGTTGAGTTGAGGTTAAAAAAAAAAAGTGGACAAGCCACAGGGCTATTCCATTACTGTTTGTACCATAGTTATACATATTCATTTGATCATGGGTTAATAATAAACCCATTGGGGGCCTCCCCTGGTGGTGCAGTGGTTGAGCGCTGAGCTGCGAAGCTGCCCGCAGCCTCTGCAGCTCCCGTTCCATCCCCGGCCGGGTCCCACATGGCGCGCGGACCTCTCCTGCCGCCCGCTGCTTCCCTCAGCAGTGTATTTCATCAGTCTGTCTGTTCTGCTCCCTGGTGAATTCTCTGGCTCTGGTGAATTCTCTCACCCTCCCGCGCTTCTGCCTGTACCCAGTGCTTGTATAAATAAATAAATAAATCTTTTAAAGTTAATAATAAATAAATCCATTGGTATAAAAATTTTAATTGTTAAAATTAATCATATCTTTTATTGCCACTTTGGATTAAAAAGAAAAGGAAAGAATTTTTGTTTCAGATGAAACAAAACCTTCCCTTTTCTTCCTTTCTTTCTTTTTTCATTGGCTAAATTCCCCCCATATTTTGCACCTTTGTATTGCCTATGTTATTATATGAAAGTATAGTATACTCAAAAATAGCTTTTATAATAGGCATTTGAAAAAGTTTGTAAACTCCATTTTTAACTACAGTTGTTTCTGTCACAATGCTTCCAATATCCAGTAACTGGAATTAAATGATAGTGTCTTATATTAGCAGCTGGGTTAGCCTTGAACATAGATAAAAGTCTTTTTTAATGTATTAGCTTCAATGGATTAAACAATTCTCAGTTTCTAAGTTTGCTTTTAACATGTCTTGAATTAGTATATTACTTTTCTCCCAGAGTATCACAGAGCAATCTATTTTTTATTTTCCATTTTAATAGCATCTGACAAAACTTATAACTTAAATGTATAATCAGGAGTGATGCTTAATTTTAAATGTAGTTTTTACATTTCAGTTAAACACAAATTCAAAATACTTGTCAAAATTATGTAAGAGCGACATCTACTGGTTTTAATTATGGTAGCCTCCAAGTGGATTTAAAGAAAAACAAGAGGATTAAAAGTTAATTTTCCTTAAAGTGAATTGCATTTGTTTATTTAAGTAGGAAATGTAGCTCTTTTGGTTAAGATGTGTTCTTTCCCTTTCAATGGAAATAAATTCTAATCGAATAATTACTGGAATTAAAGTGAAATACTATATTAAAAAACAGTGTTTATAGAGAATTCAAGTTAATGATAAGCTACAGTCTATTAAAAATTGATGTTACCAATGTAAACTATTGATTTCCACGATTTGTAAATAGTTTTGAAGTCAGGTACCTTTGCATGATGTATAAAAAATAAAATCTTTAGAGGTTTTCAGTGCAAAATGCTACTTGAGCTTGTAATTGGTATTGAAAGTAAGGACAAATGAATAAGAATTGGATTTAGATTTCTGCTTCTTAAACTTAGGCCTTATTCTTTGAAATTTTATATAAATGACATTTAAAGTGACTTGTACTCATTCTTGTTATTATCACAGTGAAGTTGAAATTCAGAATGTGATTTTCCCCCATAATACAAGGAATGTGTAATCTCTTAATTGCCTAATTAAGAAACTAATATACTAACAGGTATAGTTTTCTCTTAGCTTAAGTTTGTTTGTAGTATCAATTATACCACTTGTGGAAAGTCTGCTTTTGTATTCTTTGATTTTTAAAAGTAAATTGTAAGTGAAGAACACTAATATATTTGTTGCTTAGTTGTTATTTTCCTATTTTCCAAGGAACGTGTTCAAAAAAGTTTTCCTCATCCAATTGATAAGTGGGCAATAGCTGATGCCCAATCGGCTATTGAAAAGAGGAAGCGAAGAAACCCTTTATCTCTCCCGGTAGAAAAAATTCATCCTTTATTAAAGGTAAAGCTGTAATACTGCCTTCTTGCCTTTTAAAAATAAAATAAACCCATGGTTTTCAAACATTAAGAATTATTTTATGAATGACAGAACCAACTGCAGGGTGAAATTCTCTCATTTAAATTTTTCTAGGAATTAAGGGAGGGATATTATAGTAATAGGAAAGTAGTAAGTATAAATCTGGCTATCTGATTAAATGTAATTTCATATGGGTAGTACTAATCAAGTAAACCAAAAGAACTAAAGTTGTAATTATGTATTTTGTTTATATCAGGTATTCACTAGAACCTCCAAGAGAATTTATTAAGTTCTTTTCCCATTAGATCTAAGTGTCCCTCTATAAAGCACCCTGATGATAATTCTTCACATCATCAGATGTATGGGGGCCTCTCTGAGATTGTCACAGGACTAGGTGTAATCTTAGAACAAAAATTCCCTTACACTATCCAGTTCTTACTTGTCATTTAAATCAGTCAGTTGATAATCCCCATAACTAATAGAAGTTAATAATTGCTAGAAACTCTAAAAATGCTTTTTCCATTTCATAATATAGTGGGCCAACTGTTGATTCTCATGTAAAAAATAGGTATTATAATAAAACCTTAATACTTTTGACATCATTAATTTTGTATGTATGACAATGCAAGCAAAATGCTAATGCCTGCGCATATTATCTCTAAGATTATTTGTCAAAGTTATTATTGCTGCCAGTTTGTAGATAAGGTAATTGAGGCAAACAATGATTAATATCTTTTAGTCCAAGTCACAGGACTTTGAGTGATAGTGTTGGGAAATCCAGGTCTTTTTGATCTGATCCATGATTTAAAACAAAACATTTAATGATGTTTAAGACTGTCAGAGGCTCATGATTTGTACTCAGGTTGTTTGAATAGCAATTTCTGCCCATTTTACTAACTGGTCTGAGAAAATAAGGACAAATTATAGGATATTACTAAACTATTAGTAGTTGTATACTTCTTTATAATTTTTTTTGTGATTTTTTTTTTTTAACTAGCCATATATTCTAAGAGAATTAACAAATTGAGGTATGTGTATGCTGAATTACTGAGCCTCAATTTTGTGTTTTATAATTGTGGACATCATTTCTATTTATTAATATATCCTTATCACTGTATGCACTTAATATCTTTTTTACATATCCTTAAAGGCAAATGCAACCTGTCTCCAATTTATCAATACATTTTTTTATTTCAAAATTGTTTTTTTTCCTTAGTTGCATTGTTTAGAAAATAGAACTTGTTTTCCTATAGGAACTGGTCAGCTCCACAAAAATCCATACTCTGTTTAATGTGTTCTTTATAACTATTGATTAATAGTACATACCTTAATTTTTTCCCCCATAGAAACACTCCAGGTACCAGGAATATGCCACTAGGGTTTTCGGAAGCCCATGGTGCTTTGAAAGCAATAGTGGTATAAAACTAGTAGATATTCCAAGATACCAATAATATATTAATTCTTATTCTTTATCAAGGAATAAAAAAAATACTGTTTTATAATAGTTATTCCCAGGTATTTTGTGTTGATTAGCAATGAATACTTTTCCATTCTCAAACAGTGGCTTCCTTTCTTAAATGAGAAATTATATATTTATTAATCTGTACTTCTTGAATATTTCATATGATCATAGGTAATTTTACCTTATTTTTCTCAGCTTATATTTTCTAATAACAATACATATATTATGCATTGATAAACCACTTGAATTGATTGCTTTTGATAATCACAAACCTCAGTGAAGATAAAAATGAATTGTATACATGCTTTTTATTTTTAATAAGTGTGTTAAATTTATAGTATACAATTTTAAACATGCCTTTCTTTTTTTAAATTTTGCAGGAGGTCCTAGGTTATAAAATTGACCACCAGGTTTCTGTTTACATAGTAGCAGTATTAGAATACATTTCTGCAGACATTTTAAAACTGGTGGGGAATTATGTACGAAATATACGGCATTATGAAATTACAAAGCAAGATATTAAAGTAGCAATGTGTGCTGATAAGGTAGGACACAGCCTTCTATGTTTTGTTCTTAAGTTTTATTCATGATTTATTTATTGGATATTAACATACTATTTAGACTGAATAAAGTTGTATATTATGTGTTAGGAGATATTTCCAGTGATCAGGTAGCAAATATTTAAGATCACTTTCCAAAAATAGAGTATTAGATAACTAGTACTAAAATGTGTTTAAACATGTTGTGTAGTTGTCCTTTTGTGTGTTGCTGCAAGTAGAGTTAGTAGCTACTGTTTTCTTATAAGTGATTTCCTAAAATTTTGTTTGGATTTGAAGACCTAGAAAGTTATTTGCCTGAAAGCAATTTTTGAAAATATAAAAATACTAAACTCTTGGTAATTTTATTTCAACATTTAAGTTTCCTTAGTTACTACTTATATGATTTTACCACAATAATATTAAGAGCTAACATTTATTGAAAGTTAAGCACATATGGAACTCAGTCTCATTTTTGTTCCTTAACATACTCCTTTGCAGTAGATGCTTTTATCTACATTTTATAAAAGGAAAACTGGAGTTCAAAGAGAGAAAGAAATTGGTTGAAAATTACTAATAAGTTTCAAAGTCTAGGCTTGAACTCTAGATCTGTAATCTAAAATTCTAAGTTTTTGCAGTATACTACCTCAATATATTCATTTTATAAAATGATTTTGCAAGGAAGAAAATATTTTCTGATGAAGCATTTCACTCCATTTTATTTTTTTCACTACACTCTTACTCGGGTTTTTTTTTTGTTTACTCAATTATATTTCAGTGTTTATTCTTTCAGAATATGAACATAACGAATAAAAAAGTTACCTAATCTGAAGAAGGATGTTGAATGTTTTGGTGTATTTAAATGAAGAAGTATTTGGTCTTCAAAATAATTATTTTTAAGTCAATAAAAATATTTTGTATCGTTAAGTGAATCAGATAAACAATTTTGAATACGTGCTATATGCTAACATGAGCCGATGCAAGAGAAGTATATAAAACAAGACTTCCAAGTTAATGAAGGGTTACTTACATTTGTGAAACAAGCAGGAAGTGATAAGATGAAATATTACTGTGTTATAGGGCTAATGCTGTAGAAATTCACAAAGGGGAGAGATGAAGTTCAGCAAGAGTAATAAAAGTAGACTTACTGGATAAACAGAAGTTGTTTTGACCATTCTCTATCAAATGTAGGAATAGAAGACTGTAAGAATTATTCAAATATGAAGTGGTGAGTCCATGAATAAGGTGGTGATGGTAAGGTTGTAAAACACAGGAAATTAAGTCAGAAAGAAACATGAAACAGGATTTGGGAACACATTAAAAGTAACAGGTTAACAAGAGAGACAGACAGATAACTAACATTGATAGAGGCTTTTGAAGAGATAGTTTGAGATAACAGATGAAAATTTCTGTTTTAGAAAAACTGTGAAGTGGTGGTAGCATTATATCCAAAATGAATTAATTATGTGTCTTCTTTTTTATCACTTAAGAACTGAATTCTAAAACCACTTAGAATGGCTAACTTGAAATTTAACTTTAGATTTATATATTATTATATTTTTTATATCTCTGACTATGTGTAGGTATTGATGGACATGTTTCATCAAGATGTAGAAGATATAAATATATTATCTTTAACTGATGAAGAACCTTCCACCTCAGGAGAGCAAACTTACTATGATTTAGTGAAAGCATTTATGGCTGAAATTCGACAATATATAAGAGAACTAAATTTAATTATAAAAGTTTTTAGAGAGCCCTTTGTCTCCAATTCAAAATTGTTCTCAACTAATGTAAGTATCATTATGTGCATGTGTATGATTGCATCTGTTGTTAATTTTGCATGGCCACTCAAATTTTATTTTCTATTCATGGTTGATATTTTGCCAATTATTTTTTAAGTTGTAGATTTAAATCACAGTGACTATTATCACAAATATAGTTGCTACAAGTTTCAATAAATGACACATCAGAAAGGAAGAGACAGGGGCCTCCCTAATGGCTCAGGGGTTTGTCACAGTGCTGTCAAGCTATTACCAGCCACTTCGGTCTGAGTTCAACAATCCTGGGCCAGGAGCTAACCCACATGGTGCAGCAGACCTCTCCTGTCTCACCTGCTACTCCCCTCATCAGTGTATTTCAGTAGATCTGCCTTTTCTGCTCCCCACTCTGTTTCTGGTGAATCCTCTCATGCCCCCTGCACCTCGGGCCTTGACCCCAGTTCTTGTATGCATAAATAAATAAAAATAAATCTTTTTTAAAAAAAAGAAATGAAAACACAATCTGAACTACACTCATTGTATAAGTGAAAATAAACTCACAGAATCTTCCCTGTAGTCCAAAGAATAAAGTCTCTCATTAGGTAGAAGATTTTTTTTTTGTTTGTTTAATTTGAGTCATTCAGTCAACTCTTTGATGCAGCCTATTTTGTTAGACACCGTATTTGAATGAGAATTAAAAGATGAATAAGAAACAATTCCTTCCCTGAAGTTTAGTCTAGTTATGGAAAAGATGTAAACCTAAAATTAAACTACAGTTCAAAGTGGCAATTATGATAATAGAAGTATTGACAATTGACAGTAGTGTCTGAGAGTATAAAGGAGTGAGTCAATAATATTAACTGGAAGATGGCCTACTGATTTTACAATAATAATCAAACAAACCCTAATTGGGTCCTGGGGAAATGCTGAATGAGAATTGGTGAGATTGTGTAAGAGACTTGCATTCTGATAATTCCAAAGGTGGAATTATTATTATTATTACACAATCCTGGGTAATTGAGGAAGATGCAGTGCTCATTACAGAGGTTGAGATTGAGGCTCAGTATAGCAATGAGTGTACATTAAAAATAAATAGACTATGGTGATAATTACACAAATCTGTACATTTACTAAAAATCATTGACTTCACTTTAAATGTATGAATTCCATGATATGTAAGATATATTTCAGTAAAGTTTAAAAAGTAAAGGAGTAAAAGATTGGCAAAGTTATTAAGCATAAAAATCAAGAACCATAAAATAAATTAATGAATTGGACTTCATTAAAATGAAAAGGTTTTGCTTTTCAAAAGACATTGTCAGGGCCTCCCCGGTGGTGCAGCGGTTGAGCGCTGGGTTGCGAAGCTGCCCGCGGCCTATGCGGCACCGGTTCGATCCCCTGCTGCTCCCCGGCCACTGGCGGAGGGTCCCACATGGCACGCAGACCTCTCCTGCGGCCCGCTGCTCCCCTCAGCAGTGTACTTCGGTCCTTCTGCCTGCTCTGCTCCCTGCTCTGGCTCTGGTGAATTCTCTCACCCTCCCACGCTTCTGACTGTACCCAGTGCATGTATAAACAAAACAAACAAACAAATAAATAAATAAAACATGCCTCTATTAAAAAAAAATTAAAAAAAAAAACAAAAAACAAAAGACATTGTCAGAAAAATTTAAAAGTTAAGCCACAGATTGGTAGAACTTATTTGAAATACATATATCCAGGAAAGGACTTGTATCGGGAGTATATAAAGAGCTTTTTACAAATTAAGAATTAGAAAATAAGCCTGATATTTTTAAGTGGGCAAAAAGTGTACTCTAAAAGATCACCAAAATGCAATGGGATTCTACTGCATACTCACTGGAAAGGCTAAAATGAAAAAGACTGACAATATCCAGTGTTGAAAACAATGTGGAACAACTGCTGGTGGGAATATGAAATTCCTACTTTGCTTGTGTGAATGTAATCTGATAAATACTTAAGAGTTTGGCAATTTTGTGTAACACTGAAAATAAGCCAGCCATACTGCCTAACAATTCCACTCCTAGGTTTTTATACATTCAATAAAATAGGCGTATCTTATTGGATATGAATCATAATTAACCAATCGATTTTAATGCAATGGTACAAAATTGATAGGATTGCAGATTCCACAATACTACTAGCTTTAAGAGATAAACATTTGTTGAATTTTGATGTGATAACATAAAAAGATACTCCCTTTATATAACATGTCCAGAATAGGAAAATACATGAGAGATAGAATGTAGGTTATTGCTTGCCAGGGACTAGATCTAAGCTACATATTAGATTTGCAAAAGCAAATGACATTCTTCTCATTTGTTTTTTTGGAAATATACAGTTCATAAAAGTGTTATTTATTGTTTTAAAATAAAGTGTTAAATATTTTTTCTTGGCTTTAATTTCTAGTATAGTAAATATTAATAGATATAAACCAAAAACCTTTTGGATTCTTCAATAATTTGTAAAACTATGAAAGGGTCTCATAGGAACAAACCATTTGAGAATCATGGACCTAGAGAAATATATTTGCAAATTGTGCATTATTTTAAGAAAAATAATGGAATTGTCTTTACTTATGTGTAAGTTGCTAAATTTTTCAATATATCTGCCACGTTAAATTTCATAATTACAGAATGACAGTGGCTTAAAATTTGTCTTTTATAACTATACAATCTGAATTAATTTGTTTTTCCTTCCAACAGGATGTAGAAAATATATTTAGTCGTATAGTTGATATACATGAACTTAGTGTAAAGTTACTGGGCCATATAGAAGATACTGTGGAAATGACAGATGAGGGTAGTCCCCATCCATTAGTAGGAAGCTGCTTTGAAGATTTAGCAGAGGTAAGTCCTTTAATTATATAACCTACACTGGCATTAAAATTGGAATCTTAATTATTATCACCTGAAATCAATAAATAGTTAACGGTTGACTACTTAGCTGTATCGCCCCTTCATCGTAAGTCATTGTCATCATTTATATTTCAGTTGTTCCCTGAACAACACAGATTTGAACTGCAAGGGTCTACATATACATGATTTTCTTGTAAACAATGTAAGCTTAGAGTTACTAGCACAGTATTAATGTACTGTGTATTTTCAAATACATTAATAGTGTATTTTCTCTTATGATTTTATAAATATTTTCTCTAGCTTATTTCATTGTAAGAATATAGTACATAAGAAGCAAATTATATGTTAGTGAACTATTTGTTATTAGTTAGGCCTCCAGTCAACAGTAGTCGATTAGTTAAGTTTTTGAGAAGTCAAGAGTTATATATGATTTTCAGCTATACCAGGGTTAGCTTCCTTCTCAGGTCTTCTGTGTGTGGTTCTCTTTCATCTTATGAAAGAGAAAAAGTAGTCTCTCATTCACTATAAAAAAGCAGATCCACCGAGGGAAGGTATTTAAAAATGACACTTTGTGTTTCATAACAAGGCTAAGAAACATTGATGAAATGCCCTATCAATGAAGAAACTATACATCTTATTTCTGAGGTCAGACTAACTTGTGTCCATTCTAAACTCTACTATTTATTAGTTATGATGACTTTAGGCTATTTATTCCCATCTGTATCTATATTTATAAAAGAAGGATAATGGTAAGTCTCAGGATCTTTATGATTTAAATAAAATAACCTACTTGAAGTATCTAGCTGACCATTTTCATACAGTAAGCTACTTAATATATGAGACAAAATTGTCCTCAGTGTAATTGTCTATATTTGACATAAGTATCTACATAGCAAATTGAAGAAAAATTATACAGTAGTAGAACTGCTAGGTAAGTCCAGTATAGTTGCCAGATAAAAGATAAGCACATAAAAAATTATAGCATTATTATGCTCAATTACAATCCATTAAATATTTAACACTATTTTACATTATAGATATTTATTTCCTTGTGCTTTATCTTCTCTGCTGTTTACTTTCACAACATCGTATATGATTTAGTGGTGTAGGACCATACTAGACCCACACCAAGGCACTGAAAATGCTCCACCATAGTCTATTGTGCTCCCTCCCCACTTTGCTCTACCCTCCCTGGTAGCCTCAATTCTGCAGCCATATTTCTAGCATTTATTGTTTGTTTGGCTTTATCTGCCCCTTTTGGTTTCTCTGTATGCCTCATATAATAATACCATCGAATACTTGTCTCTCTCCTTATGACTTATTTTGCTTAGCGTAATTCCCTCCATAACCATCATGTTGCAGCAGCAGTTTATTTTTTGTTGTAACTGAGTGATATTCCACTGTGTGTATATATACCACATCTTCCCGATCTATTCATGTCTTGGGGCACTTAGGTTGTTTCCGTAACTTGGCTATTATAAATAGTGCTGTTAGTGCACATATCCCTTCTTGTTAACATTTTTGCATTCTTCAGGTAGATACTTAGACATGGAATTGCTCCATCACATGGTAGACCTATTTTTTTTAATATTTTGAGAAACCTGTAAACTTTCCATAAGGACTGGACCAGCCTATAATCCCACCAATAGAGTATAAATGTTTCTTTTTCACCACATCCTTGTCAACACTTGTTTCTCATCTTTTTTATATAGGCTATTATTACAAGTGTGAGATGGTATCTCATTGTGAGCATTTTTTAATGTGCCTGTTCGCCATCTGTATGTCTTCTTTGGAGAGTATTTAGCTCTTCTGCCCATTTTTTGATTGGGGTATTTTTTTTTTTCTTTTTATTGAGTTGTATGGGTTCTTTGTAGATCTTGGATATCAGCTACTTGTCAGAAGTATGGTGTGCAAATATTTACTACCTTTCAGTAGGGTGTCTTTGCTTTAGCTACAGTGTCGTTCATTGTGCAGAAGCTTTTTAGAGATGTAGTCCCATTTGTTTATATTCTCTCGTTTTTCTGTTTGGAGATGAAGCCACAAAAACATCACTGAAGCCTATGGTGTGGAGTATTTTGTCTATGCTTTCTACTGTTTATTTTATGGCTTCAGGTCTTATATCCATTTTACGTTAATTTTTGTATATGGTACATGATACTTGTCTACTTTTATTTGTTTGCATGTGGCTATCCAGTTTTCTTAGCACTTTTTGTTTAAGAGGCTCCCTTTCTCTGCTATATACTTTTTTTTTTTAAGATTTATTTATTTATTTATACAAGCACTGGGTACAGTCAGAAGCACGGGAGGGTGAGAGAATTCACCAGAGCCAAAGCAGGAAACAGAACAGGCAGACCGACGAAACACACTGCTGAGAGGAGCAGTGGGCGTGACAGGAGAGGTCTGTCGCACCATGTGGGACCCTCGCCGGTGGCCAGGGATGGAACTGGCACTGCAGAGGCTGTGGGCAGCTTCGCAGCCCAGCGCTCAACCGCTGCACCACCAGGGGAGGCTCTCTGCTATATACTCTTGACTATTTTGTCTTAGATTAACTGTCTATATAGGTGTGGGTTTATTTTTTTTTAAATAAATTTTATTTTTATATTCCCCATACAATTGCAACCCCCTTATTTTGACCCCAATCCCTCCCCTCCCTGCCCCCCACCCCTCATAAAGTGTCACTGTTCATAGTTTTTTGTTGATTTTGATTTTCACTTTCTTATAGTTATTCATTTTCCTGGTCCCTTATTTAAGTTTTCTAGATTCCTGCTATGAGTGAGACCATCCGGTATTTTTCTTTTTCTTTCTGGCTTACTTCACTGAGCATGATCCCTTCCAGTGCCATCCATGTTGCTGCAAATTGCATGTGTTTATCTTTTTTGAATGCTGAGTAATATTCCATGGTGTATATGTACCACATCTTCTTGATCCAGTCATCTATTTTTGGGCATTTGGGTTGTTTCCAAAGCTTAGCTATTGTAAACAGTGCTGCTATAAACATAGGGGTGCAGGTGCTCTTTGGAATTGATGTTTCTGAGTCCTTTGGGTAAATACCTAGGAGTGGAATTGCTGGATCATATGGAAGCTCTATGTTTAGTAAGTCTAGAAATCTCCACTAGGTGTGGATTTATTTCTATGATTGCAAATTTATTCCATTGTCTTGTGTGTCTTTGTTTCAGTGTCATACTGGTTTTGATTATTATAAGTTTTGTAGTATAGTTTGAAGTCTGGTAGTGTGATACCATCATTCTGCCTTTTTTTGTCAGGATTGCTTTGGCTATGTTGACTCTCTTGTAGTTCCATAAGAATTTTAGTAATATTTGTTCTGTTTCTTTGAAGAATGCCATTGAAACTTTGATAGGAATTGCATTGAGTCTGTATCTTGCTTTGAGTAAAAGGGCCTTTTTCACAATGTTAATTCTTCTAATCCATAAGCAGGGGATATCTTTCTATTTTTTTATGTTGTCTTCTGTTTCTCTTAACAGTATCTTACAGAATTTCATTGTTTAAGTATTCTACCATCTTGGGCCTCCCCGGTGGCGCAGCGGTTGAGCGCTGGGTTGCGAAGCTGCCCGCGGCCTCTGAGGCGCCGGTTCGATCCCCGGCTGCTCCCCGGCCACCGGAGGAGGGTCCCACATGGCGCGCGGACCTCTCCTGCCGCCCGCTGCTCCCCTCAGCAGTGTACTTCGGTCCTTCTGCCTGCTCTGCTCCCCGCTCTGGCTCTGGTGAATTCTCTCACCCTTCTGCACTTCTGACTGTACCCAGTGCATGTATAAACAAAACAAACAAATAAATAAATAAAAAAAAAAATAAAAAAAAAAAAACATGCCTCTATAAAAAAAAAAAATTTAAAAAAAAAAAAAAAAAAAGTATTCTACCATCTTAAGTTTATTTCTAGGTATTTAATTCTTTTTGATGCCATTGTAAATGGGATTGTTTTCTTGATTTCTTCCTCTTTCAGCTCATTGTTTATATATAGGAATGCAACTAAATTTTATATTGATTTTATAACCTCCTACTTTCTGAATGGATTTATTATTTTAATTAGTTTTTTGGTGGGATTTTTATGGTTTTTATGTATACTATCATGTCATCTGCAAATAATGATAGTTTTACTTCTTTCCCAATTTGTATTCTTTTTATATCATTCTCTTGCCTAATTGCTGTAGGTAGGACTTCCAAAACTATGGTGAGTAGTGCTGGTGAGAGTAGATATCTTAGTCTTATTCCAGGTCTTAGTGGGAAAAGCTTTCAATTTTTCACCATTGAGAATGATGGTAGCTGTTCATTTATCACATATGGTCTTTATTATGTTGAGGTTATATTACATTTATCCCCATTTTTTTGAGAATCTTTATCATAAATGGATGTTGAATCTTATCAAATGCTTTCTAAGCATCTATTGATATGTTCATAAGATTTTTGGCTTTCCTTTTGTTCATGTGGTGAATTAAGATGATTGATTTTCAAATGTTGAACCGTCCTTCTGTCCTATAATAAATCCCACTTCATTGTGGTGTATGATCCTTCTAATGCATGTTGGATTGTTCTGCTAAGATTTTTTTTGAGGATTTTTGCATATGTGTTCATCAGGGAAATTGGTTTTTACTTTTCTTTTTCAGTATTTTCTTTGGTTTTGGGATCAGGGTAATGTTGGCCTCATAAATTGTGTTTGTAAGTATTCCCTCTTTGTCAGTTTTTTGGAAGAGTTTGAGAAGGATATGTATTATTTCTTCTTTGATTGTTTGGTCAAACTCACAAGTGAACAGTCTCATCCTGGACTTTTGTTTGTTTGTAGGTTATTCAGCTTCCTAGCACACAAATGTTCATAGTAATCTCTTAAGAGCCTCTGAATTTCTGATATGTCTGACATAAATTCTCTTTCATTTCTGATTATTTATTTGCATTTACTCCTTTTCTTTTCCTTTGGGAGTCTAGCTTGAGGTTTATCTGCTTTGTTTTTTTTTTCCCAAAGTATCAACTTTTGGTTTCATTAATCTTTCAGTCTTTATGATTTCTTATTCATTCATTTCTGCTCTACATTCTATTATTTGCTCCCTTCTGTTGGTTTTCAGTTCTTTTTTGTTTATTTTTTTAGTTCCTCAATATGAAAGATGAGATTACTAGAGCTCTTTCTTGTTTCTTGATGTGGCCCAATATTGCCATACATTTCATTTTTAGTACTGGTTTTTGTTGTGTCCCATGAGTTCTGGTAGGTTATATCCTCATTTTCATTTTTCTTAAGGTATTTTTAATTTTTTTATTTCCTTATTAATCCAATAGTCATTCAATAGTGTGTTTTTTAGTCTCTACATATTAGATTTTTCCTGCTCTCTTTTTGTGGTTGATTACTATTGGGTTGTCGGAAAAGTCATGATGCATTTTTGCTTGAAAAACATGGAAAAATACATAATGACAATCAAGTAGTTCGATACTATTGTGATCTGACAAGATACTTAATGTGATTTCCCAATTCATGAATTTATTGATACTTGTTTTGTGAGCCATTATATGTTCTATCCTGGAGAATGTTCCATGTGCACTTGAGAGGAATGTGTATTTGGTTTTTTGGGGGATGTAGTGGATTATATATATCTAGTAAGCCCATATCATCTAATTCTTTCTTTAAGGGTATTGTATCCTTGTTTATTTTCTCTCTGGTTGATTTGCCCATTGGTGAAAGTAGGATATGGAAGTCCCCAGTTACTAATGTTGTTACCAATGTCTGTTTTCAGGTTTGACAATAATTGCCTTACATATTTTGATATTCCTTCATTCATGAATGTATATTGATAAGCATTGTAACCCTTAGTCATTGTATAGTGTACATCCCTGTTTTGGATCACCTTTATTTTAGCTGGAAATCTGTTTTACCTAAGTATGACTAGCCTCACTTTCTTTGAGTCCTATTTACTTGCAGGGTTTTTTTCAAACGCTTTACTCAAAGCCTGTGTTTATCTTTGAAGCTTAGGTGTCTTGTCTGGAGACAGCAAAAAGTTGGATTTTGTTTTCTTATTATCCAGCCACTCTGTACCTTTTGATTGGTGAGTGTAGTTCACTTACATTTAGGGTGATTATTGATATATGAGTATCTGCTACTGCCATTTTGTCCTAGTTTTCGGGTTGTATCTATTTCCTTATTCAGTTTTTTTGTGACTGTTCTTTTCAATCTTGATATGAGAACTCCTTTCAACATTTCTTGTAGGGGAGGTCTAGTGCTGGCAAACTACTTTAACTGTTGTTTGTCTAGGAAGGTCTTCATTTCTCCCTCATGTGCTGCATAAAATATTATAGACTGGCAGTTTTTATCAGTAAGCATTTTTAATGCATCATGCCATTCTCTCCTTGTCCATAGTTATTTACTCAGAGAAGCCAGTGTAAGCCTGATGGGAATACCTTTATATTTTATCTGATTTTTTCCCCTTAGCCAGCTTCAGTATTCTTTGTCTTGAGTTCTTAGCAATTTAACATCTATGTGTCTTGGGATAGTGTTATTACATTTAGTTAACTAGGTGTTCTTTTATTTATTTATTTTAGTGTGTAAGAACTTTAATGGAACGGTGTGCATAGAGAGGAGAGGAAAGGATAATAGTTTCCTAATAAACTAGTTTCCCAAATTTACCCATCACCTCATGGGTAAATGTCCAGCCAGGCAAGGTTGAGCCACAGGTATTCTTTCAACTTAATGGAATTGTATGTTTAGTTTCTTTGTCTGGGTTTGAGAAGTTTTCCTCTTTATTTCTTTGAATAAATTCTCTGGTCTCTTCTCTTCCTTTCCCTTCTAGAAATACCCATTATTATTATATTTCCTTCCCTTATGGGGTTGAATAATTCTAAGTGTTTCTTCTTCTTTTTTTCCTTCTTTATATCTCTCTTCTTCCTCCTGTATTCTTTGTGTATTATTGAGGTCATTGGTTCCGTCTTCCATTGTTCTATACTACTTTCACAGCTTTCTCTGAAAATTTTTTATCCACCGCTCTTTTTATTTCCTGTATCTCTGTTTTCTTAATTAAAGCTTCAGTTTCTATCTTCTGTTCATTGATTTTATTTCTCTAGACATTCCTTTGTTTTTCTGAGTTTCCTTAGCTGTGTCTTAGTCTTTGAATGTCTTTATCATGGCAAATTTGAACTCTGTATCTGATAGAAAGAAAAGATCTTTCATGTCTTTGTGTTTAGATTCTGGAAATTTCTTTTTCTGTGGTGAAATATTCACTTGAGTACTCAAGGTATCATGTGTTGTATATTTCATTCCCCTTTTTGTAGCTTTCTCTGTTGATGTTTGTGTCCTAAGGTACAGAACTTCCACTTTTCCAGCAAATGGCACTGTATAGGGAGAACTGATCTGCAGATGCTGACTTGAGGTGAGGCAATATCCTGGAGGAGTTCAGTTAATGGTCAAAGTGGTGTGTGCAGACAGCTCACATTTGAGGCATCACTGATAGCCCTTCTCTTTGGGTTTCCAGACCCATGTCTCTATAGTCTGCAGGCCAAGCTTTCTACATTTCTTAATAGGATTAGCTCAACTCCTGAGGGGGTAGAGGAGTGCCTGTCTTCTTTACTGGGGACCCTGCCTGCCTGGCTCACCACAGCACCTCCACACATACCTCCCCACAGTTTCTGCACCGAACAGTTCCCTCTGGGGCCACCAGCCAAACACAGGAATGCAGTCTTGTGCCAACAGTTTCCCATGTGCCTCTTTCCACCCACCTTTTGTTGTATTTAGTTGAATTTCCTCAGTGTCCCTTTTGTCTTGGTCAGTGTTGTCTCTGATAACCAGGTGGTACTCCAGTTCCACCCCAATTCATGGGATCCTTATTATCCTCCAGGATACCTCCTTGGGCACCATTTTCTTCTTTAGCTTTGTCTTAGTCACATTTTTATTTTTCTCTCCTATTCACTGTACTTATACCTGGCTCCCTCTTGTTTTTATTGAAACCTTACTACTATTCCTGTGATGTCTAATATAGGCTGTCATTTCTGGTGTTATATTATCATGGAAATTTTTAGCTAGGAAAATGGATGAAGGGATTGAAATTGGGAAAATGAATCAGGATTTAGTTCAAGGAATTCAGTTCAAGGAAGTACCATATTGCATTTCACAAAGAACAGAATTTAGATCTAAATTCTGGCCTTAGGTTACTACCTTTTAAAAATGTGAGAAACATAAGGGCAAAAAATACATAAATGTCATGTGTTCTGTCATTCCTTTTTACTGTCTTCTGTACTTCTCTGCTTTCTACTGTACTTCTCCACTAGATGTCCTCTTCTTTCTAGAATTATCCTTAAAAGAAATGAGCTGTTGCTAGAACCTAGGGCCCCATTTTCATGATAGTTTTATGTATGAAAGAGGGCACATAATGTAGAGATTCTTTCTCCTGCTAAAATTAAGACACCGCCTCTCTTATCCCTCGGGAGTCAATAAAACCAGTAGATTGTCCTTTTTAGACCTAACCATTAGATTTCTCTATCTTATTAATGATTGATGATGGTTAAATTATTTGGCAGTTTGAATTAAGTTGTTCAATTGTTTTATGAAATTTCTTGCAATTAATTTTTAATGATATAAACTGTTACCTCTTACCTCAGAATTTGTAAGTAAAAGTCAACTGCTAGGAAATAACTATTAGAAAATAAAGGTCTGGTGCCAGCATTCTAAGCATTTAGAACTTATCTAATTGTAGGTACCTATATTCTTTGTTGTTCAGGCTAAGCTTTGTTTATTTTCCAGAATGAAAAGTTGCTCATTCTTATAGCCATGTTTTGTTGGTAATATTCTGCTAAAATCCTTTGATAAGAAATGTCATAACATATAAGGATCTCATTACTCATTAGAAAGAAATTATCATCTTACTTGAGAATATTAGATTTACTCTATTGCAATTAATGACCATGTAATTTTGTTTAGAAACTTTAAAAACATATATAATCCGTTGGCACAGGTGTGCCCATAATTTAATCTTTCTGTATTGACAGTAAGTTTTTTAACTTCTAGCTTGGAGAATAATCAGTTGTTTTTCCTTTCTTTTTTTCCTAAGGAACTGGCATTTGATCCATATGAATCATATGCTCGAGATATTTTACGACCTGGTTTTCATGATCGTTTCCTTAGTCAATTATCAAAGCCTGGGGCAGCACTCTATTTGCAGGTATAGTAATTTTTAAATCAAGATGTAAAATTTCTGAAAAGTAAACTAAAAAAAAATTAATCACTTTGTTTTCTAGTCAATAGGTGAAGGTTTCAAAGAAGCTGTTCAGTATGTATTACCCAGGCTGCTTCTAGCCCCTGTTTACCACTGTCTACATTACTTTGAACTTTTGAAGGTAAGAAACTCTTACTGATATTTATAAAATATTATAAGCCATTTATTTTTTGGTTATGTGGGCATTTGAATTTTCTTTTTCCAATTCAGAAGCAAATATATATGAATCTGCAAAAGAGCAGCATATTTTCTTCAGTTTTAATAGTGAATTTTAAAGCAATCATCAGATATATTTTGTCTTGTGTCCTTTTGTTTACATGACTGATTCTGCAGAAACAGTCCTAGATTTATGTATCCAACTCTTCATTTTGGGAACTCTACAGATTCGGGAACTTAGATTTCATGTGGGAATAAGACCAGTCTATGGGGAAGATTAATTTACTTACTTTTTATAACTTAGGTTTGCAAGTATTAAAGTCCTTATCATTACTTAGAAACCATGCACTCTGTATAATCCCAGTAAAAAACATCTCATTTGATCAAAGTTCAAATAACCTATTTTAGAAGCGGTGACTTAAAGACAAGGGTTTTAGATTCGTTTTTCCCTGTATAATACAGTAGTGTAGCTCAAAGTGATTTTTTTTTTTTAAGATTTATTTATTTTATATAAGAACTGGAGTATAGGCCAGATGCGCAGGAGGGTGAGAGGATTCACCAGAGACAGAGCGGGGAACAGAACAGGCAGACTGACAAAATAACACTGCTGAGGGGAGCAGCGGGCAAGACAGGAGAGGTCTGCACCATGTGGGTTAGCTCAATCTCTTCCCCTTTTTTGGTCAAAATTATTTTGGTTATTCAAAAAGACCTAATTTTTTCAAACTACATGATTCCTACTAGTTACCAATTTTTTTCATTTGTATATTGCTGTTATTCTAGGTGCCAATGTGGAATTTGGTGATTCTAGATTCAGCAATGATTACATAAAATTGAGACAGTGGGAGGTAGTAAACTAAACCCTAATATATCAATGACAGTTGCGAACAAGCTGTAATTTATCTATTATATGGAATGGCTTTTGAAAGCTCACTAGACTACACATGACTCTGATTTTTCTTATCTGATTCTAGCACAGGAACCTACTAGTTGTGTGGCCAGGGACAAGACACTGCCTTTTGAACCCTGGTTTCCTTATCTGAGAAATGCTTATGTTACTGGGCTGTTTTATCAACCAATGTAATATATGTAAAAGTACTTTTTTTTTTTAATACAAATGAGTGTTGTTACTACTGTTTTTTTTTTCTTGCCCTGCAGATATCTTACGCTAACATTTTATTCCTTTCCTCCATCACCATTTCTCTCTTACCCAGCTGCTTAATTGTGGGCTTTTTGCTATTTTCTATTTTTGCTTAAATGCTAAGGTTCCTTCACCAGAATATCATCTTTGATTCTTCTCTCTCCCTTATTAGCAGATCCTCATCATTTGACTCCAGAAATTATTCTGGAATCCAGCCTGTTCTTTCTATTCCACGAACACTGTTTTAATCAAGCCTGTAGCACATCTCATCTAGACCACTGTAGTAGCTTCCTTTATGATCTTTTTACTTCATGGGACTCCAATTTGAAAAGTTCTGTTGTTTCCCTGTCAAAGAACAATTCTTTAGTCTCTAGCCTCATCTCTCAGTAATTAATCTTAACCCACATTTACTTTAGCCCTAAAACATTTCCTAGCAACCCCTGATAAGTCAAATCTGTTCAGGATCCCATTCATTTATATGTCCTTTTCATTTATCTGGAATTCCTCCCCTTTCATCTGAGAAATTCCTACTTCCTATTCAAATATTAGTTCCTCTGTCAAGTTTCCCTTCCTTTTATTGAACTCTCTTGCTCTCTTATAGAAACTTGTCCCATTTGTTTCCTACCTTTTAGACTGTCCCATGAAGAATTTAATTGGGCCATATGTATCTTTGAACTTAAACACTGAATAAATGCTTGTTAGAAAATGATTGGTAAAAATAAGACATGTCCTTTAGAATGCCTAATGTGTTATACTTTAAAAAAATTTAACTGTAAAGTGTGTATGATTATATTTATTTTAGAAGCTTAAAATATCATAAACTTTACAAATTCAGAAAATACTGTTCACTTATTAATAGTATAAGACTTTAATGCTACTGGGAAAAGAATACTATTTTCCCCCAGCAAGTTAAAGTTAACAGTCTAGTCTTTGTAAGCTTTGATTAATTTTTTCAAATTAAAATCCATTTTTATGCAGTAAAGAAACATCCTTTGTATCCTTTTGAGATCCACATTGTTCCAACAATGTTATTTTCTGTTTTCCATGTATTCTTGGGACCATATAAACATGTTGACCAGTATTTTGAAGGTTAGCAGAATAGTGTAACGTGAAGGTAAACAAAATGTAAGCCCTTTTTCCTTACACATACGATTTTATCTCATTAAATATACTCAGATAAATATTTGGAAAAAATCATCCAGAATCACTTTGAACTAATCAATTCCCTAGAGAATCACCAGTTCTCTTTTCTGTATTCTGGGCATATATAACCAAGGGAAAAGTTAGTTTCCTTTGATTAAAAAAAAAAAAAATCAGGTTCTTAGATAAAGGAGGGCAGGGCTTCTCACCCAGTAAAGTACCCCAGTGTTTGGTTTAAAGAGTCAGGAAAACTAAGTTAAAGTTTCTCCTAATTCTAACTATTTGTTAACATTCCAGGAAGAAATACTTAGGTGACTTGTGAATAATTTTAATAGTTATAACCAGTGTTGGAGAAATCTATTTTGCATGAAATTTAATTAAATGAAAATTAATTTTTGAGACACCAAAAATGAGGTTCAAATATATATTGTTACATGTACATTAGTGTATTAGTCTTCTGGGAATACGAAAACAAAGCACCACGGAAGGAGTGGCTTAAAACAACAGAAACTGGGGCGGGAATACAGTGGAGTAAGGTGGTGAACCAAGGTAATAACACTTGAAGGGAGTGGAAAGATCTGATATTCCCAAAAATACAAGCAACAATGTAAACCAACATTGCCTTAATAAATAAAAATAATTTTTAAAAAGATTTAATAAAATAATAAAACAGTAGATATTTATTCTTGTGCAGTTCTGAAAACTAAAATCAAAAAGGGTGTCAACAGGGCTTTAACAATCTCTAAAGTCTTTAGGAAAGAATCTTTCCTCCCTTTTCTTAGCTCCTGATGGAGTCCAGCAATACTTCACGTTCTTGGCTGAAAGATACTATCGGTTCGGTATTTTCCTCCAGTTTCAATCACTTTCTTCATATATTTGCATTGTTCTCTGTGTCTCTGCATCTAAATCATTCTCTCCTTTCTCTTATGAAGAAGTTACTGAATTTAAGCCCCACCTTAATCCAATGTGACCGCATCTCAGCTTGATTATATCTTCAAAAACACAGTATTCAAGAAAGGTCACATTCATAGTATCAGGGGTTGGGACTTTAACATATCTTTTGGGGAAAACACAGTTCAAACTATTATAATGTCTTGGATACTATAAAAATTCAGTTCATTTATGTTTTTCTGATTCTCTTCTGTATAGTGACTTTCTTAAGTCTATATATATTTTTGTATTAGGCCAATTAAATGATCACTTCATTTTGATCTTAGATTTTAAAATTTAATTTTAGTCCCACAAAATCTAGTGAAAAGCTGAAAACTGCAGCAATGTTTTTTAAATTGATAGATCATAAGCTGGTTAAAAACTCAGAAATATAAAACTGATAATCATCTGAATAACACTAAATGTATTGGACTTGAGATTAGCATGTATACTTTCTCTTGAAAAAATAGAAAATTAGACTCTATCTCTATACCTTTCTTAGGTTTCATTGGTAACAAAAAGTATAAGATCAGCAAAATAATTGAGAAGAAACATGCCCAGTTTTGATTTTAATACATTATAACTATGTATTATTTTGTAAGATTAAGAACCAATGGAATAAAAAGTATGGTAGTTCATGTTAAATTATTATAAAAGAGCAGTGAATATCTTAAAACTCTAAAGAAATATGCTTTGCAAACATCTACTACAAGTGTCTTATATGCAGTTATTAATGGGGCTTTGGTTTGCTGCTTTTACAATCTGGGAGCTGGACAGTATCAAACAAACTTCTATAGTAGACAATTTTTTCCCTACATTGTTTTCATTTCATATCTGGCTAATTGCATTATGCTTTAGAACATTTTTTTATACTGTCCATGAACTCATGTTTTAATACCAGCAATAAGAAGAAATTTAGAAAACAGCTTCTGTCTGAGTATCATAAATAGAAGCCCAGTAGAGTTCTGTCTAGCTTCCATTCCCCTAACTAGCTTTCTAAATTTAGAAATTCTTATCCAAGAAATTATGAGTTCAAAGCTCTGCGCTAAATGGTATCATATCTGACTATAAATATTGATTGCCTAAAATTAAACACAAGGCAGTCTACTTCAGGAACTATTACAAATAATAGTTATTACAAATAACTGTACTATTGCTAATTACTATTAGCAATTAGTATTAATTGTACTATTACTATTGCTAGTCTGCTAAATCCAACTTTTACTTTTAAATCAACTTAACTGTTGTGAGTGACTTTTACTGTTTTATTAATTTTCTTTCTGATGAGAAGAGAAAGATGGTTTATAAAAGTATTGTATTTTCATAAATTAGTTATAATATTTTTAGGGTTGCTTTCAGACTCAGCTCCACTCTTCAGATTTTAACTTCCTCTTACTTTATTATTATTGTATTTTCTGCCATTTTTTCTCATTTTCTCATTCTAGAATTCCAATTACATGTCTGTTGAGCTAATTTTTGTTGTCCACAGATCTCTGAGACTTCACTTTTGTTAAATACTTCGTTTTTGGTTCTTCTAATGGTAATTGATATATAAATCGAGCTCTTCATTTTTATATTACTCTACAATTTACATCTTTTTTTTTTTAATAGTTCCAGAGACTCCCTGTCTATTTAATAAGATCATGTTTTCCAGACCTTACCCTGTTGTCATTTAGTCTTTATGCACCCCCTTCAGTGTATAACCTTGGTGATGAAAGTTATCAATTTTGCTATATTTTATGCCCAGTGCTGAGTGTAAATTTGTGAAGTGCTTATCAGAAATAGATGGCTTAGTTGGTCATTTAGCAATAAAGAATATAAACATAAAAAAAAAGGATAATGTTTTCCTTTAATTCCTTGAACATAATCATAAAAGTCACTTGGAATACTCATCTAAATCCAACATTTGGGTCCACTTGGAATCTAGTTTATATTAACTGACTTTTTCTCTGAATGCAAGTCACATTTTCCTGTTTCTGTTTTTTTGTTTGGTTTGGTTTGGTTTGGTTTAACAACTCGATTCTGTTGTATTAAGGATTGAACTGAACTGGAAATTTGTCTCTTCTGTGTTGCAGAGCAGCTGATATTTTGTTGACTTTTTAGGACTTCAATCTTTTGGGGTTTTTTAGTCAGACTCTCTGGTTTCCCCTACACATGTATGATTTGGCAGTCAGACAAGTATTTGGGCTCAGATGTGTAGACACAAACCTCTGCTTCCCTGACACCTGGAGGTCCCCTTTAATGTCCAGCCTCTCTGCCAACCTCAGACTCTATGCTCTGGTACCTAATGCTACACAGGCTTCAACTTTCTGAGCTGTGTACAATGGGGAATAAACTTAATTTTTAAAAAGCAGCAGAACTCATCCATTGTAGCTCTAACTTTCCTATTTAGTCTCTGCTTTTGTCGTATATTAGTCAACCAGGTTATTTGGGTAGAGTTTATTATATTTTTGGGTCTCATCTGCAGTTGATTCATTTCCATATTTCTTCCTTATCTTCTCTTAAACTCTATTCATTTTCATCTGTAACCTGTAAAGCTACTCTCTTCCTCTTATTCTTCCCCACTATTGCCATGGGAGGTTAGGGAAAGCCTGTAGAGAAGAAAAACTCTAATCTCACAAGTATACACTGTAGTTGAAGTTTCTCAAGAGTAATTTTACTGTTTGCTTTCTTTTAGATGTTTTCTAGTGCCTATAGTAAATTTTATATTTGTCTAGATTATACAATTATTTTCTGCAGGAGGGTTATAAAAATTTTACTATTACTGTAAGTTCTTACATTTTTGTAACTCTTCTTCAGAGTTATAGCTGTGATGTCAGCAGCTGTAGGAAGGCAAACAGTGAAAGTCTGCAATTCAGATTCCTCAAGTAGGCAAGAGAACTAGTATTAAGTATTATGCAAAGTTTTATAATAAAAAAAGTAAGCGCCCATTTTGATTGAGAAACCCCAAATAACATATCTAACTATAAATTTAACCGCTATAAAATTTTTTGAAATAATAAACTTAAACTGAAAAATCAATTTTTGTGTGTGTTTCCCCTTCTCTTGGATGAACTAATATTAAAATTAACATTTGAATTCTGAATAATGTATTGCTATATTTAAAGACTGCCATTTATTCATTCTAAAAATCTCCTAATTCCTAATTTTCTAAAATCTTGTTTTATGATTTCTTTGGTTATTGCACATTTCAGAAATTGAACTCATCCTTTGTGATTGCTGAAACTATTAACCCATTTTGAGAATGAAGATATTCTACTTTGATAGGTATACAGAAAACTAAAGGGCACATCTTTAGCATCTGCTAAAAGTACTAAATTATTACTTTAAAAAATGTTCTATTGAGATATAATTTACATGCCAGTGTTCTTCATTAAATTGTTTTTTTGTTTTTTTTTTTTAACATTTCAGCTCCCAAGCACCTATAGAAACCATTTTCTCTTCAACCTTCTTACAGTCTTTGACTGGGTCTGAAAAGTAACTTATAAAATACAGATTAACAAAAGAAAAGCATACAGATTTACTTAATGTAAATTTTACATGGCACAGGAACCTCTGTATATTGAATATTTTAAACTGGTGGTGCTTGAGAAAATAGAAGCACCAGCTCGCCACCTCCTACCCCAGCCTGTCAAACTCCTGCAAATGTAAAATATTCAAGATGTCAATTTTAGAGGTAGCATATCCTAAACCTCAGCACACCTTCTCCCGCCACCAACCCCAAACCCATATTTTGCTCATGTAGTTGATCTAGCTAAAACAGTGACACACCCTCCCCCCTGCTAGCCCCTTTTACTGTATATTAACAACTGGTTGCACTAAAGTTGATTTTAGCAGGATGAAAAAATCAGGAACTCATGCTGGTCTAATTAAAGGTTAAGGAAATTTAATGAAAGGGGAATAAAAAGAAATATAGGTGTTTATATCCAATTATCTATTGAACAACTCTGCTTGATGATTCTATAAGCCCCTAAAATTCACTTTTTTCAAAACTCTGTATCTTTCTCAGCAGATTACTCTTTCGATGCTCATTTGCTTAGTGAGTGGTCTCACTGTTCATCCTGTTACTCAAAATAGAAACTTGGGAGTCCTCAACTCTTCCTCTCATTCTCCATATCACATGTACCAAGTTACAAGTACATGAATTGATCTTTTCACTTCTTTCAATATTCTGCGAAGGCCATAGTCATGTGAATTATCACAAATCTCTGTTTAGTCTTTCCTGTCTCCCTCCTCACCCGCCACATGCTCTTGACAAGGTGATAAGCTGTCTTTCTAAAATGCAAAGATTTAATCGTGTTAGTCACTAGCTTAAAGCCTTTAATGGCTCCCAGGTTAATGTCCAAGATTCTAGTAGATCTTACAGACTTGAATTGGTTGTTATTTACTTCTATAAATCTTGACTCATCATCTCTTCACAACCACTAGACTCTCAGTTATTCTCAGTCAGGTCCCAGCGTCACTGAATCATACAGTTTTTACTTCTGGAAGACTTCCCTGGCATCCTCTCTCCCTTCATTATGTCAGAGACTCTTGCTATCTATTTCTAGAGTGCCCTGTATTTCCTTCCATCCTATAATCTATCATCCATTTTTTTTCCTCTTATCTTATACTCTGAGCTCTAACAGCAGGAACCACATTTGGCTTTTCACTATCATTTTTATTGATCACAAATAATGAATGGTTTATTAAATATTTGTTAAATACTTCTGATTGGGACTTAACTGGCTTCCCCTATCGATCTTTCTTTTTGAGTTTTCTTTTTCAATCAGTTACTATTAATATTCTAAGTAGTTTCTAAAAGTATGCAAAATATCACTTAATTATCCAAGTAAAATTTGTGCCTTACCCAAAAAACTGAAAATTTTGCTTTTATTTTCTAGTAACTATAATTCATGTTCCAATTTATATTTTAAGATTTTATTTTTTATAATTTCGACCTTTGTCTAATATAATAAAGATACTATTTTATTTAAATTGCAATTATGGAAGAATATACTGTCTGTTCTGTGTAATATATACACTATAGCAATAATCATCTACTTGCTTATCTTGGGAGAATATGAGGGTTTAGGCTGGTAAAGTAAAAGATGATCAAATTTTGTTAATACCATTAACATAATGAATTCTTTGTATATGAGATTTATCTACATTATATATGAAATATTTTAACTCAAGAAATAACTTTTTTGAGGGGGGAGGAAGGAACTGGTTATGAAATTTATTTCCTGACTTAATACAGTTTGAATACTAGGAATTTATAGATAATCTCTAAATCTCATTTAATTAAAATTTCATCTTCTACACTTAACCTTTTAGTTGTGCTTCCTAGCATAAAAGAATAAATTATTTGAGTGTCATTGTCTTTGTTGCACTTAGCCTTTAAGGGAGTATTTGAGTTAGGAGTTTAATGTGGAAAACTTGGCTACATGTTGATGTAGACAGCAATATACAAAGAAGAAAAAGATTTATAAAGAATAATTCATGGGCCTTCCTTGTGGTGCAGGGATTAAAAGTCTCAGTGCTATCAGCAACACGAGTTCACTCCCTGGCCAGGAGCTGTCCTCACATGGCGCAGACCTCGCCTGTCTCGCCCGCTGCTCCCCTCAGCAGTGTATTTCAGTAGATCTGCCTGTTCTGCTCCCCTCTGAATCCTCTCACCCCTCCACCCATACCTCTGGCCTACACCCCAGTTCTTATATAAAATAAATAAATCTTTAAAAAAAAATTCATGACAAGTTAAATTTTTTTATTGTGGTATAAAGAGTGGAATTAATATTATCTTTTATCCTTTAAAAATGGACTTTTTTTTTTTTTTTCCATCCAAAACTGTTCCATTGATTCAGATTTGTCATTTTGGCTTTGCAGCAGTTAGAAGAAAAGAGTGAAGATCAAGAAGACAAGGAATGTCTGAAACAAGCAATAACAGCTTTACTTAATGTTCAGAGTGGTATGGAAAAAATATGTTCTAAAAGCCTTGCAAAACGAAGACTGAGGTGAATATTTTCACTTTTTAAAATAATCCTCCTTTTTCACCCTGAATATCATGGTATAAATTCAGAGATCCCATTTCCCTCCTCAAGTAAACAATGAAGAAAATAGTTTTAGTGACAAGCTTGGTCTTTCAGAGGAAGTGACATCAAAGCCAAGAGAATTTGTTATTGTTTGAAAAACCTTTCATATTTGTGCATTTTCCTTGCATACTCCCAGACAAGACCTCCTGAGAGTCAACTGGTAAGCTCAAGAAGAGATAGAGCAAAATGTATTGGGTAGATTTATGTCAGCATCATTGTTCTGTCAAAGTAAAAGTAGTAGTGGCCTTTATTTTAGGGATTATATAACTTGAGGCATTAATTCAGATAACATTGCTTCCAGTTTCCTAATTATAATATGTGCATGTTTTGTTTTTTTTTTTTTTTAGCTTTGGGTCTTTTTAAATCTCTTAAATTATCTTTTTCTACTATATTGAGCTACTTTTTAATATTTGTCATTCTAAGTATTTAATAGCCAGGGTAGAAATAATCATTCTGTAGCTGAATTTTTAAGGTAGAATATTGTCTATAATGATTGTTCTTTTAGAGCACTAAAAAAATGTCTCTACTGTGTTGCTTTAGTTTCACAGATTGTATAATTTTGTAACACTAATATATTTGGAGAATTAGTGATTTGTCTCAGTGCAACTTTCAAAATGTACTTTTACATTCTATTGATATAAATTCTAGATTTTCTGTCAATCTGTTTACTAATAATGTTTTTCTTTTATCCCAGTGAATCTGCATGTCGGTTTTATAGTCAGCAAATGAAGGGAAAACAACTAGCAATCAAGAAAATGAACGAGATTCAGAAGAATATTGATGGTTGGGAGGGAAAAGACATTGGACAGTGTTGCAATGAGTTTATAATGGAAGGAACTCTTACACGTGTGGGAGCCAAACATGAGAGACACATATTTCTCTTTGATGGCTTAATGATTTGCTGTAAATCAAATCATGGGCAGCCAAGACTTCCTGGTGCTAGCAATGCAGAATATCGTCTTAAAGAGAAATTTTTTATGAGAAAGGTACAAATTAATGACAAAGATGACACCAGTGAGTACAAGCATGCTTTTGAAATAATTTTAAAGGATGAAAATAGTGTTATATTTTCTGCCAAGTCAGCTGAAGAGAAAAACAACTGGATGGCAGCATTGATATCTTTACAGTACCGGAGTACACTGGAAAGGATGCTTGATGTGACAATGCTGCAGGAAGAGAAGGAGGAGCAGATGAGACTCCCTAGTGCTGATGTTTATAGATTTGCAGAGCCTGACTCTGAAGAGAATATAATATTTGAAGAAAACATGCAGCCCAAAGCTGGAATTCCAGTTATCAAAGCAGGAACTGTTATTAAACTTATAGAGAGGCTCACATATCATATGTATGCAGGTAAGAAATACGAAGTTGCCGGTCGCTTTTATTTTTCTGCTTCATACTGATTTTCTTTGCCATACAGGTCATTATGCCTAAAATAGAAAGCAAACTAACAAAAGACCTCTCTGTTATCAGAGTTCATTTTCCTTTAAATAAAATACTGCCGCTTTATATTTCTTTGAAATTTTTACTTTTTCTACCATATATACATATATTCTTCCTTTTTCACTTTACAATCAGAATTATGAATTTAAAAATGAAGTCACTTAGCTAAGTTTACCCAGGGGCAGAAACAAGATTAAAAGTAGTAGTAAGACATCATCATTGTAGCTTAAAAGCCTTTTTACCACTTTACCATTTCCATACTTTTCATTACCGAGATGATAAAAATCAGTAAAAAATTTTTAATATACATCCATCACCAAAATTATGCTGATAATACAAATATACAAAACTTTGCTTTTTCTTAATATTCATTCCTAAAGCTTATTAATGTAGCAATCCTGGAGGTCACTTGTTTTCACTTTTTTTTTTGCTTTTTTACAACTGATAGAAGAAAATAATTTCCCGTTAACATGGCAATTTTTAGAGACAAAAATAGCCAAACCACCTAGGAAAAATGCAATAGGCTGAATCACATATAATGGTTTGAGAGGTAAGGAATACATATAACTCATTTTTTAAAGTAACTTTATTTCTTCTAATAAAGCTACAAGTGATAATCTAAAATTTTTATACTTTCAACTTCCCTACATCGATGTTTGATAATTATAAAATAGTATTAGAGTTATGATGTAGAGGAAAGAGCACTGAATTTGAATTTAAACCCTCACTTTATCACAGTTCCTTCAGGACTAAGAATTTTAATTTTCATCTCCAAAATCAACATCACAGACACTACCCTAGAATATTCTTGGGAATAATAAAGTAAGTACTAAAAGCTCTTTGTAAATATAAATGTAAACTTATTTTCAAAGAATGTTTTTATTACAAAGACATAAAATCTAATGTAAACTCTTAAAAAAGGCTTTTAACAAATAGTTGAATGTGAAAGTTAACCTGCTTCTCCATACTTCTTGCTTATTTCTAGATTTGTGTTCCTACGGAAATTTTTCCTCTTAACTCCTAAAAAGTCTCATTCTCTCTGGAAAGCATTCTGGTACCACTTTAAACTTTTAAAAATTAATCAAAGTTAATAAAAAATGAATTGCATTCAATAATGTTAATCTGTTTGATTTATTAAATATGCATTCAGAACTATTTATATGACTTGGAAACAATCAGAGCCATCCTGCAAAAAAGTAAATTTAAATAGAATATTTTTATCAATGATATCAAACTACTTTAAAAATGTTTTGTTTCATTATCTATAGATATCTTCAAGACAAATAAGCCAGGGTGTTTTTTGCTTGTTTGTTTTTTTAGTTTTTATTTGGCCTCTAATCAGTGGTTCTTTTGCTAGTGTTTTCCACAGGTTAATTTTTAAAAGCAGTGAGTTCTCTAAGCACATACCATTCGGTAATAGCAGGCAGTAGCTGAAACATGCTGAGTATAGGAAAAGAGGACTGGTCTGAATTTCAATTTTATTATTGATTTTTCACCTAGAAACTTTTTTAGTCAAGGTACTCATTTAACTGACCCCAAAATCAGAAAAATAAAGCACAGGAAATTTAAAGAACTGCTTAGGATTTTATATGAAAAAAAGATATTACTGTCATCTCTTTTACATATAAAACTTCTTTGGAAAGGTATATTTTTCAATGATTATTATTACCTACCTACTTAGTTGATCTTATCAGTTTTATATACACATTAAACTCTAGCCTACAAATACAAAACTGTTTATATCCAAAATTTGTGGTTGCAAAATACTCATTTGTTACTTCTTCTGTTATTTTTAAGGATATGGAGGTCAAATTGCTCTTCTTGCCATATTACTGTGATTTTTAGGTATCTTAAAAAATTCACAAAAGTTTTTCGTGTAAATGCTAATCTTTATCACCTTACTTTAAATTATATCTTTGAGTCCTTAGGTTGTTTAGAGTAACCTTAATCCTTAGATTTTTATCTGGGTAAAACAGAAGTTTTACTGTTTTTTTCATGTAGAGTGGTAAGGGCTAAAGAAGACTTACTAATGTTTACTGTCACACATCAGTGGTATTTGAGTTGGAAAATATTTCCAAATTCCATTGTTTCTGTAAAACTTGATTGTTGATAAAACTTTTTTTTAAACTACTTGCTATATTTCACAGACCTAACTTGTGATTATTAATAAGTAGTTATAGAACTACAATTAAATACTTCTATGAGAATTGTACCTTTTGTTTATTTTTTGAATGAGGACACTTTAAAACTTGAAATAGCATCGCTAATAATGTTTCTATGGTCTTGGCAGTCTCTCCATTCTAAACAGGTCTGTAGACTCAGTACTTTGTAATGGTGTTTGTTTGTTGCTTTTGATGGTTGCTCTCATTCACATTAAAGTTTAGCTTTTGAGTAGAGTAATATTTTAAATGGTTTTACTTCTAGTTAATATGAAACACAAGTTTCTGGGTTTTACAAATTTTAATCTATAAGGTTGTTTTAATTTTTAAAAAATTAAATGTTTTATAAAATTCTTTTCATTAATTTCTTGAGGGATAAAATGCCAGCATTAGTTTTAGAAGTATTGTGGCAAAGTTCTATCTTCTTTTGAAGTTGAGTATTTTAGCATATGTCATAAATATGTTAGTAGTATAACTGGAATCCACAAGCAGTTTTCTTGTGTTGTGGTTTATAGTACACACAAATTAGTATTAATTATTAGCTTATTTTGACTCTTCTGTGAGGTCTATTACCCTGTGACAGTAATACATTCTATATTACTGCCTATATAAAATGTGTTTTTAATAGACCATCTACAAACTTGTAAAACATGAAAGCAGTTATTTTTTAAGGTGTATTTCAGCTCTAATGAGCTCTGAGTCCTCACTACAATGATATTAAGTCAAGTTACCATTTGTTTTGAGAATATTGATCTACTTTGGGGGGGTATTTCAGTTGGTTAGTAGTTTTTTTTATTAGAGAACATGCAATGTATGTTGTGGCTTCCACTGAAACAAAAGCTAATATTTAACTTGCACATTTTTATTATATTGTGGAGAAGAATAATAAAAGACTGGCTTTTAACACATGAGAAAATTTAGTAACTAATAAGCACTATTACAGACCATTTTTAGATTATAACTTGGCCATACATTGTCCTAAGAAAGAGAAAACTGGTTTAACCTTACTTAATTTAGAGTTCAGAGTGGCTTTGCACAATTTGACCTCTCAAGTATTTTAGCAATAATTTGTGACATTAGGTCTCTAGTGTTACACAAGATAAGCAATCTGTAACTGTGCAGACAAAAATCCAAGGCCCCCGAAAGCTATGTGATTTGCCAGAAATTGTCCGTTTATTGTAGAATGAGGACTTGAAATTAGGGTTCTTGACTCTAAATAGAATATACTTTCTACCATGTTACACTGACTCGTATGATTTTTTTTTTCATTATTGGGATATAATTTTAATTCTGTGTACTAACTAATGAAAATATTGATTTGAATTAATAATATAAATGGTTTATTCATTTCTGGGCAAATGTAGATCTACTATGAAGATATAATCAGTAATTTTTTCTTTTGGAAATAGGTAATAAGTTCTAACTATAAATAAACTAATGCTTAGATTTAGTATTTAGTTAGCTGTTGGTCATCGTTTTACTTTTTAACAAAAACTAGTCACTAATCTTTTGAGAGGTGTTTGCTCTGTAAAGGAAAACTGGGGGAAATAAAATAAGGTGAATTAGAAAATGGGTGACTTGCTTAAAAGACTGCAACAGGGAGTTGATGTGGAATCAATTTTAAAGCTGTTCTCTCAGGTCCAGTGTTTACGGAAAAATAGTTACTTGCTAACTACATCAAAATTTAGAATTCATCCCAAATGCTGGGGAGATTAGAGCAGATCATTCTGAATTAGGGATGCATTTGAAGACACTGTCCTTACTTAAGGTAAGGAAACACAAAAAAAGAGATGAGTAGAAATTTTACTTCTGTTCAAGTTATAGGACATACAATAAAACAAATTATTGAGACTTGAAACAACATGGGTAAAAAAAAAATGATGATTTATGTCTGGTCTGTTAGTCTATTTTAGAAAAATGAGGTGACGTTGAGGTGGGTAAAATAATTCAAAACTGACATTATATGGAAATAAAAGCTTTTCATATATCAAGTATGGGGAGGGAGAAGTATTTTCCAGGCATGGTGAACATCTCTTTTATATTTAGAAAATGGTATCAAAAAAACATAAACCAGTGTTATTTTTCTTGATTTACTGTTATTTTACATCTTCATATAGAAAATCTTCAAAAGCCTATATTTGATTTCTTCTGAGTTTGTGACCTATACAAGTTCAGCGTGGGTGTTTTAACTTTAAAAAAATCTTTTGAACAATTTTTGATCTATAGGGCAGTGCTGGTCTATTTTTAAACTCTGATTTCTTTTTAAGTGTTTGTGCGTCAGCATAGCGTCTGTTTCCTTTCTTAAGGAATTCAAGAGTGATTGTTTATAAATCCTTGTTGAGGAGCTTATTGTTTCTTGTAGCTTTTTAAATGGCTGTATTAAAGGAGCATTATCACATGAACAGACATCCTGATTAACAGTGTTTCACGTTGGTGATTGGGGGAAGGGTATTCTTTAACTAAATAACTATAATATTTCATAAATTTCAAAATTTTGACCTTGCCAAATGTCAAATGTCAATTAAAATAAGCACATAAAGATAAAGAGGATTAAATTTATCACCTCACATCTAGTATGCTATATTCTGAATGTAAAGTATATTTTGAATTCCTAAGATTTCAAAGAATTGTACAAAAAATATTACCAAAGAATAGTTTTAGAATGAAAGAGACAGGTAGCTAGAAGAACAGTATAAAATAGTGACTACCAATCATATTTGATATATCCTGCGCCTAGACCCAGGGACTTACTGGTATAAATTGCAAGTATTTGTATAGAGGTTTAGCAGAGCAGCTACTGAATATGTTACAAATCTAAGGACAGATATTCGAGAGTCAAGTAGAAGAGAATGTTACCTGTGAGGAAGAAAAAAAATCACGAGAAAGTTTTTATTGTTATTTATACTGAAATCTGTTAGGGATTATGTTTGAGAAAGACAGGAATTTAAAATTCATAAGCAAGTAATAGAGAGGGAGAATATCAAAATAGCCTGTTTTCAGTTACCCCACAAATATTTGTTTGTGCTTACGTTTTAAAACCAAACCAACCTGGCTTTTGTATTTTTATGCATTTGCCATCCATCTGTCTCTGAAACATCATTTTATAATATAGGTAGATACCTGCTGCTCCACAACCAACAGAGGCAGTATGAAACTTAGCTTTTATCATTGCCTGATAAATGTAAGTAAGAACTTTGTTTTCTTACCAAATTATATGCCCTGTCCTTATTGATGGGTATTTAAAAATATCAAATTATCTTAGCCCTTTACATCATCAATAAAATAAAGATTTCCTGTAGTTATTGTGACATGGTATGTTATAATGATTGAAATGGGGAAATCAATGAAAATACAAACAACTTCTGGAATATGTATGCTATTTGTGTGTGAAATTTCAAATACAGATGTTATGTCTTCTCACTATGCTTATCATTCACTAGTGATTTTTGTAGTGTTTTAGACTAAAAGATTCTAAATCAATGCAATCCTGAAAATAGATGCAGCCTTTAAGATATTTTTTGAAGTAGTTAAGTGTTGCCAAATTTTCTTTGTTTATTTTTAGCTTCTGCTCATTTTTTCTTTTTGGCAAGCTGGGTCTTGTTTCTAATTAAGCTAAAAAACACTTTAAGATTGAGTCACTTTAGAACTTAATACAACAGTGATGATAGGAGTACTTATTTCATCGCCAACTTCAGAAGCTTTTCTGAATACAGGAAAGTTATAACTGCCATTTCCTAAAGTCTAGAAGATGGCTTAACAAGAATTACAGAATCACAATTAGACTGTTAAGTTTTTAATGACTTTCTAATACCATTAATCAAGATGATCAGTTTACAACTTCATTTTGAATTATTTATTTAAATTTCTGTAGTGATTATACAGATTCATTCTTTAGATCTCACAATGTTAATTAATGCAGGGAGGTAATATGATACCATAAAAAAAGAACATACATTATAGGTTATGGTTTCATTTCTGCCACTGTACAGTATGACCTTTGATGTATCTTAGTTACTTCTTGCATTTAGAAAGAAGAAAACATCACCAGGCTTACTTCATAGAAACGGTATAGAATAAATTATGTAAAAGCTCTTTAAGAATGTTATGTAGCCAACATCAGGAATTGCTGTGATTCCCCTTTCATTGATGTGGCCCTAAAGTGCTGAAATGGCCAGATTTTTAAGATGAAAAGACCATTTTAAAATAGTTTGCCTTTAAAAATAACCACAGTTATCTAAAACATACTTGAATTTGCTTAGAACTTACTTTTATTCTATTTTTCAACTTAAATACCTTTGATATCCCACAACTTTTTAGCCTGAGTTAGGTGGCATTTGAGAAGTGGATCTGGATGTTGATTTTAGACTTTTAGATGGAAATAAACTTTTCTTGTAAAAAACAAGGGTGGGGGTGACTCTAAAGCTGGACAAAGCCAAATAGATAACTTGGTGCATTCTGCACTAGCAGTCTGGGCTCACAGTGACACTTCAACGTTTCTACGGTGGCCACTGCTTTATCTTCCTAATACACATGATGTTTTGAGTAGCCTCACCTTACAAATAGATTTGCAGAACTGGAAGAAGATTCTTGAAAGGGAGAATTGTGATGAAACCGATATAAATCTCTGTTTTAAAATCTTGTACAGGCTTCTGTTTTAAAATCTTTTCTTCTGGATGAGACATTAGTCTTTAACGTTTGAGGATCTCTGTAACTGAAGACAAACAATAAAATACCAACAGATAGGAAATTACTCAAGGATTATATGTATTTAAATTACTTGTATCAGTAATCCACTCTAGCCTCAGAAGATAATAAAACTAAAGGAGGAAAGGGCATTTAAAATCAGTATGTTTTTATTATGTAAGTTTCTCATTAACTTAAAAAACTTAAAAAATTTAAAACTATAATTTTAAATTCAAGGTTGTTTTGAGATTTAAAGCAGTCCATTATCTTGATAACCAGATAGGCCAATATTTTTATTTTATGAAAAATCCACAAATTTGCTTTTTTGTGGAAAAATTCAATATTTTAAGGCTGTGTGGTTCTTAGAATCAGTTTAAATAGAAAATTTTCAAAGATGAATTCTTGCTAAATCCTATATTAATAAAAACCATCATACTTCTTACAAAGGACACAGTTTGTAGTCTAACAAAAATGAAGGTAGTTGCTATTCTCAGTGAGTTTCTCATTAAATTAGAACTTACCAGTTCATAATACAAAAAAAGGAAAAGAAAGCTTTTCTTTTTAATGAGCTCTCCACTCCTTTTAAAAGACTTATAACTAAATGTGGATCTTAATGAAATTTGAGTTATAGAGGTAAGTGATTATTTTCTTTCCTTCGTGGGAAGATGTCTCTTCCCCTTTCATGTAGAAGATGGCAACCCATGTCTCTTGTGCTGATGACAGCAGCCTTTCTCCACCACTGGGAGAAAACTGTCAGGGAGATATTGGAGTAGGCCAGCCCTGGTGACATCACCATACTGTCTCCTGTTTTACTTCATGAAAATGTGAATGAAAAGTAGGTCCTCTTGTGGAGGGGCTAGAGACACCTGCTCTTCTGATATGAACTCTGATTGTGACTGCTTGAAATAAAAGGAATTAAAAATTGTGTCTAGAACCAAACTGATGTCTACCAGTTTAGAATCTGTATTTAATTTATGACATTATAAGATCCAATATCTCTGTTAACATGAGTAGAGAAATCTGTATAGCTGATTCTAAATAAACCCACCTGGATATCAGAAAAAGCAATGGATTATTGCTTTGACCTTACTCTTTGAGAGGGAAATAAACCAGCTGGTATTGCTGAGATCCAGATAACAGGGGAGTTTCCTCCCATGTCCTGCCTTTATCTGTCTTCCTTCAAATTCCTGTGATTAATAAGTTTAAGTCAGCTGGTCAGAGTATACAGAGATCAAGAAATAAATTGATACAAAATTTTCATATCAGTGGTTTTGCCATTAACTTAGAAAACCTAAAGATAACAGTTCATTATAAAATCCAAAGCATTCTATATGGTCAAAATTTTGGGGGACTTTTAAAATTGACTAATCTCTTTTGAAATGTAAATAATAGTTTTAATCATTCTGAATCAAGATTTTAATAAGATATTTTTTCTTTTCTTCTTAGATCCCAATTTTGTTCGGACATTTCTTACAACATACAGATCCTTTTGTAAACCTCAAGAACTACTGAGTCTTATAATAGAAAGGTCTGTCAATTTAAAATGTTTAAATTCCTCCCCCCTTTTTTTTTCTTTTAAGAGATTGAGCTACGATCTTTTGTGTTTCTTAGAACTATTGGATGTGCTTTAAATTGTAGTTCATGAGTACTTTTTAAAGAAATCAAATCTCTCTTAGATTACCATTTATTTTGTAGCAATGTTAGCTCTGATTATATAAACAAAATGTTGAGGAATATTGTTAGTGAACAAATACTATAACCAAGGGAAGTGTTTTTTCTATCTAAACAGAGCAATCAGCTTTTCAAGCATTTCCCTTAAAAACTGTTAGCTGATTTCAAGGAATTTATAAACCAAAATTGAATATCAGCCTCATAACTTTATAATCACATTTAGCTTTAGAATTTGCATATATTCATTATTTTTATATTTTTGGTTTTACCTATATTAGCAAGTATTAATTTCATTTAAAAAATAAGATCATTAACTTTTACATTATAGAAGCCTCAACTTGTTTTCACTGATGTATGTGGCCTTAGTAATATTTTATAGTAGTCTCTTAACTGTGCTAACTAGTGAATGGATTTGTGGTTTTCTACTTGTATAATTTTATAATTAGTAATTTCACTAGTCTGTTCTGTTTTGTTAGGTTTGAAATCCCAGAACCTGAGCCAACAGAAGCTGATCGCATAGCTATAGAGAATGGAGATCAACCTTTGAGTGCAGAGCTAAAAAAGTTTAGAAAAGAATATATACAGCCTGTACAACTACGGTGAGCATAAAATAAATAACTGAATAAATGCATCTTTATTGACATTTTGTTTCAGGGTTGAATTATATAAGCATCTTTTCCAGGCAAAAGGAAGTAAAAAAGTTAAAAAAACAATTATCTGAAACTGTTATATGTCTTAAATTAATAGAATTTTGAAAGTGTTAAACCACTTATGAAATTGTTTAATTTGGTAAGTTACTCTGTTTTCATTTATATCATTCATTGTGATAAACATTTACGGTTCAGTTCCCATGTAACGCCATTATTCTTCTTTGTTAATGCCATAGAGTATTAAATGTATGCCGGCACTGGGTAGAGCACCACTTCTATGATTTTGAAAGAGATGCACATCTTTTGCAACGAATGGAAGAATTTATTGGAACAGTAAGAGGTATGGTTTTTTTAAGTGCCTATTTTATATGAAATATAAGTACCAATATGGTTACTGTCAATGTCATCACTACTTAGTGTTGTTTATAATCATTTGAAAAAGTCAAAAATTATTATCAGTTTTAACCTATATACTGCCTGATAATTACTCTTTGACCCAATGTTTTTTCATTTAGTAAATCAATATACAGATAATTTTGGGATTGAATAGAAAAAGTCTCAACTTATGCTGTCTTTACACTTATCTAAAAGTATGTGTACTAAAAGACAATTAGGAACTAATGTGCCAATTTAACACCACTGGTAGAGGTTGACTGGCCCATAATTAGGTGAATAATGTATATGTTGGAGAGGCAAAAGAACACATTTAACTGAGAACTGAGAAACAAGAGTTCTAATTCTGTTTCATACACTGCCACTCACCAGATATGTGACTTTGGGCAAAATCATTTCAATTTTCTTATCAGTAACATGAGGAGCTAGGCTTGATGACCCCAGAGTTTTCTTTCTAGGGTTATAGGTCCTATAATTGTATAGATTTAAGAATATTCTAGACAAAATTGTTTCTATTTCCTTTGTACACTCTAAATGAGAATCAGAAAATAAAGGATTAAATAACAGTATTTTCATGCATAGTACAAAAGAAAGCCACATCAAAAACTTTCACTAAAATTAAGGAATTAGTTCTCTGGCACTGTCTGGTTTATAAAATGCATTGTTAATTTGATTAATAGTGAATGTCTGTAATCCTTATAAAACTCATTTTTGTAAAATACGTCTTTTTGGAGGACGATTGTAAAATAATATTTTAAGCTCAAAAAAAATAAAGGTGAAAATTCTCTACAAATAAATGGCATTCTAATTTTATTCAGAAAGAATATGGAAAAATAAATGCCAACTGACAATGGTTACGCATGTGAAGTGAATGAGATTGGAATAGAGAAAAGAGAAACAATAAGATGGAGCTTCCATTTTTTATTTTGCTCATTTGAACCTTTTATAGAAGGAATATATTCAAGTATCACTATTATTTTAAGCTATTTTTTAAATATTCTGTAAAAAGTATTTAAATGTTATTTTAAATGTAATATATTTTAGGTAAAGCAATGAAAAAATGGGTTGAATCCATCACTAAAATAATCCAAAGGAAAAAAATTGCAAGAGACAATGGACCAGGTCATAATATTACATTTCAGAGTTCACCTCCCACAGTTGAGTGGCATATAAGCAGACCTGGGCACACAGAGACTTTTGACCTGCTCACCTTACACCCAATAGAAATTGCTCGACAACTTACTCTACTTGAATCAGATCTATATCGGTATGTAATTTGACATTCAAGCTAAAACATCTTTCAAAGAAATTTGTTTTTTAAATGGAATGCTAGTTTCTTCCTTAGGGCATTGTTGTAAGCCATAAATGAGTAACGCATGAAATGTGTAATAATAAGACCTGATGCAGAAGACTCCTCTCCTTTGACTCTCTTGATCCCCCTTGCTCTGTCTGGAGTTAGAACTCTGTCGCTTTCTGCAGTCACTTCTGCTTAGTAAAGTTATGTTCATATCTTGGTTTTAACAATTGTTGACTTCATATCAATACCTTGGGCAATTTTAACCTTCTTGTGTCAGTTTTATCTTTCTACCCCTTATATTCCTCAAGACTAAAATTGGCCTGATGATAGTACAGCAGGTCATTGAATAACATCAGTTTGTCAAATGCCATATCATTAACGTGTTGATAAGAAATAATACCAGCCGATGTTGAAAGAAACATTATTGAAGACCTGCTTTCACTATACATCCTTTCATGGTTTCACTTGTATGTGGAATATAGAGAAACCAAACAAAGGGCTAGGAAAAAGACCAAACTTACAAGGTGACCACAGAGCTGAAACACAGAGGAGGGAAGCAGAGGGGGGAGGGGCAACATGGGAAAGAAGAGCACCAAGGACTATGGTGTGTATCACAGGGGGTGGGAGAACTAATTATGGGGACTAGATCTAAGGGGAGAAGTGGAATAATTCATCCAAATCCAAAAATTAACAATAATGTAAGAAAAAAATAATTTAAAAAACAAACAAGCTATATACATCCTTTCACTTAAAATCAGTTTCCAAGGACCTCTGTTAAGGAGGCTGTTAAGTGAGGACCACTCCTAGAGCTATTGTGAGGTTTAAAATAGTATCTATTTTAGTGCTTAACATATTGCCCAGCGCAAAGTAAGGGCTCAATATTTGTTAGCCCCTGCTGTTGTAGTTGCAAACTTAGGTGATAGCCAATTATAGCCTTCTTTTTTAGCTTTTCTACATTTATTTAACTATCTCAAAAAATGTGTTTCTAAATTTTAAATGTTACTATTTGGAATTTTAAGCTAAATTATTTATTTTTAATAAGTGAAAAACGGAGCTAAACTTACAGATCTCTCCTCTCACCAAAAACTGCTGCTAGAACATACTTTACTTATTTCTCAAGACCCTTTTGTATTAGGTTTATTCTTCTTCACTGAGAGGCAAATTAAACATTTTATGAATTGCAGTGATCACTATACCCTGATACTACTTTTTAAAAGTACTGGACTGATACTACTTTTTAAAAGTATTATTTCAAACTACTTTGTCAACCTGATTTGCTATATCTTATTTTTATAAGTGCCAAGAAAGATATTATGAAGAAATCCCAACCATATATACACAAAGCAAAATGCTACTATAAAGCGGTAATGAAAGTACACAGGTACTTGCATAAAAATATTTTTTTAATCTATAGAAAAAGATAACAATTGTAATTTTTTAATACTTTTTTCATAGACCTTTCTCTGGTGTAAGGGGAAGATTTATGTGAGGGTTTAATTTTTATTTATCTTATTAATAAAATAGCACAGTAGAGGGAAAAGAATCATGTAAAATTATGTCTTGATTTTAGAGCTGTCCAGCCATCAGAATTAGTTGGAAGTGTATGGACAAAAGAAGACAAAGAAATTAATTCTCCTAATCTTTTGAAAATGATCCGGCACACCACTAATCTCACTCTGTGGTTTGAAAAGTAAGTATCATTGATACTTTTATATTTCAAAGCAATCAGCTATGATATGAATTTTCAATGCAGTTCTATTTCTGTCTCCTATCTTTTTTGTTCCTGTATGCCTTTCTTTAGCATTGAATGAATATTTTTAATGTACCATTTTAATTTCATTAATTAGTTATTTTCATTACATTTTTTGAGATATTTTAGTGGTTGCTTTAGAGTTTACCATATTATATATCATATTAGAATCAGATTCAAATGTATAGTAGCTTAATTCCTGTAAATAGAGTTAATTCCAGTTAATTCCAATTAATAGATCTCTCATGTAGTTCTATTCCCTTTCCTTTTTGTGAAATTATGCATATTACATATCATTAATGATGTAAATCTAACAATACTTTGCTTTAATTGTTGCTTTACCATTTTCTTAACCCATCACAGCTTCACTCTCACCTGTCACCTTTATAGGGTTATTGGCAATATATTTACACATATATTACATTTCTGTATGTTAAAGCCCTTATATACCAAATATATAGGAAATATAGGAGGAAATATATATATTTATAAAATATATATAATATTATATAAATATATATTTATAAAATATATACCAAATATAGGAGGAAGATGATTGACGTGTTAACTACATCAGTCTGGAAAACAGTGAAGAACAGCATGCCTAACTGTGAAAGTATTGCCTTATCTTCAGTTTCCTATATCTACTTAATATTCTGAATGTATATTCTCTATCTCTGTTAACCCTCACTTTGTATTATTTTATTACTAAATTCCTTAGATCATAGCTATATTGGGAAAACTCCAAATTTTTTCATTCATTTTTTTCTCTTTGATTCTCAGATGTATTGTAGAAACTGAAAACTTAGAAGAAAGAGTAGCTGTGGTGAGTCGAATAATTGAGATTCTGCAAGTCTTTCAAGAACTGAACAACTTCAATGGTGTCCTTGAAGTTGTCAGTGCTATGAACTCATCACCTGTTTACAGACTAGACCATACATTCGAGGTAGGTTTATATATGTGTTTTTAAAATGAACTTCTATTCCCTGTTCTAAGAATCAGGATTTTAGCAATTATAAGTGTTCCCTTTGCCTTTGTACTCTAAAAGTTGAAATTATCTAAATTTTATAATGAATTGGTTACTCTTTTCAGACCTCCTTATTAAAATGCGCTCACAGATCCTAACCTAAATAAAGGAAAAAGCTTTCAGAACTCAGTTTATACTATAATGTACAATTAAATGCTCACATTGTTGTTTGAGGAATGGTAAAAAAAAAACAGATTTCTTACAAATACACCCATTCTTTAAGTTTCTATTAGGTCCATGAAGATAGTGTCTTTACGCAGTATTGTCATTCTTAAAATCAGTTTGATACTATTGTGATTGGGCTTCACTCATAGACTGACATTTTTTGATAAAACCTGTGATTCCTTTTATAAACTTATGCTTCCTAAATATTTTTTTTAGCAAATACCAAGTCGCCAAAAGAAAATTTTAGAAGAAGCTCATGAATTAAGTGAAGATCACTATAAGAAATATTTGGCAAAACTCAGGTCTATTAATCCACCATGTGTGCCTTTCTTTGGTGAGCATTTCCTCTCGAGTTTTTATTGTGATTCTGGATAAAAGACATTTATTTCATTAAATGACTAAGTTTATACCTGTATAATATACAAGCAGAAAGTGTTTAAAAATATTTAGCACCTGAATTCTCTTAGATTTTTTCTCTATTAGGACTTTTTAAGATTAATTCCAATATACATTCCATTTTTTTCCATTTTTGGTGATTAGATATTATATAATGTTTACTTATGCTTTTACATTCATAGAAATCTTTTTAATTGAATTTTAATAAACTAGACTCTTCACAGAACAGACATGGCCCAACTCCTCCATATTTATAATTGTTTCTTATATAAACAGTTTCACATGGCTAATAATCAAAGTGTATCTTTGAGCCCATACTTTTAGCGCATCAGAATTTTAATCTCTTTACCTTCCCTTTTTTCTTTCTGCACCAGAGAAAGTCTCTTTTCTTCCTTTTAAGATTGAAGTATCTGCCATCTGAATCTTCTCCCTCTCTGTAGGTTCCTCTAACTTACTTTTCGATTTCCTGAATCTCTTTCACACTGATTCATTTTCTTTGCCTGTATGTATGTTCTGGTGATTCTTCCTTGGGATACTTAGAAAAATTGTTCTCTCTCTTACACACCTAGTGTTTAGTCTTTGTAGTAGTGATATCTTTTCTTTTAGACTTTTCTCATCCATCTATAACTTTTCTGTATAACTTTGTTATACTGCACATAATAATGTTGATCCTCAGTTTTTTCAATTAAACATACCCTGTTTTTGCACATTTTTTTGTCCAAGTTTATAACCAACCACTTTAACATTTACTTCTAATATTTTTACTGTACACATTTTATATAGTTGTAAGTGTATGACATGTACACATTAATAATTTTTTTACCATATCCTAAATATACAGTCATGTTTTATTAGTCTTCATAATTTTCATTTGTAATAGCTGCATAATATTCCATGAAGTTTATATGACTATTTAACCATTACCCTGTAGTTGGGCAAATTTCCAGCTTTTTGCTTTCCTAAATTATGCTGTAATTAATATCTTCATATAAATGCCTTTTTCTGTGTTTGAGAATATTTTTTTTGTGATAGCTAGCCAAAAGAGTAATTACGTAAGTTAAAAACTGTCATCTTTTTTTCAACTCTTGATACATATTGCCAAGTTGCTTTCTGAAAGACTTATTTATGCAGAAGTATATGACAAAGCAAATTTCATCCCATAATTTCTCTCTTTGGGTACTTTGTTTCAATTCTGCATTTTCACAGATGAAAACTACTACCTATTAGTTGAATTTAATGTTTTTAAATACTGTGGACATTTTTTCATTTAAATTTCGCTTTCTCTCTTGTCTATATTCTTTTTCATCTGTTACATATATTTTACCAATCTGCCTTTTAGTTTTTCTTCTTTTAAATACTTTAAAATTCTATAATCTGTCAGTTTTTCCTTCCCATTATGATTTCCATTGTTTCTAACCTTAGAAAGTTCTTTCAGGGCCTCCCTGGTGGCGCAGCGGTTGAGCTCTGGGTTGCGAAGCTGCCCGTGGCCTCTGCGGTGCCGGTTCAATCCCCGGCTGCTCCCCCGGCCACCGGAGGAGGGTCCCACATGGCGCGCAGACCTCTCCTGCCGCCCGCTGCTCCCCTCAGCAGTGTACTTCGGTCCTTCTGCCTGCTCTGCTCCCTGCTCTGGCTCTGGTGAATTCTCTCACCCTCCCGCACTTCTGACTGTACCCAGTGCTTGTATAAACAAAACAAACAAACAAATAAAGAAATAAAGAAATAAAACATGCCTCAATTAAAAAAAAAAAAAGTTCTTTCAGCATAGTCAATTTAATATTCAATTATATTTCTTTCTCTATGATTTGACCTAAAATTATTTAAGTTTTTAATGAAATTGAAGTCTCTTTTAGATAGCATATGAAATATTCAAAATTATTTTTAAATTTTAAACAATTTTAAACAAATTGTTTATATTTTTTAATCCAAGTTTGGTTAGCAATTCCTTTTTCCCCCATTTATATATGGTATCTTCTTTGATAAATATTGTTTCCCAGTAGCCTCTTACACCTAATGTCCTAGTTCCTATGATAAGCACTTTATAATCTGTGATTCTCATCTGGGGTCAATTCCTTCCCTAACCCCCCTTAAGGCAGCCTTCCCCCCAAATTTAGCACTGTTTAGAGATTTTTGTTGTTATTCTAATTGAGAGGTACCAGAGGTATCTAGAGGGTAGAGAACAGGGATGTTGCTAACATCCTACAATGCACAGGATAGCCTCACAACAAAGAATCATCCAGTCCAAAAGGTCAGTTATGCCAAGACTGAAACCCAGCTATTTATAGTGTTTTCATGTTATGATAAAGTTAGTTCTTCAGTGTTTCATAAGTACTTTCTTTGCCAGTTTGTCTCTATTTTTCCAAATGAACTGTTCAATTTGTAGGGGTTTTCATTATTTAAGAATCAGTTGTCATTAATTCCAAGAAATTTTAATTTTCTAAATATTCAATCACATCTACTAATAATGTTAGTGTCCCTCTTCCTCTGGTCTTATATATCTGTGTTAGGCCTTATGGCATTGGTCATAATTTCCCAACGTATAAAGAATAATGATTAAAAATAAGCAGCTCTGTTTTCAGTTTCAGGAGGAATAGGTATAATTTTGCTGTTTGATTGATTAGATGCTTTTCATTCTGTTAAAAGTTGCTTTTCATAGTTTTTTCTTGTGTTTTTTGTTAGTAATACTCCATATACTCTTAATTCGCCATCTCAGTGAGAGAAAAATGATTTTTCTTGTTTAGCAAATTAAAATTATAGATTTACTAATACTGAATCTTTTAGTCACTAATATAAAATCTCATTCATGGTAGATAATCTTTTAATATACAAGTGAATTCTATTCATTATCACTTTAGGATTTTTGTATCTATCTTCATAAATGAGATTGGTCAGTGATTTTTCTTTTTATTCTGTATTTATTAGTTTTGTTTTTATGATTATATTTACTTTGTAACATGAGTTATGTAGCTCTCTACCTTATTCTGATCTATTCTGGAATATCATGAAATTAGCCTTTAAACGTTTAAATAGTCATTCCAATAGAAAAAACACCTAGATCTGGAACCTTCTAAGGATATAATTCTATAGTACTGTTTTCATTTCTTTCTTTTTTCCTCTATCAGTTCTGCTACAGAGTTGTCTCATTATTTAATAATACTAGCATTCACCTATCTACAAAAATGTTGTTTTTAAATTGCTCCCTTTTGCAATGTTTTTCCCATTTCTGTATTTGTTTGTTTTACTTTATTTTTCTTCCAAAATATAAGATCTTAAACTTACTCTCTGCTGATTGTTTTTTTGTCATATATTACTTTTTGTTCTTATTAATTTATTCTGTTTTCATGATGACATTTTCCCCCCTAAATTCTTGATAAAACTATTGAGTTCATTAAAGCATTAAAGTCTGTGCATTTACTTTTAAGTGTGGTGACTATGATGCCAGTTCATACAAGGGAGCCCGGGAAGGATCTGGGTAGGTCTGATGTTCATTCAATATCTTGACAAATATTTCTTAATCACCTAAGTATCAGGGACTGTGTCAGGTGCTTACAAAAAGTGACAAATACATAATCACTCTATGCTCACCGCACTTACTAGTTGTGCTACTCATGATGTCCTGTGGTGTGCTCATCACCCTAGTTGGGGGGCATTTATTTATATAAACTGAATTCTCTAAAGTACCCTCTCTCAGATCCTTGTGAACAAGCAATTTTGATCTTTATAACATTTTGTTAAGGGAAAAAAGGAAGTTTTAGGCAAGTATTTGGAGTGTAATTCCATTCAAGTGTTTTAAGATAATCTATATGTTTTCCTGAATCAATAGAAGGGCTCAGGTAATTTAACAGGGACAGTCCACCTGTCAACCAGCCTATCCATTTATGCTCCTCTTCCTTGCTATTGAGCCTCTGTTGTCTTAAGGTAGTTTATCTGAACTGTCCATTGTCAGTTTTGCTGCTCTATTAAGATTTCTGCCTTTCTTAGCTAAAGATTATTAGTCCTTGGAGTAAGTTAGACAGCCTCTCGTGGTTATGACACAGTATGTAGAGCCAGGTATTATTGCTGTTTCTTAAATCCATCTTGTCTGTTTTGGTAGTTTATTGAAACTCCTTCCAGATTCTTATCCTTGATTCTGAACACTGTTTCCCCCTCCATGGGAGGGTCGGGGATAGTTGCTGATACTTTTACTTCCTCTATCATTTTGACAGAATTCTTATTTAGGTCTTTTGTGGCAATGTACCAACTTATAAAAGTCAGGAAATGTCTCCTTCCACAGTTATGCCAGGTTACTCATCTACATTCCAATTTTCTCCATACACTAATTATAATCATAGATAGAAAGGATATGTATACACACAAACTAACATTTCCTCTAAGGTAAAAGGATATAGATTCCTCCCTCACCTTTGTGCATAAAACTCACCTCTGTGCACAGACATCCAAGCCTGTAGCACTACCTTTGTTCTTTCCTTTTATACAGCTCTAATTTTGTGTCTTTGTTTTGGTTTTGTGGGTTGTTTTTTGTTGGTTTTTTTTTTTTTTCGGTTTGCTTCATCGCCACTCTTGTTTTTCTGCAGTTTTAGAACTCACTATGTCATCTTCATCCTGGTCTGTTCTCTAAATGTGTTCTTTTCTGTTCTGAAATAATGTGTTTCCTTCATTCAGAAACATTTGTTAAATGCCTCCAGGTGCCAGTGCCCAGGGCTTAGGTGTTGAGAAGAGACATAAAAATAGGCCCACCCTCAAGCTCTCTTGAAGAGCAGAAAAAATAAATTGCATCACCATGTAGTAAATATAATACTGTATTGTAGAAATGTGTAAATCAAAGTGTGAACAGAGTGCTATGGGAACCTAGAATGCTTAGAACAGTATAGGGTGTGTAAAATGATCTATTGCAAAAAAAAAAAAAAATTAAACTGTAACTGTATATAATATTCAAGTCTCGGTGTATATTTGTACTACATTTTTTATTTTAAAGTTATATACATTGAAAATGCATGCTTAAAAGATTTTTTACTGATGTAGAGCATCCAAAAATTTTGGACACTGCCTTTTTATCATCTATTCTTTTAACTTGCCATCAATTTTTCATAAAATAATTTACAAATTTTATCCTGAGCTCTTCTAAAATACTTGTAAACATTTTCATAACTGCATTCAAATGTACTTTGAACACCTACAACATTCCATAATTTTTTATCTCACAAGGTCTCAGTGTCAGTCAGTCATAGCAGCACCCAGTCACAAAACTGCCGAGCCCAAAATTGAGTGTTCTCTTCCCCCTGGCCCCACCCTCTGCCCAAATCAGTTAATCAGTTCTTGTGAAATCTAACTCTTAAATACTTATGCATGCCACTCTATCCCCACACATCTAAGATAGCCTTCATCATCTCAGGAGGTGTACTTTTTATCCCGGTAATTGCTCTTCCTGTTTCTAGTCTTAACTCCTTCCAGTCTATCTGGCTTCATAGCACAGAATAATCCTTTTGGAATGTAAAGATGCTAAGAATCTCGTAATTACCTACTCAATAAAAGTTAAGCTCTTTAACAAAAAAACTCCAGGTACTGCTACCCATAAACTCTTCATAGTTGAGTCATTTATTTGTGACCAATATAACCAGTTGATTTGCCATTAAATATGCAGACTGTTTTGGACTTGTCAAACTGAACTAAGCAGATCATGTAACTTAGTGACAACTAAATAGATCATGCAAACTTAGTGTAGAGGAAAACATTATTGGCTCAAGTAAGAGTCAAGTGACAGGCAGATATGGAAAATTAAAAAAAACTGCTTACCAGACCACAGGGTAAACTGTCTTTTGAATGTATAATCAAGAGTGGCCTAGGTACTCATAACAGGATCCTTTTAGAACTAAATGGGCATTGATGTCTATCACGTTTTATTATTTTTGACTGTGTTCACTATTTATCATGACTTACGCAATCTTCTCAAGAATGTGGCCAAAAACCATAGTATTTGAAGGTATGCCTATACCACAAAAGCATTTAGAACAACTTAGAATAAAGTGGTTATTATTTTATTCATTCTCATCCAGTGCACATCCTGCAGTGATGGGGAAGGGACTGGAACTACAAATCCATTGTCCTCATGTCCTGCCACTCTTGCTCCATCCTACACACTAACTTCTGTTGTCTAGCCGTATCGAACAACATGCTGTCTCTCAGTATACCTTCTAAACGTCATCGTAAACCAATGCCTTCATATAAACAGCTGCGTTGCTTAGACTGCCCTTCCATGTTACTCTACTTATTAAACTTTGATTCATTTTTGAGACTTATTTCAAGCATCACCTCATTTGTGATACTTTTTCTACTCCTACTAATTTAAGGCAGAGTTAAGCACACCTCCTCTATGCTTTCATAGCATTTTATTATACATTGCTACTAATATAACACTTACCAAAATGTACTGTGGTAGCCCACATTCAAAGCTCAGAACTTGAGGTCAAGGATTGTGAGTCTTGCTCATCTTTGTATCTGCAGTTCTTAATGCAGTGCTTGACATACAGCAGAGACTCAGTACCTGTGTATTGAGTGAATGAACTCAGATATTCACACATAAACCCCTTTTCCTCCAAAGCATCATAGTTAGTACTTTAGGGGAAAAGCAGAAACATAAGGGAATACAGCAAGATAGCAACAACAGGGTAACAATCACAGTTATAGCTAATCAAGCATTTACTTTTGACAGGCACTATTCTAAGCCTATACATAAATTCACACATTTACTCCTCACAGTAGCCCTGCTATCCTCACTTTACAAATGAGCAAATCAAGACACAGAAAGGCTAAAGAAACTTGTACAAGATCACACAAGTAGAAAGCAGCAGGGCTGGCTCATGAACATTTATGCTAGAGCAGAAAGGCGCTCAAGTGCTCCTGGCACCAAAGGCCTATGAAGAGCTAATGTTCCTCTCATTCTGCTCATTCTCCTCCTCATCTAGTGTATAATGTGCAAAAGGGGAGACGAGCTCGATACTAGGTTGTCATTAATTCTAGAAGTACTGATGACCAGAATATACATAAATTATATACAGTCCTGTGTTTGATAGGCTTGCAAATCCTTCCACATTTCCATGAGTAAACCTACTAAAATAATATTATCTCTGAATTACTTCTTGCAGGGCTTCAAGAACTGAGTAAGCAAAAAAAATGTAATCCTCTGAATGTGACATTTTTCCCTTTTGCCAAAAATATATGTTATTACTCACAGGTTATTCTTACAGTTCCTTTAACAAAATTGTGACATATCAAATAACATGGTTTGATGAGCATGGAAAATTGATTATTCCCCTTGAAAAGTATTAATTTTGTTAAACTTGGACTTTTTCTTGGGTATTTATAAAACTTAAGTCTGTCACAGAAGAATCTGATACTTACAAGAAATCTTTCTCAGTATTTCCTTACTTGCTTTTCATAGAATGAAAATCTGTGCCCTAATTCTTTGGCTGTGGTGACTGAGATGGGACAACGTGATATGCTTATAATTACTGAAAGAAAAAAAAAAAACTTTTCTTTCTTCTTGAAATAATTTCATTATATCTTCTAGGAATTTATCTAACTAATATCTTGAAAACAGAAGAAGGCAACCCTGAGGTCCTAAAACGGCATGGAAAAGAGCTTATAAACTTTAGTAAAAGGAGAAAAGTAGCAGAAATAACAGGAGAGATCCAGCAGTACCAAAATCAGCCTTATTGTTTACGAGTAGAATCAGATATCAAAGTAAGTTGAATTATTTGAGTATATAATTTATGATTAAGTTTATAAACCAACTGATGAAAAGTCATTTCATAGAGGAGAAAAAAGAAATCTTACAAGAAATAGTTTAAATTTTCTTAAGTTTAATGTTTTCTTAAATTCATGAATTTCAAATATTTAATATTAATAATTATTTATTTCTTTGCATTTATTTTAGAGATTCTTTGAAAACTTGAATCCAATGGGAAATAGCATGGAAAAAGAATTTACAGACTATCTTTTCAACAAATCCCTAGAAATAGAACCACGAAACTCTAAGCCTCCCCCAAGATTTGTAAGCATTCATGATTTATATTTCTTATACATTTATATATTATTTTTATATATTATTTGCAGCTGTCATCTATATTCTGTGATGTCATCACTACTACATGTGTTATTTAGACTAGTTTTTTATAAATGCCTTCAGAGAAAAAACACACTTATGATGGATGAAAGTAATGAAATATGTGCTTAGTAATATGTTCGGGGCAGCTCTCCTGTCTGCCTGAGACTATTCTCAGAGGTGCCTCTCTTTTTTCTTTTTCCTTTTCTAATAAGCCTGTCCTTTTAAAACGTAAATAGATAAATATGTTTAGGACTACCTCACCCAGTTTCATAAATAAATGAGCATTAATATAGTCTGAATAAATCCCAATATGATAAAGAAATTGGGTAGATACTAAAGGTTTTTTTGTTTTTTTTTTTTTTTTTAACAAAAATGTTATTCAAGATTTAAGGGCAGGAAATTTTAATACCTTACACTAGTTCACTTAAAATATACATGTAACCTTTTTATAAAATAATGTCTTCTTAGAATTCTTAACCATGAGTATTAACCATATATCAGATTTGATTAAAGATATTTTCTTTTGAAAAATAAAGTTTTCATTGTTTTATATTACTTGTCAGTGCCTCACCAAATATATGTACAAGTATCATCACCTTACTGATCTGAAAATAATCTCTCTTATTTGTAAAAATTCAAGAATCAAGAAGTAAATATAACTGGCTTCTGAGTAACAAGATAAATCTCACTATGTCTGTGAACTAAAGATTATGCAGATTCCTCACAAGAAAACATCTCTTAGCCTAAAACAGTTGTTAAAGATGAATTATTAGCAGCAAACTGGGCCAGTTATATGGTCCACTCCATTGAAGTATGATGATATCAGAGAAATGATAATTCTTTAAGAAATTTCCAGAAAGCTTTACACACACAGATAAATCTCAAGCAATTTAATGCATTTGTAAATAGCTCAAATATCTTATCTTGTATTATAGCATAGTAAGGTGTTATAATTCATAATGATGACCCTGGCTTTTTCAACATGATTATCAATTGAACAGTTCAACAGACTGTTTAAAAACCACAAGATGGAGCCAGAGAAATATATAACACATCTTAGAGTTCCATACAAAAATATTAAAATAACAAATACCCAGGCTATTAATGGGACTAAAACTCAGCTATTTAAAGAAATTCATCTCTAATAATTAGATAGCAAAGACTTTTCAGAAATGGGATATTAGTGCTTTAATTTGAGCACTTTAAATAATTATGTAATTTCTTTATTAAAGGTTTATGGTTTACTAGATGTTAATATTAGCTGAATTTTACCAGGTATATAGAGAAAAATCTTCCTACTATACTCATAAAAGAATTATATTTCTTTTAATATGTCTACAGCCAAAAAAATACAGCTATCCCCTAAAATCTCCTGGTGTTCGTCCATCAAACCCAAGACCAGGTACCATGAGACATCCCACACCTCTGCAGCAGGAGCCAAGAAAAATTAGTTATAGTAGGATTCCTGAGAATGAAACAGAAAGTACCGCATCTGCACCAAATTCTCCAAGAACACCGTTAACACCTCCTCCTGCTTCTGGTGCTTCCAGTACCACGGATGTTTGCAGCGTATTTGATTCTGATCATTCAAGCCCTTTTCACTCAAGTAGGTGTTAAAATTTTAAGTGCTCTAAGTAATTGTTAGTGTTATATGTGCTAGACGTAAAATGAATCTGTATAATTTTTTTTTATTTTTTGTAAATTTGTAGACAAATACCATTTCAAAAGATATTATAAAACTCTTTTCAAATCTAAGCCACAGCAACTTATAATTCTTTAAAAATCTGTTGGAACAGCCCTCTTTAAATTTATTATACTTTACTGAAAGATCTGGCGATGAAATTTGTAATTTTTACACTTTTGAGCATTGGTTTTCAAGTAGAGAATTTGAAATACTTCCCTCATATCCAGAGGAAACAAAGGTGATTCCTAAATTCCACAAGAAATGTCAAGTCAGTACTTTAAATTATTATATTTGAATACTACTTCAAATAAACCATTCTCTTGCCACCAACTATTGTAGGTAGTAATTTTGCAGTGCTTCAGATTCTTACTTAACCCTTTTTTAGTCTATAGCATTCCATCAGATTATTATCTAGTGCCTACTAACGTACTGTCTATTCTTTTAGGGCCAACCATGCAAGCCTCACAGGCCGTATACTTTTGCTCATCCCTTTCTTACGTCAAGATCAGTGCTATCTAGTAGAAATATAGTGAGTCCATATGAAACTTCAAATGTACTTTAGGCACATAAAAAAGCAAAAAGAATTAGGTGATATTAATTTTATGATATTTATTTTATTTAACCCAGCATATGCAAATTGATTTCAACATGAAATCAATATGAAAATTTATTAAGAGAATTTATTAAGATATTTTATTAAGATATTTTACATTCTCCGTTTGGTACTGAATCTTCAAAATCTGTTAGGCATTTTACACTTAAAGCATATCTCAGTTCAGAATTGCCACATTCCAATACTTAATAACCACATTAGCTAGTGGCTACCAAACTATACATCGCAGCTCTAAGCTTTTGAAAAAGCTGCCTTTTATATCTAGGTGACCTGTTTTCATTAATTTTCCAATCATTTCATATGAAGCTTTAAAGTTCCAAGAACACACCTTTTTTCCTTTGTTAATTATCAAATCAAGACTTGAATCTAGTCACCTTTAACCTTCTCACAACCACTGCCACATGTTCTTCCCAATGGCTGTTCAACGCACAGATCAACTGTAACCCTAATATTTTACAGAACAGAATCCAATACTGAGAGGCGGAAGGACATAATAGTGCGAGGAGGGTGGGTGGGAAGCAGGACCTACAAGTTAGGAATCCTGGCTTGTCATTCCAGTCTGCTCGTGAGCTTTCTGAGTTTAGATAAAATATTTTTTCTGTGGCTCTGAGGATCAAATTAGACTTTTAAGATTCCGACCAACTCAGAGAATCTTAACTTTTTCATTAAAATTGACTTAAAATTATTTGTGGCTACCCAACAGATTGTCTTGTCTTTTTACCACCTAAAGTGTATTTGTTTTGAAAATTACTACTTCTTGACTTTATTTGGCTCCTGAGAATTATGGAGTCATGATATGCATTTAGAAAGTTATCAGGATATTTTAGAAATCCAAATAAATACCAGGTTGAAAAATTTTTTTCCATTTTCTCCAACTTGCCAACCCCCTAAATTAAATAATAAAACCCTCATTTTTTGCAGTACACCTGATCTAAAATTTATTCTCACCCATTTAACTGTTAGGGTGATAGATTGTGGTGGTGGTGGTGGTGGAGGTGGTGGTGGTGGTGGTGGTGGTGGTTTTTACCTAGAGCAGATATGACTGTATTATCAGGATTCCCATGTAAGTGAATTGTTGAAATCACATGAAAGCCACCAATTATAAATCCTACTTCTCTTACTTTCAAAAGTAGCAATAAATAGAAGAGGTGGAAAAATTGGAGATAAGGTCATTATGTTACCTACTGCTAAACCTTTATATTTAAATGATTAGTAAAACAGGGGAAAAGGAATCATTTTAGAATGCAGCGCTCTGTCTAAATCGGTACTTAGTCACTGGTAGTGACACAGTATTATCCTAAGCATCTGGACAAGTGAAAAACTATTGTTCCAGGAGCTAGACTTTATAATCTTAGCCTTGAGGGTTTTCCCAATTTCTTTTAGGATAAACAAAACCCTTATTACTACTCCCTTTACTCGTACTAAAAATCAAAACTGACTTTGAAAACAAATAAACCAGCATAATATAAAACCATCTATATGCCCAGTCAATCCCTTATTTATAACTTATCAGTGGTGTGTGTATGAAAGACCCCCATCTACCTTTGACCCCACTTCTGCATAACAGATCTACTGGTGCTTGTGGGTGGGGCTAGATGTTTACTAGTATGCACAACTTGTATAGATCACCTAGCCCTTCATCGCCGTTTTTCTACCTTAATGCTCTTGTGGTTTTGACATTTTTAGTTTTTAGTTTTCTTCTTGAAAGAATAACATTGTTGAAATCAGTCATATTAAATTTATCCGTGAGTTTCCTTTATAAAACATTTCTAAATATCAAATATTTATTAATTTTTTTAAAACGTGTTTAAGAATATAGAAGTAAAACTATTCACTTTAATTTATGCATGGGGCAGAAAAAAAATGTTTAAAAAGTAAATCGTGTGTGGTAATATCCAAAGCTTGTAGTTATTTTGTGATGAGAATATAAGCTCCAAGAATATTTTCAAGTGTATATAATAATAACAAAGAAATTCCCTTTTAATTTATATAAAGTAAATTCATTATTTAGTACTTTTTTCACAAGTTTGAGTTTTCAGAAGAGTAAATGACATATTTCCATATGTCCAGCTAAATTCCTTGCTCAGATTGTGTTTATACATTTTTTTAAGTCTCAAAATAAATGGGACATTTTAGTTTTTTATGAATGCTTTTCAGTTAATTAGTATGACATCAGTGAATCTAAAAGGAATATTCAAAATTCCCAATATATTAACTCAGTTCTTTATCTCAAAGTAAGTAGTGATGAGCTTTTACTAAATACTGTTATACCATTCTTTGGAACTAAAATGACAAAGATAACATTTTTATCATAAAACTTCACAGATGAGTTGAATATATCGATTTAAGAGGGAAAAATCTACTTTCTCTTGTTTCCTTTCACAGGCAGCGATACCGTCTTTATCCAAGTTACAGTGCCCCATGGCCCAAGTTAGTATATTTGGTTTAAGACTCATAGTTCTTGCTTTGGCTTTTAAAATTAAACCAAGTATAATTTTCCTGCTAAAATTCTTCTTGGGTCTGGTAGCATTGGTATCTTGCTTGCAACATCTTAGAAGTGAGGCCTTCACTTGTGCTGTTTTTTTAGCATAAATGATTTGCTTAAACATACTTTTCATGCCTTCTGTAAAACATTCTCTTTTAAAAGGATATATTAAATGGGTGGCTTCACATTTAACCATTTCTCTTTTCTAACTGTAGAGTTCTAAATATATCGTAGTGATCAACTTTTTAAAGCAAGAGCATGCATGTGCATATGGAATGCTGGCAGCTACATGCAATGTATGAGTCACAAAATACACTTAGCCTACCAATGGTACAGACTATAGGCAAATAACTTGACTTCAGAAGAAGTACCTCATAATTATAACGGCTTAAATTATAAGGCCTAAATATTCAGCACTGCTAAGCAAAATAAAGTTCCACTGTAGGTATTTGCTTTTAATTTTAAAGTAAACTAACAATTCACCAAATTATTTGAAAATTTTTATGCTTTAGATTATTGTCCATTCATAACAAATTATTTCAAAAGCATATAATATAAAATATTAATTATAAGCTACATTAATTTATATAATCTCTTAAGAAAAAGGTAGGTGATGGAAATGTTGATCGTTTGAATACTGTCAGTACACAAAGCACTCTTTAAGTTCTATGTTGTTGTACCTTACAATTGACAATATAGGGCTACCAATACTTAAAGGAAAAAAAATCTGCCAAATGTAATTTTGATTTTTTTCATCTATTTTTATAGTGCTCATAAACTAGTTAACAGCTTGCATAACTGTTTTCAAAATGTAATTATATTCCTGTATTATGCCCTTACCCCACTATAAGTGTCTGTAAGATAGGTTTCAATTAGAAGTTTTACTTACCTTTTTGTACCAGTTCATATTTTTAAATCATGTTCACTAGATCCTATTATAATTTTTGTTTTCATCATCAGGGCTGTCTCAGTCATGTTAAATAACTCCACCACAATTAAAATTTTTGGATTAGAGTATGATGAACCTGATTTTGCTTATCCCCCTCAAAGAGAAGCCTATACCTTAACAGTGGGAATGTTATTTTGTTCAAGAAGCAAAATAACAGAATACCTATAGCAGCTTTTTTTTTTTCCTGAAAATTCTGCTAAGAAATTTCTGCATGTTGTTTCTATAGCAGTTTGCTTTAACAAAGGAAATACTATTGGCTACTGGGTTTATTGAACTGCTTTTGATACTTCTGTATATTTCTTTTAATAAATATAAACAGTTTCCAGTTAAACCTTTTCAGGATTAATAGAGGAATTAAAATTATTGTCAACTTTTAAAAAAAATTTAACATCCTACAGGATCTGCTTCAGTATCATCTATTAGTTTAACCAAGGGCACTGATGAAGTGCCTGTCCCCCCTCCTGTTCCTCCACGAAGACGACCGGAATCTGCCCCGGCGGAATCTTCGCCATCTAAGGTAAAGTAGAAAATCTTGTTATCTGGAAACTGGAATTACAGTTACATTATAATCAATTGCTTGTGTCTAAGTTTAGTTCTCAGCGGGTTAGGTTAACACTTCAGAGTATTTGGGCTTAACATAGTTTAAACAAGGATTAAATACAGATTTAACATACAGTAAAGTTTCTTTTCTTTTGAAAGTAGTTTTCTGGTATGTTTTAAAACCCTTTGTAAATCTAAAGCTGTGGGTAGTGTCATGGAAAAAGCAAATTTCTAAAATAAGTAATACAGTCTCAAGCAGCTTTTTAAAGACACACAGAGAAGAGAGGTCTGAAGCTTTGTATGAAAGCACATTTTAAAGTGAAACTATATCATAACATTTATGTTACTATGTGGGCCCTTAATAGTAAATCTGATAGGTTTTTAAGTGGGATTTTCATGAAAATTCTGGATTGGACAAGGCCTTAAAGGCTCATAATAGCTATTTCTTTTATACTTGTTCAATTTCTTTGCCAACTGTTAACTTGACTCAGTGGTTCCCAAAGTATCCAGAGGGCAAAATACGTGGACAAGTCAAGACATTCTTTGTAGAATATCATGGAAATGTTAATATAGTGAATTTAAAGTTGTAACTTAACGGGTAATTTATGTTAAATCAGAAGTAATCTTAGATTAAGTGATAGGTAAAATAATAGCAAGCAACAGTATTTTGAGAAAAATAAAAACATTGAGAAAAATAACTTTTTGATCAATTAGCACAGCCTCTCATTTAAAACATAAGGCAGAGGACCCTGACCCACACTCAGGGTTCTTCTGATAGCATGTGTGAAAACCCCAACTTAATATATTAATATATTCTTGGTACTACATAAATTATTAATAAAGCTGTTTTATTCTTTTTTTTTTTTTTCATTTGTGTTAGATTATATCTAAGCATTTGGACAACCCCCCAGCAATTCCTCCTAGGCAACCCACATCAAAAGCCTATTCACCACGATATTCAGTGTCAGACCGGACCTCTATATCAGACCCTCCTGACAGCCCTAGCCCTCCCTTATTACCACCAAGAGAACCCGTGAGGACACCTGATGTTTTCTCAAGCTCACCACTACATCTCCAACCTCCCCCTTTGGGCAAAAAAAGTGACCATGGCAATGCCTTCTTCCCAAACAGCCCTTCCCCCTTTACACCACCTCCTCCTCAAACACCTTCTCCTCATGGCAGCAGAAGGCAGCTGCCATCACCACCAATGACACAAGAAGTGGACCTTCATCCCATTGCTGGGCCGCCTGTTCCTCCACGACAAAGCACTTCTCAACATATCCCTAAACTCCCTCCAAAAACTTACAAAAGGGAGCACACACATCCATCCATGCACAGAGATGGACCACCACTATTGGAGAACGCCCATTCCTCCTGAGTTCCTCTGTACCAGGATGTACATTGTCCTAGCCCCATATCCATTGCTGGCAATGGATGCACTGAACATGCCAGCACTGAGGAGTACAGCAAGAACTTCAAACACTAACGACTCTACTTCAAGATACAGTGTAAGACAATGAATTTTAACCTAGACATAATTATAAAGTGGAAATAGTATTTGTTTTAAATATGGAAGGACTGATTTAGAGGACTTGGACAACTGATTGCACCTGAAAATCAAGTAAAGGGACTTTTTCCAGCCGATAGGCAGGGGTCCTCTTTTTGTGAAGTGATCTTTTTTCATTAAAGGGATGGAAAACACAGTCTAGTTTCCTGCAGGCCCACATGATGACAGTTTTGTAATTCAAAATATTATGCACTTTTTAAAAAGAAATCTTAAACAGGGATCTTCACATTCTCCTTTGTTTTTCCTTTGCTTTTACTCATCCTACTTTAGAATATTTTCTTAAATCATTCAGAGGACTGTGAGGAAAGGCTGTGGTACCTGACCTTGTTGGAATCAAGGCCCAGCACTGTACTACAGTCCTGTTTACAGATTATTACAGTGAATCGAATGGGTACCGAGGCTTCACCAAAGAGGTACTTTTTTTTTTTTTTAATAATTATCCAATTTTAAGAGCATTCCCCCTCACCCACTTCCCCCCTTACACAAACATGTGGTGTTGCCTTCAAATGAGAAGTTTTGTGTCATTAATGTGACAGAAGAACTTTATAAAAAATGTAACTGTCAAGCATACAATTTACATTTAGAAGACTGTTAATCTATGCTAGATTGTCATTTTCCCCCTTCTCCCACAAAAGTTTACTGGCAATCCTGTCATGGCTCATAGCTGTCCCTCTAACCATACTATGGAAGTGCAGTCACCCAGTGTAAAAAGAAGCACTTGCTGGGCATCACTGACACCATTCATGTTTTACTAATAGTTGAGTAATCAGTATATCTAGAATTACCTTGCATTGCCTAAATCATGTGTATATAGTGAATGTTATATAATATACTTGGCAGGTCTGTTTTAATTTAATTGAATAAAGATACAAATACTTTGTTTGGCTGGCATATATTAAATTATTATATGGAGAAAATGGTTGATTCTTATTTCTTTCAGTTGAAACACACACACGCAAACACTAAACATAAAAGCACGTATTCTGGTACGCCTTGATTTCTAGTTCTGGATGAATGTATTCATCTTAAGGAATGACCTAAGATTGCAGTTTGGCATGTAGAAAAATCTTTGGTTAGAATAGGATGGGTATCTTTTAAGCAGAACTTCGTAAGTTTTTTAATTTCCTAGGTAACATGTATACAGTTTGTTAAAGTTTATATTAAACATTCTACCTTGCTTGAGGTCTTTGTGCTATCAGAACTATTCATAATTGAACACCTACCTACATCATTCATTAATTCTTCATTAAATCTATGTACTAATAGTCTAAGTCTAACAAATACTGTGACTGAAATGCATGCAATTTGTTGAAGAGAAAAAAATTTATTAATCTCTACTATAATGTCTGTGAAGTGTGCAGTAGTCCATTCTTAGAGAGTCATCTATCCATCGAGCTCTGTATGTGTCCTCTGAATAATGAAGGAACATTTCAGCAATTCTGTTAATCTTGCCATTAGAGACATTAGTAGGAGTGCGGCATCAGAGGGGAAATAGAAACCTAGTACTTTAATAATTTTCTGTGATATTTATTAGAGCATTAAATGTACATCACAATAGTACAGGATACAGTCCTACAAGATTAGAATGTTGATTGCATTATCATTACGCAGTCTATCCTATCATGTCCTTTCTTATTTATTTGTTAAATTTGAATTTTTGTTTAATATCTGTACCATTCCTATTATGGTAGCCATTTTTCTCTTTGCTAAATATCTCCTCTTTTAAAAGTCTCCCAAAAAATTAATTTCAAATTACACAGTGTCCAGAAGACCATTCATTCAATGAGTCTTTAAGCCTGCTTACTAATGCTGCTACAATTAATCATAGTACACATTCCAAAATCTCCCATGCCTTTTTTATTAAGCCAGCCTTATTGTCCTTAGAATTTCCCTTTATATGTCTTATTGATCACTTCTTAATTATCCCATCCCCACTCCAAATGAGAACCTGAGAAAAGTCACACTGGAGGCCATCCAAATATCTCTCTGTTCAGTGTGTTAGCTTTCAGGAGGGTAATGATTTCTTTTCAATCTGCCTGATTGTATAAAGAAAAAACTCAGATTTGGAGTTCTATTCCTACTTCTCCCAAAGGGATCATTGGTGGTTCTAATAGACCACTTCACTGTGCATCAGCTTTATATGCATTGGGGATGGAGGATATTTTTATTATGAGTGTGACATGGGTACAGATATTTTCTGCAGTGATAACGGATTAGAAAAATTCCAGTTGGATGCCCCTAGGTGGAGATAAGAAAATTCTATCTTTCCTTCGTCACCTGTGAAACATTAGCTGACAAATTTACTCTTTGTAGTAACTAAAACATGCTTAATCAGGAACAAGAAGTGACTGAGAAGATAAATACATCACCACTAAACCTCTGCTTTTGAATCCAGGACTTAACAAGACAGTTAATGTAACATAACTTCTAAACCACATTCCAGAATGTGGAACATTCCTTTTTGAAATGGAAATTTTCTTTGACATTTCAGTATTTTTGGATCATAAAATGAAAACATTTCAAGGATGAATTTACTTTAGTGGGCTAATAACCAAAATAATAGCAAGGGAGACTTTTCATATCTAAGCACTTTTAGAAACAGGAACAGATAGGTATGTTTCTAAATTGAAAGACAGGTTATTCACTCTTCCCAGTCCTCGAAATGTATTTTAAGACTATGAATTTTCAGGGGATATATAAACATTAAATGTTGCTTAATTAAAGGTGGCTGGGCATCAGATTGTTTTTAGTGGGTTATTATGAACTAACAAGGATGTTCTAATGGATCTGAATTTAGCAAGGAGCGTGCCACACTGATGATACTACAATCAGTAGGAACAATCTGGTGAGCAAGTACTCTATCAGTTGGAGGCTATATTATGGTTCTAAAGTCTTAATGAATTTTTCCATAAATCAAAAATTAGTTGGTGTCCATGATTATGATCTTAATTCACAAGTTCAACTTACTTTACTCATGTACTTCACCTTATGTCATTTAATGACAGCTTAGCTTGGAGTTTTAAGTGGCTCAGCAAAACACAATGTAAATGGAAGGAGGAGTGTCCCAATTTATCAATGTTGTACATATTGAGGGAAACCAATTTTTGCTCCAGATTTAGAAAGAAACAAATTGAACCATTTATTTCTTGATAACTCTGCTGCTATGGATAGGTTTGCTTACTCTTTTAACCTCTATTATATAACTGTTAGACAAGAGTAGATCCTATTGTGTTGCACATTAATCTTTATCAGCAAAAGAAACATCACAAGGTTAATACTGGTTTGGCTGAAAAAGAATCAGGTAGTAAAATTGTTTATAAGGGAAAGTGATGATTTAGTTTATTCAGTATTTTTCCTTTTAAACATCTCATTGCTAACTTAAAATCATTTCATAACCCCTTACACACAAACCAATGAAATATCATGAGCTCTAGTTAAGAAGCATGAAGTCTGTGATAAATCTAAACAAAAGCACTTGTAACTTGTTTTGTAAATTTCATGCCTTATTTTCCATTTTTGACACCGTAAAGTGCATTTTCTGTCAACTGTGAGCAAATTTCCCTTTTGCCTTTAATGAAAATAGTGCATTAAGTAGCCAACTGCTGCAAAATTATAAGCAAGTTAGCAAAGGTGGATCACATCGGGCTACCACTCAAAGAAACAAGCTATGTAACAGATGGAAGTCACATGTAGTGTGGCTTTAGGGGGAGTGCCCCTGTGCCAGATGCATGCCACTTTCAGTAGCTGCCAAATGTGCCTTTAATTAAGAACATCTCTAATTTTTTTCTTCAGATCAAGTCAGCATTTGGGGGCGGGATCAGGGCAAGGGACTTCGGGGTGCAACTATCTGGTGATACCCACCAGAGAAGAAGCCTTTGTCAAAGTGACATGTATAACTTTAGTTGAAGTGTGTTTGTGTGTGTATATATACGTGTGTGTGTGTGTGTGTGTGTGTGTGTGTATTTGCCTTTGTTCAGTAGCACGGTCATTTGCAAAAATAATTGTAAAAAAATTGCGCTGTCAGTCTTTGATGTAAAAAACAAAGTGCGGTCTATTAATCTAAATATGGACTTTGTACCGAAACATGTTCCTAGGTTACCTTTGTACTCTGTGTGCAGCAGTATTTGGTTTGCATTTAAGGTGAAAATAATTACTGTTATTTTTCTGGCATTACTAAGATCAACTGAAAAATAATAAAGAAAAATGCCTTATGTAGCCCACAAGTGTATTCTTTTTGAATATTTATTTTAAAGGGCAATTTTTTTAATTTAAATTTTATTTTTTATATTCCCCATACAATTACAACCCCCTTATTTTGACCCCAAGCCCTCCTTTCCCCGCCCCCCACCTGCAAAAGGCAATATTTTTAGCTTCATAAGTAATTTCCATTTTAGCTCATACTTTCCATATTAGAAATATTTTGCTCTTTATCATGGTTGTGTTTGGGAGGCACTTTTTCCTGCATCAGGTTACTATAACAAATTCAGGATTTCCTTCTTTATGAAGTCCTATGCTTATATTCTAGTAGGACACTCTTGGCACGCAAATTAGTATTCTAGTGACCTTTACCTGGGTGAAGTTTCAGAGGGCTGAAGCTTTTGTATTCCATAAAGGAAATTTTAAGATATTTCCTTGACAGGCTGAGACCTGCTGAGATGTAGGACATAGTTTAACAACCATAGGAAAGTAACTTTGTATCAAACCTGATTCTGAATCTGCCCTAAAAATGTCACTTCTTTTGAATTTAACCTGGTAGTTTGCTTTTTTACTTGTTTTAATCATATGAACTCATCACAGTTTCAGGCCACTTCAATCTCTATGTGACAGCCTACAGCCAAGCCTGACTATCCATAAACAAGAAAGGCTTTTGATAGTTATGGTTATAAGGGGGGAGGGCACTTATGGCCACTCTAAAAGCTCAGGACTCTTGATTCTTAGGGAGGCAAGAAAAAAACTTCAGCTCTCTTTTAGAAGATAGTTTCTCTATTTTCATGGCTCATCAAATAAAAGGGAGAATCAGTGGTAAAGGTCAAGCAGGGACTTTGGAATGAGACATATCTGTTCATGTTCTAGTCCCATTTCTTACTAAATGTGTAACTTTGCAGAAGTTATTTAAATAATCTAAGTCACTGTTCCTATGCGAAAACATCTGTTTGCGACTTGTGAGTTCTTAAGCTAGTAACTGTAAATCACAATGCCTTCACAGAATAGATGCTTAGCAAATGGGATGTTTAAAAATTATGAGGGGTGTTTTTGAAGTTTGCCTCTTTTTAAACACCTTTTAGATACCTTTTTAAGAGAACAATGGTTCATGCTGATTCTTTACAAATATAACTTTTCATGATCTTTTTGTCACTTAAGTTGATTTTCAGTGATCTTAGTTATAAGCATTTGATAAGGACTCATCTTCCTATTCGACATTCAAATATTTATTTTTCCAGGTACAGTAATGAACAGACAAAAATCCCTATCAGCATGGGATTAAGAATACAGTGAAGATGTGCAGACAACAAGTAATAAGAATAAATAGACATACATTAGAATATTATAACTAACTGCTATAACCAAAAACGTAGGAGAAGGTCACTGGGAATGTAGGCTACAGAAGATGAAATTTAAATGAGAAAGAGTCAGCCTCATGAATGAAGCAAGTGACATGGATTGAAACTTGAAGGAGGTGATGGAATGAGACTTGCAAGTGTCTAGCAAAAGAATGCCACAGCACAGGGAACTCAATTCAAAAACCCAGGGGCAGGAGCATACTTCAAATATGCAAGGAACAGCAAGGCTACTTGTATCAGGAAAAGAATGACGATGAGTAGAACAGGAGATACCATTAGAGGTTTAATGGGATCCAGATCACTTGTAATGACTGGCTTCTGTGAGAGAAATAGAGGCCTTGGAGGGTTTGAGCAGTGGAGTAGCACACTCAGATTTACATTTTAACAGGATGCTCTGGCTGGCTGCTGTGTGGAAAATAATTAAGGGCTAAGAGTGAGAATGAAGGAGCCCAGTAGACTAAGGTGATAGTAGTGGAGGTGATAAGAGGTAGGAATTTGGATGTACTGGAAGATGGCCAAATTGCTGATAGAATGTAAGAAACAACTGTCAAGGATGACCAAGGAAGGTTTTAGGCCTGAGCAACAAAAAGGACAAAGTTACCTTAATTGAGGTGGGGAGGATATGGCTGACATCTCAGTGATGCCACAGAGGCAGCTGGAGGTGTAAGTCAAAGTTTGGGAGAGGTGTAGGTTAAAGATATAAAAGTGGGAGTTATTTGTATAAAGATCATATTTGCAAACCAGAAGTCTGGATAAGATCACCGAAACGTCAGTGCAGTCTGAGGAAAGAAGAGATGTAAACAAAGGAGAGCCTGGGGGCATCTAACATTAAAAGAGGGAGGAGAACAGAGGAACCAGCCAATAGATGAAGGAACTTGTCTGAAGAAAGATGACAACCAGCCGTGTATTGTGCCCTTGAGCCCCAGTAAAGAAATTATTTCAGAAGGGGGAATTCAGAAATTATTTCAGCATGTCAAATGCTATTTGATAGGGAGAGTAAGACAACTAAGAATGGATCATTCATTTAGCTATGTGGAAGTCACTCATCTTGACATAAGCAGTTCAAGGGAGTGGTGTAGGCAAAAAACATGGGCCTATTGAGTTTAAAAAAAAACAGGAAAAGAGTTGGACCAGTTTCCTGTTTCAAGTTTTACTATTAAAGGGGTTTCTTTTGCTTAAAAAATGGGAGAAATAAGAACACATTTGAGAGCTGAAGGGTTCCGAACTGAAAAGGGAAATGTGACCATGAGAAGAAAGGATACCATCTAGAGCTAAGTAGAAATAACCCAGTTGGAACAGATGGTATCCCATCCTCTCCAGTAACATTCCACTATCGTCATATGAATAGGCTTACATATCTATGAGGAAAAAAAAAAAACCCATTTTCTTGCTAAAAATTAAGAGTAATGCTATTATTTCTGAAGCAAGAAGGAATAAAATACTTTTATAGATAAATAAGGTTTAGATGACATTAAAGATTATGCACTAAGCTGCTAGAAAACAGATTATTTGTTTTGGGTACAAAAATCTTGACCATTTTGAATGACAGCTTCCAAAAAGGGTAGTTTAAGCATTGCCTCAATCATATCTTCACATTCTTATGTTGAAAACTTAGTTCTAGTGTCACACATCAATTTCTGTTTTTTCCCCCTTAAATTATACAGATCTGTATCAATTTTCTCAACCTTTTAAAAGCCTGTTTCCATTTTTCAAAAATTTTTTTCCTCACCCTTCCTTTCCCTCAGCTTCCCCACACCCTGTAAGAGTCATTGGTCTATACACCATAAATGTTAGAATATTCACATGTTGAAAATGCTGCACTCACACCTTATAAGTCAATGCTCAGGACATGAGAATCACAAGTGATCCAGGTTAACTTTACCAATGTATTATTATAAAGGGCACTAATCATGTGTACATACATATATGTATTTCTAACCAGCCTCTTATTGCATAGAATAGTAAAAGGTCTCAAATGTAAATTTAGAAATCAAAAAGAGTGAGTTTTATGAACTATAAGTTTTCTGTATCTTAAGGTAAGTATAATCAATTCCTTAGTCTATCCTAAAATTCAATCTGTAAGTGGAATTGAGTGCTGAAGTTTAGATCACTCAATTTATTCTTCTAAGAGGCTAGTGGCTCTATAATTTCAGTGGGCCAAAGAGTCACCTGAGTACACTTAAAATGCAGATTCCTGGACTCCACTCCCAAATATTCCAATTCAGTGGGACTGAAATATCAATAGTACCCAGGAATCTACATGTTCATGTGCCCTCATGGAGAAAGTAGCCATATACTTGGAGGTAAGGAAATGAGACAGGAGGTGCTCAGAAAACACTATTCAAAGGTTTTCCCTAAACAAGCAAGAGATATTTTAATTTCAAGTCCAAAACTAGTTTAAACTATATGAACTATGACGAAATAACTCACTACAGATAACCCTAAAGTGTTGACTCACGAATTCCAGTTCTCTAATGTTCCAGTTCTAGAGTTAGAAATGCAAAACAATCTTTGCTTGTGCTTGGATACAGACGCTGCAAGACTGCAGAAGGGACCTGTTGCCAAGCCCCAGTCTATGCAAAAATATCTACTTCATCTTTTGGTAAAGTTCTTCTCTCTGCTTATCAACCCAAACACTTCCAGAAGACATCTGCGGTCTCCTATGAACAAACTGGATTCCTCCAGAGGACTGGACATCACAGATGCAGTAATGCCAAACTTTTTCTCACCCTGAGTTCGTCCCTTAATGCAACATCACATTAAATAAGATCAAAGATCCTAGTGTCCCTGTTGGTTTACAGTACTACCTAGACAGATTTTTTTTTTAAAAATTTAAAAACACAGAAAAGAGTAACCCTTTTTGTTCATGGAGAGATGTTTTCTAGTCCTAGATGCTGTCAAAGTGACAGTGGCACCTTTGTTTCTGAAGATAACTACTTTATTTCCTTTGTGACTGATAATTTTCTTTAAAAAATGAAAAACAGGGAAGCAAAGTGACAACCCTGAAGCTCTTTATCCGTTTAAGAGTAGAAATTATATTCTGTAACCCTCTGCATATTAGAGCACCACTATTAACATTGGTATCAACTTTCATCTTGGAATAACAAGAAGATACAGCATAGTTCCTGGCCTTGAGGTGACTTACATGCTTGTTAAGACAAGAAAAATACAATAAAAATAGACAAGTCACACCACAAGACGTCACAGAAAGATGAGATGGGATAAGCTGGGGCTTAAAGATTAATAGAGGAAGGAGGCTTGAGAAAAGGCACTAAGAGAGTCTGAGGATGGTGCTAGAAAATAATAGAAGCCCAGTACTAGCCAGCTGAAGTTGTTCGTTCACCATTACTGCAAAATAGGAGATGGCAGCCAGAGAGAAAACTTGGAACCATATGAGCGTGGGGGCGTGGGGAGCACGAAGTCCAGAAGTTCAAATTTGCACACAAATAACGACAATCAACGAGTTTCCTACAAAACAGTATTTGAGGATATTAATGTGTTAGAGACATATAAGATTGTAAGATTGATGGAGACAGAGTAACTTGGGGGCAGTTAAAAAATACTAGAAAAATCCAGATATCAGGTGATGGGAACCTAGAGAATAGCACTAGTTATTATTAGTTTTATGGCTAATTTCATAAAATATAACTAAATTTAATTGTGCTACAGATGTAGCATCAAGATACTTAAAAGGATGTTATCAAAATGAGGATTTGGGAGGTTTGTGACATTTCTTAAACCTATCTAGTAATTGATCTTTTTTATGATAAACAATTTTAAGGGGAAAAGAATTTTTTTTTTTTCAGTTTTAAGGCCATGTTTTCCATTTAACATTCCATGCCCAGTCAGTTTGACATTGTACTTTTAAGCACTGCCTCCAAACTCCTTTGGCCTGAGAAAGAAATCTAATTTCAAAGGAGTTATTTTCAGAAAAATGAAAAGCTTGGCTTAAACTTAAATATTGGAAACTCCAAAATCTTGGCAGTGATCCTTTAAGTGTTCCAGACACCTGTTGTTCAAAATGCTAATGGGTAAGTTCCTAATTTTTTATCAAATAGAAGAAAAACTGTAACACTTAAAAGTCAAATTACTCCTATTTTATCAAACAGTGAATTACTAGAGGAACAGCCTCTGATGAAGCTAGTTGGAGTAGCAAGGTTTCGAATAAACAGTAACAAACTGCCCCAAATTTATTATAGATAATAGGTGTTTGCTTTGGCAGCACATATACTAAAGCATTACAGCCAACTGCCTGGGGATAGAGGCAAATTGTTTAAACCAATTTTTTCCTATTATGATATTCTATTACAGTGTCTGATATTTGGAGCATGTTAAGTATGCAGACTTTGAACAGATCTATGTGGAAATAGAACACATTTTATTACCAAAATAACCAGGTGAGCCTCATTGCAATTATCCCTGTGAGTTGTAAGAGTTTTGTTTCTTTAACTTACTTCAGGAAGACAGAACCATGCACTGCCAACCTTCGGTTTTCATTCTGACTCGGTATTTACAGCAACCACTATGTGTGAGCCATTAAAGCCTTGTTAGTGCTGCAGCCTTTCTTCCTGACTGAAGGAAGTAGCTTAGTGCTTCCCGCCCACCCCCTCACCCCTACCCCCAGACCCCCATCTGGTCATAAGTGTGTGTGACACTCAGCAACACTAGCGAGTCTTTGAATCCTCAGTATTCAGTTTGACTCTAAACTGTTTCCACCTGCAACACAACCCACACGAGAGGAAATGTTTCTTTGGTCTCAAGTTTCTAGAGAAATCATTGTTCCCTATACTGATTTTGATAACCACTGAACAAGAGAAATAGTCCTCTTGATGTTCTCTTCCTGTTTGAAGATTCAAGTGTCTTTAAACTTTGAACCTTCCTAGCCCAGTTTAAGCACAAGTCCTCCACAACTCAGATTTGTAACATATAAAATGTTATTCTGTTAATTGATTTTTTTGCCTTAAGAGATGATAGGTTTTGCCTCGGGGGCCTATGAAAGAGCAAAACAGAACTGGTCCCTAACACGGTGTATATTAGTCTAAGAACAATGGGGTAAATTCATAAGCTAAACACCTAGGAAGCATAAAATTCACATCCACGTTAAATATGAACATGCTGAGTATTATACTGGGGGGAATGAATTCAAGGTGGGAGATTTTGTTCTTACATTTATTTTCCTCCAAATGTAGTGTTTTTCTCCAATACTGTGAAAAATCTTCATTTCCTTTTTCCCAAATGTTGAGGTTCAAAAAGCCAGCTCTCAACCACAAACTAATCTCTATCTTTTCGATGTCTTGGATGTTGATTTAGTTCTTATGTAATTATATTAGTTTTCCTCGGGGATTTATACATCAATATATATATATATATATATATATATTCCTACACAGATATATACAAGCTTTTTATCCTCATCTTACCACTTGATAATACAACTTTAAGTATGTTTTACACAGCTGTTCCTTGGTCAAGGTCATTTGCAAGAGCAAGTCGGTTTCTGAAGAAATCTTGTTTGGTGGGTGAAGGATCCATTGAGGGATTCTCATTAGTTTTTTCCCTGTATTCTGATCCACTGGACCTAAAATCTCAGCACACAGATAAAGTACAGGTTGATTTGGTTTTAATTGTTTTCAAATATTTTATCTATCCAAATCTTTTTGCATTTGTAAAACAGTTGCCTCTACATATGGAATAATTTTTACTTCCCCTGAATTTCATGATGCAGGACATGTGTATCTAAGATTTGTGGTGAACATAAAGAAAATCTTTCCAGTACTTTCTGGGGACAACTATGATAACTGTGTATGTCAGTGTAAGGTATTGTGTAGTAACATTGTAACAGGGAAATGAAATCCTAAGAAGGCCTCTTTTTGATTCAACCAAGTAACTACTCCACAAATTACCAAGGCCCTTAAATTTAAAATGGATGGAATTAATTGTTCTCAACCAAGATTATCAAGGGCCTTTACCGGGTGTGGGCATTACATTACAAACTCTTGCTTTTGCTTATTTTCATTTTTAAATGAAAGATTTATTGAAGCCAACCACACATATATACTACATTTGGTAGAATGAATAAATAAATACAGTAATCAGATTGAGGAGAGTCTATAATCTCAACCATCACAAAGGAGATCAAGCCAAATCAATAGACAACAACTCAAATCAGTCCAATTGAGTCCCCAGTCGAGGGTACATTCTTCCTTTATCTTGGTTATACCAGTTGGGTAATCCATTCCAGCTCTGCACCTTCTCCAGTTTGTTCATGTCAGAAGTCCCTGGAGGGAGGAGGCTTTCTGGAAATAACCTCTGACAAACTAGGCTGGGGCCCTTTAGATTGCTTAAACTCTGAGCTACAATGGGTAAAACTAGCCCAGTGACTAAGAACCAATATCCGAAGACCTCATGCAGATGTATGAAACTGATGTTAGACATGAAGTTCTGTGTCTAAAGCTCCTACACAACTGAACAAATTCCCCATATGCTGAGGCAGTCAGGCATGCTTCCACTATCCATAAAAGAAGGATAGGTTCTTTCACTATTACTGGTATGCTATGAGTCTTTGCTGTTGTAAGTTAATCATGACTATCTTTACTGAACTAATTGGGCAGAAGTCACACATCCCTTTACATTATTCAAGCAAAGAAGCCGGATCCACACAAAGACTAAAATCTGGGTATCTGAAAGCCTGAAAACTGACTAGATATTTTTACTTTTCACTCATATTTAATATCATAGATGAAGCAATAGCTACCCACCATGCTTTCTACTTCTAGTCAGTAAGAAGCACTTTTCTATTACATCCCAGCACACAGAGGAAAAACTATTCTCTCAACCCCAGTATATCAGAGTACTCATCAAATAAGAGGCTATCTGGGTAGGGTGAAAATTCTTTTACTTTCCAGAAACTTCCCTGGGACTCTCTTTTGAAAGAGCTTCAACATGCTCTATTCTGAAACTCTGAGAGTTCTCTCAACTCTCAGGAGTCCCATCTGCCTCAAGTTCAAAGCATCCCTAATTAGTACAATTGGGCCCCAAATGTAGGAAGTTAAATGTCTGACCATTGTATTCTTTCCCCACATCTCATTATCCAGAAGACTATGATGGCCTACAGTTCAGGGGGGCAGGACTTAGTAAGCAGGATTTGTACCTGGCTACTATTTCTTATCAACTATTCCCCCTTAGGACAATTATCTCATGAAAAAGTCACTAGTCAAAACTTAAAATTTTTGCCTACATTTCCCCTCTTGGCTGCATCTGATCTCTCCAAAACCCAACATGTTATATACTTAGATGATTCCAACATGCAACTGTTTAATGTTTACCTGGAAATGGGAAAGCTTTGATGTCACCACCAGCCCCAAGGACCACAGAAATCTTCACCAGTTGCGTTCCCATTTCTGAAACAAATGCCAAAATCGCCCTGTCTAGTTTTCAAAGTCCACAAACTCAACTTAGTTTTTTTTAAACTGCTCTCCTCACAAACCACCTCTCTGTGTCTCCAAGTGTGTGAAAAATTTCTCTGCATTTCTTGATATAAAATATTAACTAATGACTAATTTGCCAATCCCTTTCAAAATCCAGTCTTCTATTATAGCCATGACTAAAAGCATATTTTCATCCTTTAAAAGATAATTGTAATTGACCGCTTTGTAATGTGCATATGGTATATGACCACCTGAACACCTGGATTCTTCCAAAAGTGTGGCTGCTAGACTCTGAAGTAGTGTATATCTAAAGTGCTGGGAAATAACCTACAGAGTCTAGGAAGAATGGTCAGCAAATCTGCTTTTATTCCATTTCTTTATAAAACAAAAATGGCTCTTGAGGTCCTAAGGCCATTTTGGTTGACTGCAGGACAAATCTAAGTAGACACTAAAGGGACCTGCAGGTAAAAATTTCCTGGGTAAGGGTACAATGGCTGCCAGTAAATTCTGACACACAGCCACCCTTCTACTCAGTTGTCAGAAACAAAGAAAATAGCATGTTGGGATAGCTCATACAAGGATAGATTCCTACAAATATGCCTTGAAACTTGTTTAGAGCTGAGGGAGGGAAGAGGGGTAAAAACCAGTGCCACAGAACACTCTGACCTAAGAAGGAGAGGTTTCCTGATTAGAAAGACTGTCCACGTTTAAAGCTTTAGGAGACATGCACGCAGAGAAGGGGGCAGGGGAGTACCCATCCTGTTGGCCACATCAGTCAGTGCTGGTAATCAACAGGGGGACAAATGAGCATTTTCATTGAAAAAAATATTTGTTGAGTGTTTACTGCATTCTCGGGACTGTACCTTACAGCCAGTTACCCTGACATTTGGGTTCTGTACTAATGAGAAGGAACTATTTCTTTTCTTTCTTTCATACTAGCCAGAACCTAGTACACTGAAGACAGTGTACCTGTTGAGAAACATTTGTATTCAGGTTTAAATCATCTAAAATGTTATTCTTTCAATAATGTCCTTACATTTTAAGGTTAAATAGGAAAATTAAATGGGAAATGAGAGAGAATCTCAAAGTGGATAAGAATGGGGGACGTACTGGAGTTAGGTTTTAAGGAGGTAAATAAGAAAGTAAGAGTAAAATTATCAATTGATTCCTTAGTAGTCCTGGTTTCTATCACACGGTCTGTTCCAAAGCCAAGGCTGAGCATATTCAAAAACAGCTGATAATACACCAAAAGGTACACTTTCAATTATAAGGGACCCTATAGAAGCCCTCTGTATATATTATCAAGAAAATAGGGATTTTAATGTGACTGGTAGAGGGAGGGTGATGACCAGGAAGGAGACAATCTGAGGCATATAATTTATAAAGTGAAAAAAAAAAAAAAAACAGGAAGAGACTAGGTGAGGAAATAGGATTAACCATTTAGAAATCATAAAATTTTATCTTTCACTTCCTCCAAATTTGAGGATAAAAAGAGAACACACCATTCCCTACCCCTAACTTGTCTTACTTAGCCTTCTTCCCTCATGCCACTCCCCCAACCAAGAATACTTGTTAACCTAGGGCAAGATTTATATGTAAAGATGACGTAGTATTTGTCTCAGATTTTAGGATAGTCTAGATTTAAGTTTTTGACAGCCTCTATACAGGTCCTTCTAGAATGGGATTCTTTGTGTTCCATCCTGCTCAAAGGCAGGGGGATAAGGACTCAGTCCAGCATTACATTAAGTCTGTTCCTGATTTCCAAGAATTCATATTTAAAATTTTTTAAGTCACTTAACATTTTCAAACTTGAAGATATATAGTCTTTTTCTGACCAATTCTGGGCAGCTTTCAGGGACATGTGACCTGGTATTTATCCAGGATAGATGTGCCTGAGATAGAAACAACCAGAGCATCATCCTTTTCCCCAAATATCTTGGGCACTTTTTTTTTAAATTTCAACTTGACTTTCCCTTTTGAATCCTTGTGGGTATGAGCATTCGGCCCTCCCAGCCTCAGAGGGAAGAGAACCCTTTCTCAGGTTTTCTGTTGCATCTGGCTCCATGCCTAGCTTCATCCCGAAGCAGCATTCTGGGTGTGTGGGGCCACCAGCCAAACAAGCCCCTATGGATACAAAAAGTGTGTCAGTGTAGACAGGAATGGGCCTCCAGTGGGCTATGGGGGAGGCACACAGTGAGCCCCAGATGTGATACAGGCAGTTTTTTCCTGGCTCTGGTCCATTTTGGACCTCTGAGGTCAGATCCTGTCATGGTTTCAGTACCTGGTATTAGCTATTTCTTAGTCACAGGGCTTGCTGCCAGCCTGACCTCCCAACTCTTTTTCAGTTTCTCCCTGAACCTGTCCACAGGTCTGACCTCAAATGCAAATTCCTACTTAACAGCTGAGACTTTGTCATTCACAAGCCCATACAGTATAGTGTCTCATACAGCAAATGCATATAAGAAAGAATGCTTACTTAATGACAAGAATGGTGTATTCCGATCTGGATTAAAAGCCAGACCTTCTGTGCTATGCTGGAGCCTCTCTGCCTTCCCCGCTACCTTAACATAAATGAAACACACTTTCCATGGTCCCTGGATGAAAATACTCAAGAAAAGTTACTCAAGCTGCTTCTTTATTTCATGCCAAGTTCCCAAAGAGCTTCTGTGGTACCCTAGACTGGTGAAGAGCAAGTATCACTTGATGGTGCTCACAGATCTACACCAAATCTAAAAAACCAGAATCTGCCAGAGGAAGAAGCCATCTATGCGGCACCACCTTAACTGCCAATCACCTAAAACTTCAGATACTAAACACAATGCCAGAAAGGCTGGCAGCAAAGTGATTGATGCAGGCGAGACTAATCAATGAGAAAGGGTAAGAAGACCAAGGGGATCCATTTGACCTTCTAAGCAAGATTCCAAAAACTGCAAGAGAACCGAAGGCAGTTAGCCAACATGAATTTGAAGAGTCCACAGCAAATCCTCAGCATTGACCAAGGGCTGCAGAGGGTTATAGAAAGATAAAATCTGGTTTTCTACATGGTAAGTCTTTAAAATTATAGGTCCTGAGGCCAACATTAATTTCTTGTTTCATTGTTTAAAAAGATGTGATTATTTAGTCTGATCTACAACAAAATCAAACCACACGTAAAGCAAATCTCAGCACTTAAAAAGACACAGGTGAGTATCCTGAGTAATCTCCTACCCAGAGCAGGAAGCTCTCTCCTAGCCTCCTTGACCAGGGTCATCGGTTTCTACTTAAGAGAACTCATTCCCTCACGAGGCAGCCAGCTCCAGCTCCAGGTAGCTGCATTTTCAGGAAGTACTTTCTTACTCGATGCTTCCAGTTTTGCCCCCTGGATATATATAGGAAGGACAAGGCCACTCCCTTTACCTCAGGTAACTAGCAGAGCATTTTCTTACATCTCTGGAAAACTAGAATTTGTAAAGGAACTAGTGGCAGTTCTGTGGCTCATTGCTTTCTAACAGACAGTAACCAATCATTATAAATGCAGTGGGCAAAAGGAGCTATTTGTTTTGGGTAAAAAAAAAAAAAAGGGTTCATGCAGTGCTCTTAAGAAATCTGGAGTCCTTAGAAAGATTTAGGAGCCTAAAGCCCAAGGTCAGATTGGAAAGTTGTCTGTTTCCAGGTCTCTCCATCCCTGCCAAACTTGACAGAGGTAGGCTTTGTGTCAGAAAAGATTTTAGTGTATGATCCTAGAGTGAGGGATACAATCCTTAATTCCTGACCTTCTGAATAGAGGGAATATAGCGATCGTCTCGCATGCATGGGGCTATCTTGGCAAAACTGAAAAGGGACTTAGTGCAGTAGGGCTGTGTCTAATTGTAGTACTGTTGCTCTTCCTTCCTCTTCCTCCTTCTTCCAGTAACAACAGGTGGGAAGCAACAATAAGAGACCCATTAATATCAGTATCACTCTCTCCATGAGAAAAAAAACAAACCATCAAAAAAAAAAAAAAAAATTCTCACTTCAGGCCTGCCTCCAATTCTGCTATCAAGACTTTTCCAAATCTGGCAGTAACCTCTGCCCGCAAGGAGAAAGTGACTTCCCTGTGCTGCCTCACTTATCAGAAACTCTTCAAAGGTAGCAATAATGCCTTTCTTTAACTTTTCCACCCACCGAAAGGGAAGACTTGTTTCTTGATCCCAAGAACGTCCTCTACCAAGAGAAACTAAGCGGTAAGGGAAATCTCTCTCAAGGAAAGAGGAGAGTAGGCCTAAGGTAAGCCTGAGAACCCACAGAAAAAGAGACGGGGGCTCTCAGGCAGGCAACAGGCGAATCCCTCTATGCATCAGCACTTTTCCTTACATTTCCTACTGGGGTTTGGTCACTGTCTCCTAGCCTGCATGGAAAAGTGCTGGCCAAATTGCTAAGGGTAGGAGAGGGGAGTGGTGATTTCATACGAGACAATAGGGCTTAATATCTTAGAAGGACAACATAGGGAAAATGCCTAGTTTCACCTTATATGAAGTATGGGAATGTCATTAAGGTGATTTTTAACTAGGGCCCAAGTCAAATCCATTCAATCATTCTGCCAGGGAAAACACTAGCAATACTCCCAATAAACTAGTGTCCGGAATAAGTACAGGCCTCTAGAAGCCTAAGTGCTGAGATGCCCTTAGAAAGTTTTTTGGGGGGGACTCCCCGGTGGCGCAGCGGTTGAGCGCTGGGTTGCGAAGCTGCCCGCAGCCTCTGAGGCGCCGGTTTGATCCCCGGCTGCTCCCCGGCCACCGGAGGAGGGTCCCACATGGCGCGCAGACCTCTCCTGCCGCCCGCTGCTCCCCTCAGCAGTGTACTTCGGTCCTTCTGCCTGCTCTGCTCCCCGCTCTGGCTCTGGTGAATTCTCTCACCCTCCCACTCTTCTGACTGTACCCAGTGCTTGTATAAATAAATAAATAAAAATAAATAAATAAATAAATAAATAAAAAAAGAAAGCTTTTTGGGGAGATTAGAGGGAGTACTCATTACACCCAACTTCAACAGTGTTTCCCACTCATCCTGGTCTAAAAGGGATTTAACTATTACCAATTCATTTCCCAGGGTACCTCCTCTGCTCATTCCTCTCAGGACATATTACTTTGGGAACAAAGTAGGCTAAGGATAAAAGAGGCAGAGGATAGGACTGGGTTTGCCTTTACTCTAGATTACAGGGTAAAAACATCTTCACCTGGAAGGAATTGTGGCTACTGGGAGCAGGAACTGAATTTGAAGCAGTTGTATGAAACCAGGCTAGTTGATACTTATCACTGTTAAAACCTTAAGACTCAACCTACAGGGAAATGAGTTACAATGCTGTCTTGTCTAAGGGCTACTCACTTCTTTTTAAAGAGCTTGCGGAAGGAGCTGCGAAAGCCCCCTTTCTGGTCTTGCCTGGGGTTTTGATCGCTGAAAGATGTTTGTTCACTTTCTCTTTCTTCCTTTGGACAGAATCTGGTGGTGTCTTCTAAATGCATCTCCTGAAAACACAAAAAAGGGTTTTTTTTTTTTTTAACTCTTTTCCAAAGTTAGTATCTATCCTGGCTATGGGACAATTTTTTTTTAACTTGCACTTTCCTCTTCCACCCCAAAAGACTAATGGTGGGCACCCTATTCCAACTAAAGCAAACCTAGACTTATTAGGAGATCAGTAGTTGGAAAGTATACTTTTCTGCTGAGTGTGTTTTCCATGTGTCAAGGCAAGTAGTTTAGTAAGATTATGATAATTAAAGATCAGGAAATAAAGGAAGTTAGAAAACTTTCAAAGAGTATAGAGATTAATTTCTTACTCTGGCACCAATACGGTCTTGCTGGAAAACTAGTAGAAGTATTCCCTTCTATCTCTGGTTGTGCTTCTCTTTCTACAAAATAAGCCAGCTCCTTGAAAATAATTTAATTTACTTTTAAACTCAACATTCTTACTCTCTATTTTAGATATAAGTGAGGGAGGGAGTTTTTCAGAGGTCAGATATGTTTAATAGTAAATGTCAACTAGTATTTCCAACATGTAAATATGTCTTTAATACAGTTTTTATAATTCTTAATCTATGGTATTTGGCATATAAAGGAAAAAATATAGCTCTACCTCTTGTGAATTTTATAGCTTCTTTTTAAATGTGAGTTGTACTAAATAAAATAAACATTGCAAATTTGATGTGTGTGTATACATTTATCTTGAGGCGACTAAATCTTAAAAGAAATCAAAAACAACTGCTTGATTTTGAGTAACTTTAAGAGCACGCAAGAAGTCAAAGTAAAAACCACTCCAGTTATGCCCTGAAAGTTTCATAAATGAATGGGTGACTGCTTGCGGACAGAGAAGCGTAATGTGGACAATTTTTTTTTTTTTTTTTTTTTTTTTCAGGAAATAAGTGGGCTTGACTTTGAGGCATTAAGTTGGGGTTGTAGTAGCAGATCTAGAGTCTCTGAGATTCTACTAAGATTCATAACTAAACCATGGAGATCAACATCTTAATGGGTTAGTATGGTGTTTCTCAGGGTGTGGTCCTGGGGCTACAGGATTAACTGGGGCTTCTATTTAAGATTCCTGAGCCCCAACTCAGACTTTCTGAATCTGAATCTCTGCAATTAGGCCTAGGTAATCCTTACGCACACTTAGGTTTTGAAAACCAGCATTAGTGTTTTAAGGTATATTTTTTTCCCGCTTGCACTTAATGTATATTTGAATCACCTGGGAATCTTGCTAAAATACAGATTCTGATTCAATAGCTCTAGAAAGGGATCCAAATTCTGCATTTATCATGAGCTTTCTGATAATGCATTTACTACTCAATCCAAGGATCACGTTTTGAGAAGTGGACTTTTAGGGACTATTTAGGAATTAAATGTATTAATAATTTAAGTTTTAGGACTTAATTTAGGGAAGGCATCTAGTAATAGTTTCAGGGAATGATGATCTTTATAATGCTTTGGAATGATGATCTTTATAATACTTTGCATTTGTATAACATTCCATACTTTCCAATGCATATTCACAAACTTTATCTCATTTGACCTTATCCTCACAACAACCCTGTGAGGTAGGTATATATTGTCTTATTTTTACAGATGCTAAAACTGGAAATACAGAGAAGCTGAGTGCATAGCCCAAAAGCAGGTGGCTATTTGGCAACAGAGTCAGGACTAGAACCCAGATCTCCTGACACCCATCAGGTGCTCTGTGCACTAAGTATACTGTTTTCTTTTTTGACTCTTAGAGACAGAACAGGACTTAGGCATTGGCGGAGTCTGCTCATCAGGGGTAGAAGATACACAGAGTATATTTCAGGAGATGGAACGGTAAGAACTTGGCACATCTCAGTGTGCAAAAGCTGCTGCCTTTTTAAACACAGGGCTGTTGAAGTGTTGGTCTTTTGCAACTAAAACCTCCACCCTGCACCTACCTCACACACATATAAGCACAAACATGTATGTATAGATAAACATACATATACACACATGCACACACACAGCCTCTGCATGCCACCTTTCTCTAGGGCTCCCAACAATCCACAGCTTCTGAGGTTTCCGAAAGAAAAATTTGGTCCCAAACCAGAAATAAGCAAAGTGAACTTTGTTTGCATGTTTGAAAGTTTACTGATAACTGAAAGAGAAATGGGCTCTTTTTAACTGACCTCCATCAGACACCTCGTTAAGTTTCTTTCTGAAGTGACTTGACTCCTGTCTCATGCTGTCGAGGGAGGAGACTTGCTGGCCAGTATATCTAATTAACATTGCTTAATATACAGCTTAATGTGATTTGGTATGTCTGATAAACAGTCACATATACATTATTCATAGTTTACTTATCAGATAAATGATTTCTGATAAATGGTTTTCCTTGGCAACTATTGAACTCCCAATTTTCCACATCATGTTTAATAGGAAAGGATATTTTTGCAAAAATATGAATGCTCATATGAATGCTCTTTGTAGCTTAAATTATGTTAGTTAGCAGGTTTTCTATGTAAACTTCTGCCCATCCAAAGTTGCTCTTAATTGGCACTATTATTTCCTTTTCTATTTCCCTTGTTAATGAATTTTGGCACAAGCCTAAGAGCATTGTGTCCAAAAAATTTTGTCTAGTAGAATTTCATAAATTTCAGGATTCAAAATCACAGCCAGAAGGAAATCTGAGAACCCGGGGAATCTCGGAATCTCTAGCTGAGCACGCTGTGGTGTTTTTATTCTCTGTGGGATCCAGACACAGACTTTGTGTTCCTGGAGTCCAGGTGGACTGCAAGCCCCACGGTTCTCCCTTACCCAACTCCTTCTTATTTCTCTTGCCCAATGTCTACTACTCCCGCTAGCATAGCATACCACAGGAGAAGCACGGTCCTGGTGTTTTTAAAAAAGAGCTATCAGCCTTTTTTGCACGTCTTCCTGCCTCACGCTTCACCTAGCCGACTTCTAGGCAGCTTTTAAAATCAAATTCAGACATACAAATTACCATTTGATTTCAAAAGCTCTGCCGTCACCCCAAGGACGGCTTAAACACCCCTCTCACGTGTGTCAAGGTTTATTATAATTCTGTGTTTCCCTGTGTCTTTCCCACACTCAGCCAGTAGTCCTGTAGAGCAGAGACTGAGTGTCATTTATTTCTGAATCCTCAGCACGTAGTACAGCGTGCAAGGTAGTGTCTCAGTGGTCACTAAAAAGTGAATGGACTCGGTGGTTCTGAATCTGTTCCTACTCACTTGAAAATGCAATGTAGGGCCCTCTTCCTAGGAAAACCCCTTCTAACCTAGGCTAAGGGCCCCCAGAATGTGATACAAGTGATACTTGGTGCAGGTAAAGTCAGTTCTGGACAATGTCGTTTTCAAGATGTACCAATACTGAGGTACCCTGACCACACTTTGACACTGTTCAATAGGAAAGGTGGCGGCACGGTCAAAGCGATGCTGTTCCTCTGCGTACTCAGACAAGTGCCCTTGTTTGGGTCACCAGCAGAGAAACTAGGCATGGCTCAGGGGCTACGACTAGCCCTGTCAGGGACATGTATCTGAACACCTCCTTGTAGGTCCCCAGGCTGGCAAACACCAAGGTTAGCCATCCAAATGCCAACCAGTGATACAGAGGCCTAAGAAGGCGCCAGGTGTCAAGGCTCCCTCGACTATTCTGGGACGTCCTTGTCCCACTGGCGTCTGTAAGGTAGGGTGACACCATTTTTGGGTCAAAAGGAAAGCCAGGGCGGGAAACGAGCTTAGCTTTCCAGTGCTCGCTGCAGCGAGTCCACAGCGACGGGACACCTGGTCTCCCCAGCTACCGTCGAGGCCGCACACAACGTGCTCAACGTCCCGAACACACACACAAGGCGGTGCCGCCAACAGGGCCAGGGCCCCGGCCCGGCCTTGCGCGCAGTGCTGGGCCTGTCGGGTGGAACAGGGGTGCCCAAGCTGAAGCAGGAGGGCGCCCCCCCTGACGCTAACTGTGTGCGGGTTTGGGGTGGCGAGCAGGCCCGAGAGTCCGTTTTCTCCGCCCTCGGCCGTGGAGCCGCACACAAACGCCCGCGGGCCGTGCGCCAGGGCCCCAGGCCAGGCACGCGCCCGCGCCTTCGAGGGCGCGCCCCGCGCTCTCCCGCCTCCCGCACCCCTGGGCGAGCCCGGGCCGCGCCCTGCCCCTCTAGGCCCGGGGTGGCCGGCGCTGTGGGTTTGGGCGGGGGTTTACTTTACCCTCCTTACTTCCAAATAGGTCTGCTTTTCGCTTTGGGACCTCTGTTGGGGGAAGAAGGTCCGGGGCGCGCCGCGCGCAGCGGCGGCTGCGGCCGCGCCGTGCGGGGGGCGGCGCGCTCGGCCTTGAGCGGCGCGCGGCCGCCGCTGCTGCTGCGCGTGCTGTAGAGGCGCGGGGCGGCGCCGTCGGCGGGCGGCGCGCGCGGGAACTCCTTGAGCGAGCGGCTCAGCGGCTTGGCCTTGCCGTGCGCCTGCGCCTGCGCCTGCGCCGCCGCCTCCAGCTTGTAGGCGCCGCTGCTGCCCGCCGGCGACGTGGCGCTCTTGGGCAGCGGCTGCAGCGCGTGCTCGGGCCGCTCGGCCTCCATGGCGAAGCTGACGGGCCGCAGGAAGCAGATGTCCAGGCTGGACTCGGAGGAGGCGGGCGAGCAGTTGTCGAAGAGCGCGGGCGCCTGGAAGGGCTCCTCGTCGTAGGGCGCCGGCAGCGCGAAGAGCTCCCCGCCGTACTCGAACTCCTCGTAGCCCGCGGGCACGAAGCCGCGCGCGTCGGGCAGCAGCTCGGCCGGGGCGCGCAGCGAGCGCTCCACGTTGCCCAGCGGCTCGGCCGGCGACGGCTCGAAGTCCATCTCCGGGATGGCCTGCAGGGGCCCGGCCAGCGCCTTCACGTCCTGCTCGGCGGTGCAGAACTGCGCGGGCGCCAGGAGGCTCTCGGGCCGCTCGTGTTTCCTGCCCTCCAGCTCCCAGTCGCCGGGCTTGCCGGGCTGCATGCTCTCCACCAGGCTCTGCTGCTGTTGGCTTTTCTTCACAGGGGGCAGCAGATGTCTTTAAGGGGAAACAGAATACAAAAGAGGGGTGCAGACGGGTGGTTAGTGCAGGCCTCGCCAGGCTGGGAGCCGCTGGGGCGCCTCTCTTTGCCCCCAGTCGGCTAGTGGTAGCTGCCAAGCTCCACAGAATGCGCCCATTGAGGCCCCGCGACCCCGGGGCCCCAGAGAGAAAATTGCTGTCTGGAAGGGGGAAGCCCGATGGCTCGTCTTAGAAAGGAGACACTGGCTAGAGGTGGCTGGTGGGTCGAGGACAGTCGTCACCCCCCCCCACCCCCTGTGACAGGTCTGACCCTTCCTGACCACCCATCTGCCTCCCAAGGCACCTCTTTTCTCTCTCTGCTCCCTTTCTTGCCCTAGCAGAATTACACAAAAGAATAGAAACACCTTTTGTTCAACTCAGATCTTCACGCTTAAAAACAAATTCATGGGGGCCTCCCTGGTGCACAAGGGGTTAAGCACTCCACTATGAAGCAATCTGCAGCCTCTGCAGGATGAGTTCAATCCCCGGGCAGCCAGGGAGCTACCCACATGATGCAGCAGACTCTCCTGTCTCGCCCGCTGCTCCCCTCAGCAGTGTATTTCAGTCAGTCTGCCTGTTCTGTTACCCACTCTGTCTCTGGTGGATCCTGTCACACCCCCCACCACACACATCTCTGGCCTGTACCCCAGCTCTCGTATGCATAAATAAATAAATCTTTAAAAAAAAATTCCTGGATGAAATGATTGTGAGGTATATTCTTGACAGCTTGAGTCTGGATGACAGCATGTGGGAGTCACTATTTTGTTTGTATCTGAAATTCTCAAATACCATTTGGCTGTAAAACGTGCAATATAAGTCTTTTCAAGCTTTTCACCCTGAATTTGCCCCCTATCACGGGATTTTTAAAAATATGGTAAGTAGTTTACATAGGGGCACTAGGATAGCAGACCCATCATAATTTACCAGTTATGCTGGAGTTTACTTGCCAGACCTATGTGAGTGGGTGACTTACACACTGACCCCCAACTGGTTATCTGGCTAGTTTATGCATATTTAGTTCTACCACCAAAAAAAGCATAAATAATGTAGACATAAATGCTAGCACTGAAGATCTTTCTCCAGTGCCCCTAAGTTGAAAACTAGTTCTCACAGTTACAGATACAAAAAGAAATAGTAAGACAAAATGTTGACCTGACTCTAGTTCTCTCCTAACTTCAAAGATTGTTCTGGGTCGTTTATCTCCCCAACACAGAGTGCAACAGCAGCTATCTCATTCAATCTGGTTATAGTACTACAGGGATTTCATTCTTTGGGGTTCTGTTGCACTGCTTTCCCTACAGGACTCCTAGAATTTTCTCTAGGAAGGAACTCATTCTGGGCTTTATTTATAGAAAAGGTACTATCTCCGAGGTTTTAGAATGATTATGGAATTTCTCCCTCCTTGCTCTCCACATTTGCTCTTCCATCTCTCACTGATAAATGTTCTCATTATTTTAAGAAATTAGGGCAGAAAAGGAATTGACTTTTATCACAGGTAGAATGAGTTCCAGATTTGTAAATTCCTTACCCTAAAGATTGTTGAGAAGTTTGCTGAATGAAAAACCAGCTTATTGTGCTAGAGGGTTATGTGCAGAGACTTTAAAAGGCGATCAAATCCAGCCCAGGACAGCTTTTAGAGAAGCTGTTCTAAGTGACAAACAATTTATTTAAGTCCCTTTCTAAACAAGCTTTAAGGAGAATCTGGAAGGGCTACACAGCATTCTTTCCGCATCATTTCAGACCTATTTCTCATCCTCAGACTTCCTCTGACCCTAACTGGGATTCTTTTTCCCTATATTATATTTTTGGAGAAATTAAGTAGTTTCTCAGCTTTCTGAGGGGCTGTACAATGCCCTCCTGTCTTCTTATATCGTTCTCTTCCAACCCATCAGTATCCAGACCCAGAGATTCATAATATATATGGAGGGTGGTAAAATTACTGGAAACAATCTCCAGCCTCTAGAACTCCCCCTTAATATAAGTGCCTTCCTCTGGGATCTAAGCATCAGGTCAGCTGCTTACCTGCCACATAGAGACCTGATGGGGCCAGAAGTAGGAGTCCTGTAGTGTATACTACCCCACAGAGGCTGTTTGGGACCCAAGGGAATTGCCATTAACTTTCCCACTGCAAGAGGTGCTTAAGTGACAGCAGAGCCAGAACTGGGAGCAGAAGGGTAGGGTTGCAGAATCTCTTCTGAGTGGATCCCACTGTCACGGACTGCCTCAGGTCCTGGAGTAGGAGAAGCCTCTTGCCCGGTATTTGCACACTGGGAAGCCAGCCCTTTGTACAGCTTCGCCATGGATGACCTAACAGAATGGAAGTCATATTCTTAGGGTGTATGGTGGGAAACTGACTCTCTGAACACATAGATTATGCCAAGAAAGATCAAGAAATATTTCCCAGATGAAGGTCAGCTGTGAACGTTCCCCGCCCCACCAGCCTTCCCCGGCCCCTCTACAAACCAGCTGTTTACATGATAGGGTGCAGCTGGATGCCAGGTAGGACTATAAATGCTAATTGGCTGACTTGAGTTTGGGGAAGGCTCTGTACTGGAAGATGTCCTCCTTTAGAGAAGTCTGACTTGCCAAGATAGCTTCCTTTTCTGGAAATACCCACAGTAATGACTCTGTCTTCCTCCTTGGGTTGGGATAAGGTTGAAGTGAATCCAAGTCATTAGGAAGCTCTGCTATAGGTTGCGCCTGTTACATCTGAAGTCTGGATTCTTCCAGTCAACACTTTCCATTTCCTCTTAGCATGAAATCTGTTTAACCAGCATCCCCTTCCTAAATTGTTTTATTTTTACCCATAGCACTATGACCATCTAACTTATTAACTGACTGTCCAACTCTCAAAAGTAAGCTCCAAGTGGCAGGGAATTTTTTCTATTTTGTTCATTGCAGTAAATTCAGTGTGTAAAACAGTGCCTGACACAACCACAGGCATGCAATAAATAGTTGTTGAATTAATGAGGGAAACCACAGTCTGGCCTTTAAACTGCAATTTTAACCTGGCAAGTTTAGGGAACCTGACCCACTTCATGTGGTTAGCAACTACATGAGATAAGAGATGATAGGGCGCTGCATAGGCATTGGAGTGAAAGTGCTTATTTTTCTAAAAGAATCTGAGTAGTGGGTGCCTCTCCTCGCTCCCCTTCTCTCTCCTATCTCCCATCACTACATTTCAGCCACTTAACATCCGGTGTTGTCACTGCCACTCACAGCGACTGTCTGCATCCCTCACTCAGAAATCTTTGACCAGCCCTATAGATGGCATTATCAGAACCTTACTTCTTGAGTTTTTTCCGTTTCTGAATAAGCAATTCCTCATTGCATTGAAACAGCAGGGTGTAGTGTGAGATAAACACTCGAAGGCGCTGAACACACACCAGGAGTAGGTAATAGTCAGGGTGCTCCTGCTCTGTGAACTTCAGAACATTCTAGATAGAGGGGAAAAAACAGCATGGCATAATTAGAATGAAAGTTGTTTTCCTCTCTTTTGCACCTGGATCTGTTGTGAGGTTTTTGGTAGTAATTTTATTATCGAAACAATATATATGGCCAATCTAATTATAAGCTGAAAGGTCAAATTTGCTGTTTTCTTGCCTGTCACAGTCAGGAAAAATAATAGTCACTACTGTTCCTGTTTGAACAGGATGTGAGCATAAGAGAAAAAATAGAAGGATCTATTAACTGGATCTCTGAGGTAATGAGTCATTCTAACAAATACTGTCTACAAGAAAGGCCTTAGAACCCCACAGAGTCAGACCAATGCGGAGAACATCAGGCAGCAAGGCAGGCTGGAAGAGGGTTTTTTTGTTTTTGTTTTTCCAAACCTAGCCCGGCAACCTCGCTGCTTGCCTTCCCTCTGTGGTATTGAGGGGCTTGCGTGCTAGTTGGATTCAGGAAAGCTAACATTTATGAAGTGCTTCCTATTGCCAAGCACTAAGCCCTATTTTCTCACTTAATTTTTACCACAACCTGGTTAGATAAGTACAATTATCCCCCTGCTTTACACATTCGAGAATCGAGGCACAGTAAGGTTAAGTAATCTTCAGGAAGCCACACATCTCACGAGAGGTAAAGCCAGGATGTGAAGTCAAGTCAGACAGTAAAACTCGGCTTTTTGTTTACTTGTAAAACTTGGGTTTCAGTCCTAGTTTTTTCACCGACTAGGTTTGTTAACCTGGGCAAGTTACTTAACTTCTTTGCATCTTCCTTTCCTTATCTAAGAAATGGTAATAACCATATCTATTCCATGGGGTTGTTGGAAGGATTAAATAAGATAATAATTGTGAGAAAATGATTTCAAAATCTAAAGTCACATACATTTGAAAGTCGTTTTTATATTGACACTGGGCTGCTTCTACCTAAGATACAGCCTCAGCATTTCTAAGGTGTTCTCGCTAAATTATTTAAGATGATCAGTCAGCAATTAAACCAGAACAGGTGAGGGGTGGGAGGAAGAGGTGCTTGTAGATGTGCTTGTGAACTCTCTCTACTCCCTTCAAGATGCTACAAACCCTGTGGGGAAATGGTGTGAGAAATCATCTTATCAGCTTCCTCATGCTTCTGCTGTGACATAAGACATAAGCCATTTTTGGTTGGACCCAAGACTAAAGAAAATAGTCAGGATAGCAGTTACATAGGTATTTCTTAGTGCAGGAGTGGGGGTGGATGGGTGTATGTAGGAGGCTGCAGCACCAGGGTGGAAGGGATTGAAGGGGAACTCAGAATTTAGCAGGAGCTGCTCTAGAAAGACCTTGGATCAGCAGAGGGGTGGATTGCTGGTAAATGGAGACAGAACGTCAAAGGCAGGCATCAGGCACCAAAAATTTTTAGATTTTTTAGCTCATACCACAAGGTGAAGATGGGGTAGTCCTGACAAGTTAAATCATTTCAAAACTTCTTAGAAATATTAATGATTCCTTGATTCTTTACAGTGTTTTTCAGTTGGAAGCCAAAAACAGTTGTTGACATGAAAGTCAGTTCAGTGGCGTGCCCAGCCATGCCTACCTGCAGATGTATCAGGTATTCAGGGATGCGCTGAACTATGTGAAAAAACAGCGTGTAGATGTCAGATTTAATCTCTTCATCACCCTGAATGAAAGAAAGGTGGAGTACTTTTAGTGTCCTACTGAAGCTCTGGCTGCCGAACCCCAAAGTCAGCCCCATCAGAGTAGGAAGGGTTTACTCCCAGAGTATCTCTGCCTTGTCACGAAGCATTGATCTGTCATTGGAGAGGCCATTTGTTACGGAAAATGCTCAGAGACAGTTTCTCTAAAGCATGGAGGGAATCATATACCTCTTTTTAATCCACCCAACTTGCCAAACTAACCCCTCCATCTTCCTCTCCCCATACACAGAGGTGGACATTCAATAAAATATATTTGAGGTGAATTAATTCATTTAAGTTTTCCAGCAAGTAATCATGACAGTGGTTTACTAATAGCCACCAGGGGGAACTGGAAACTCATGAGTGTGGGGGCAGGGAATGTGATCAGAAACCGGCAGCAGGAATCATGTTGGAGTTTCTCCACATCTTTTCCTCCCCTCCCCCCTTCTTCAAATATTTGCTGAATGCTATATCATGTGGTAGGCATTATACTGGGTTGGAAGCAGCAGAGAGTTGAAATAAAATGTTAATAAGATGGAGTCCCTTCCCTGTTGTGAAACTTGATCAACTTTTCATTTGGGGGCTTTGGGTGCAGTTTCTTCCTATTGTCCTAAAATAACTAGAATTTTTATAGATTTATATCTGCTTACTCACCACCTAACATGTCACTGGAGTAGCGTATTTAAAGCAAGCACTTCGTGATCTTATACACTGACAGACACAGGATGACTTCAGTTTTAATATTCAGACTAAATTTAATATTACAATTCATATTATCTGAGCCAGAAAAACAAAACAAAACAAAAGCTTCATACAGTATGCAAGCTGAAGCAGTCTGAAGATCTCTGTTTAGAACGCCGTTGTCTTTTGTCTGTACTGCCAGTGGAAAGGAACAGAGGGTCTGTAAGGCAGGGTAAGGACCAAAGCAATGGTGCTGATCCTGCAGTGGGCTCCTAGAACCCCAAGGTGCATGTCCTGTATTTCCTGGTGGATGAGCAACATCATATTGAGATACATGTGACCAAAGAGAAGCAAGTTAACTTACCTCCTTCAGAACAACAACATGAACCAAAGAAATGCATTCAGGCAGGTCTCTCAGGTAGGCAACATAATAATCCAAGAAATTATTCTTGAAAACAAACACAAAAATTCATGGTAAGAACCTGAAAACAGGTAACAACTTAATATTTTATAGTCATGTGCCTCAAAAAGGAGTACTTTGCAGTGATTATCTTAATCATTCATTTAAGGTGGCCATTAACATGTTTCAGTTTTTAAATTCATCTCATTTTTAAATCTCTTTGGTTTTAAGGTAAACATCGCTATGGGTTTAAGCACTCAAACTCCCAGCCATATTTAAACAGAGCAAATGAAGTAGTAAGCCAAGGAGCAAGAGAATCATATAAATTGAAAAAGTATTTTAAAATTGTTAAATGATTAAAAAGAAATATGTTGTTTCTTAATAATAATTTCAATCATCTACATCCAAATGAGGAACTTTATCCAACACACTTCATAGTACGTAGCCCAGTGGTTCTCAACTTTTCCCACTAATCACACATTTCCACTAATTGCAATTCACCTCTGTAATATCCCTCCAGGAAAAGTTCTCAGCTCCAAGGCTATGTTCCCATAGATATTACAATTCTCAACTCAAGAAAGCAAATGAGGAAAAGTGATTTTAAAGGACTAGCATTACATCTTTTCAAATCTATACAAGTGAATAATTTATAAACTTTGTATTATTATGCATTGTTGAGAATCAATGATATACAGAGCTTGCTTGCAGGCAAAGTCTGGCTTGCAAATCAATTTTAACTAGACCACACAATATTTTAAAAGTAAAATTTCACATCATATTACTGATTTCCATTTTCTCTTAAAATATCAGATCTGATAACTTTAGCTCTTTTGACCTGCATGATAATTGGATAAAACTGAGTAGTTTTTCTGTAGAAAAGCATTTGTGCTCCACTTAAGCTCACTTCCCAACAGTCCACATTGTGTTATAGTCAGCTCACATCCACTCATTTAGGTCACTATCTGGCCCTGTAGTCATTTCAGTTTGCAACTTCTGGCCTAGAGTCATATCTTCTTTGTAGAACATTATAGAGATTTCAAAACTTAACACCCTATCTGTAAGATGTGAAAACTAAGCACTTTTTTCCCCCACAAAACAAAGTGAACATTCAAGACAAATACCTATCACATTTATTTTTAACTTCTAAGGAATGAAATGGTGTCTGGAAATACATCTATACACAGACCCTCATCTATTTATGTATTATGGACATATATGTGCAGGTATATATGTTTATTCACAAATACAGACATGTACACCTACATCTGAGTACATTGGATGGAGACAATTTTAGTACAGTGGAGATCTATGAAGTGGAAGTTAGAACACAGACTCTAATGACAGATGAACCACTAAATAGCAAATTGTTTAATTGGCAAAGTCTTTTAACCTTTGTGAACTTTATTTGGTTATCTTTAGAATGAGAAAGTTAGACTAAGTCTCAGTGATTCCTCTCACTCTGAAATTCACTGATTCTAGATTCCCCATTAAGGAAAGTAGATGGGGGCACCGATTCACAGGATTCAAGTTTGTAATGCGTTAAAAAAAAAAAAAACAAAAAACTTACCTCATCGTTTGTTAACTTAAGGAATAAATCTCCAAGCACTCCTTGGCGTGGCCACTTGAGGACCCTTTCCTGCAGAGCATGAAGCAAATCCAGGTGCTGCTGGACAAGGTACCGTAAAGAGCCAGGGAAGAGGCTTGAAACAGAACAGAGATAGAATCACACAAACCAAGTGTGGAGACGACACAGCCCTACAGAATAGATGCAGCAGGCCCCACCTCCCCAATCATTCAAGATAATTCTGAGTCACGGGTCTCTATTTAGGATATTTTTTTTTAAGTTTGTCACGTAGACCTCATCGAAGATGTCCTGAGGTGACAGAGGGTCCCTTGACTGATGGCTCCTACACACAAGTGTATTGAACGAACAAGAAGCACATCACTTGAACAGCCTTTTAAATGTCAAATGGGCACACTGCCTTTACATGCCACTCTGTGGAAACCCCAAGGGAACTCTTTTTCTATGCTTTAAAGTTATTCCCACTTGATGTGTGAAAGTCTATTCTATTGGTGTCACATTAGTATAGATGACAGCAGTAAGGTGCATTTGGTCATTCTTAGCTACTAGGTAGCAGACTGCTACTGAGACACATAGGGAAATTTGTTTAAAGATGGCAACTAAAAGCTCAGGGGGTGGGAATATGAAGGCTTCCTTTTCCCCTTTCGCTCAGTTCCTGAGAGGAACACCAGGCAGGGACAGTGTTGCCTACATAGGCAGTCCCCTCCCCACTCTCGCAAGCTACTCCCCCAGCTCTCGATGTGCCTCATTTTATTCAGAGGAAATAAAGGGGAAAGCAAGATGTTCAAAGGGAGAAGGGGGACCGGATGGAGACTGGTGGGGTGATCAGAGATCTATAGGAACGAGGAAGGAAGAAAAAATTAAATGGAGTCTTGCTAGAGCTACAGCAAGAATTTGAGCTCTGACTTGGTGACTTGGGAATGAAAATAGATTCACTTGTGCTTTCAAAACCTCACGTTCATGAAGATGAACTGACCAAGGATGGAAGTGACCATTTGTCATTTGAACTTATTTGGCTGTTTCCCAGGGTTCTAATGAGATAAATCAGTGGGCAATCTGGAGCATTGCCAGCCCCAGATAAGAGAACAAGAAGGACACCAGTCTGAGAGGTTTGTTCAAGCCAGCTCCAAGCAAAGCAGAAGTTCCTCAGTGGCTGTAGCTCAGAGAAAACACAAATGCCAGAATTGGGTTCCCTGTTTCCTTGGAAAGATACAGGGATTCCTTCCATTCCACCTTTTGCCCCCACCACCTTCTGTGCCATGAGTTTCTGCTGTGAGAAACCCCTGATCCAGAAGATCCAGGAGAGACTTTCTGATCTGGGCTCTCATGGCTGGTGGCTGGTGACTGGCACAGCAGGCTTGGAGCATCTACATAATCCTAGTGCAGGTCTGGGGGAACTCAGAGGCGTGGCTAGAAGAGTCTGACTGGGAGAAGCCGATGTGGAAGAATTGCAACTGATCTTACTGGAGTTAAATACTGCACCAGCAAAAGATCTAGTTGTGAAAGATTTCTCTCCATCCAGAGGCTATGCACAACTTTGGGTAATAATTCTTGTGTGACACAGCAAGTAGAAAAAGGCTGCAGTGGGCTAAGAACATGTCTAGTATCCCCACATGAGTGCAGCTGAGATCTGAAGAACTGTGAAGTCTGTGTTTGAAACAGAAAGAGACAGAAAGTCTGCCTCTGGCGAGTTGAGAAGCCTGACATAGAGTTGTCAGGATGCCACAGCATCCTTAGAGAAGTGGCATGATGTGAAAAGAACATGAAGTACACGCCCAACAGGCTTGGGTTTGATTTCTGGCATTAACTGCCTATGTGATTTTAAGTCTTTCTGGACCTTAGTTTCTTCATCTGTGAAGTAGGATTCACAGGGCTCTTGTGAAGATTTCATGAAGGGAGTGACTCGCACAGGGCCTGGTACCTGTGTCCCAGAGTAAACAGATCCTCTCTTTCTTCTTACACTGTCCCCCAATTTTCAGTGACTAGGAAGTTGCTTAGAATCTATATGGGGAAACAAAGTCCCCATGTAGACTTGCCTTTAGAGTTGGTTCATGTAAACTAGGAGGGTCTTTGGCAACAGCAAAATAGAAAGCTAGAAGCCACTGAGGTTTCTCAGAGAGCTACTGAAAGTCTGGGAGGCAGGACCAGCCACTGAAGTCTGGGAGGAGTAATCAAATGGTCATATGGGGATGGAAGGTCCAGTGAGAATCTGGGTGACACTCAGAGAAGTGCAGATCTACACCCCCTGCCGGTCACCACTGTGGCACTGTCCCCTCACCTTTTCTGTTCTGTGTTGACTTCATATCTTTTATCCCAGTTTTGCAGTAAAGTAAAATTTGAAAATACTCAAGTCGCTTGTGGATTTGTCAGGGACTATTTCCTTACCTCAGCTGTTTAGGTAGGAGAGCACTGAATTTTAGTGACCGGGGAATATTGTTGGCCTTTACGAAGTCAAGTAAAATTGAGGGAGGGAATAGATAGTGCAGAGCAGGAAAATATAATTTGAGCCTCTCCTGATAGAGTCACAATTTATGTGATTAAGTTGTAATAGTGAAAAAAAAAAAACTTGTATTAGTGCATATTACCTGATAAAATATTTAAAGTAATAAGCTACATTTGCCAGTAGTAGTCCATAATTCAGACTTTCATTTGGATTGGACTTTTCCTTGATTACTTGATGTTATCACATTTTTATTACATTCATCTTTCTCACCAAATCATAGTTTCCTCTCCCAATAGAGAGAATCTAAAGATTATGGATTGATCTAGATGGAGAAGTGTTGTGCTGTTAGGCCTAGCGCCTGTCACAATGCACTGCACGCCCTACAGGAGCACTGCCTTGCCTCAGAGGAACACACACACTATCCCCCCCAGCCCCCCACACCCATGTACTACCCAGTACTATGGGATTCTCTGAAAACATAATAAGGAAGGTCCAAGTCCAGAGTCATATCAGGCCTGTATCCTATATCATTTCTCCAACAACTACTTAGGGCTTCAGACCTCTGCTGCATCCATTCCCACTACCTCCAGGAGACCTGTGACCCTAGGGGGTCAGGCAGGTGGAAACAGAGAGCAGTGCCTCCCTCCCTGCAGCATTTATTCTTCCCTTAGGGTCTTAACAGATATGCATGGACTCTGAAGACCTGAGACCATACTTATCTTCTTATCTGCTAAAAATCCAAATGTGAGATTTGCCAGGGTTACTTGCTGTCACTGCCTACTACCTTTTGAAAGACTATTTCTGGAACTCTTTACAGGTGTCAGGAGTCCCAAAGTGGAAACAATAAACAACTTACCTTAAATCTTAATCAATCTGAAAAGCAAAGGCAATGAATACATGGATACCTTCTCTCTTTGGAATTCCTCTTTCCATCTGATCCCTGGAATGTTGCCTTGATCTTCAGGATCAGAGAGATATTAATGACATATTTTCTTTCTGATTCAAGCAGTTCTAGTGCCACAGTCTGTCTTTTAGCTTTGAAAACAAACCAAAGAGGGATTTTTGTTAACCATCCTTCCCCAAACCCTATTAAATGCTAGAAAACAACAGAAAGCAATAAAAAGTGACATCAGCAAGCTTTCAGAAGATGGAAAACACAATGGAGGCATGTTAATTGATTCTGCAGAGTAAAGGACCCTGGTGTTCTCATCTACAGATGGGAAATGTGCTGAGAAACAGAAAAGCTCCATGATTGGAGGCAGCAGGCATCACAGAAAGTGCAAGTCAAGGGGAATACTAAAAACAGGAGGCAGTCTGCATAAAGTGCAACTGAACCTCTAGGTCCCCACCCCCACACCAGATGGCTTTCTCATTTTCAGCCCATGGGAAATGGGAAAAACTGAACTAGAGAAACCTTTTTCTCTGGGGTCTGGGCTAAAGACAGCAGAAATAGTAGAAGGTAGAGTTGAGATGCTAAATGAAAACAAGGGTTGCTACTGAATAGTGAGATCCCCTTCAGCATCTCCCCCTGCCGGGCCAGAATGTCAGCAGCCAGGCTCATACCCTCCAGGCAGGAAACTGGCAGGCCTTCCATTGGAGAAACTGAACTACCCAGGAAAGAAAACATGCCAGATGCTGATAGAGGAGGTTACCGAACAAAAGTTCATTTGTCACCTGGTTAGATAATAATGAAGCTCACTTATTGATAAGCAGACCAGTACAGACTTTTCAGGGTGTTGTTTTTTTTTTTAAGGATTCTCCCTTAAATATAAATATTTAACTAAGAATCCTCAGATATTGGAATCACACACTGTAAAAGAGAAGTAAACAGTATATACACACATATTCAGAGGGGGAGCACTGAATAAATGCAGAAACAAAAGAAAACTTCTTAAATTTTATAGTTAATAGTCTCAAAGAAACATGAGAAAAATATTGTAGCCATTTAATAAATTTGCAATACTATTTTTAAAAATGAGAAAAATTAAAAAATAAGAAACTTTGGGGCATTTTTTAAAAGATTAAAGACTAGAAGATAAAGTCAAGCAAATGGCCTGCCTTTTCTCTTTCCTTCCTTCCTGCCTCCCCCCCAAAAAAACCACTAGGTGTTATAGGACAGGGAGAGGGGCAGCCCAAACCCCGCAAACCTGCCTGTTCTAAATGGGTTCTGCCACCCGCCGCATCAACACAAAACATATGACACTTTAATGGGAAGGAACTTTAATAAAACTAGGAAACAATACAGGTAAGGCAAAGAGTCTAGTTTCTAAATGAAGCACCCAAAGTTACCCGTCCCCTCGTGGGTAAAAGTCCATCCATATGGGATCGGCCCAGAACAAGGCCCCAAAGCCTGCTACATAGGGACAGATTGAAGGAAAATAGAAGAGAAAAAGATAGCAGCAAAGAAAATCGATCCAGGAGGTCCTACATCAGATTAGCAGAGATTTCAGAGGAAAAAAAAAAAGAGAAAAACATGAGAGGCTATTATCAAATTAGTAATAGCAAAGCAAAATATCAGGACATGTAATTCCAGAGGAAAAGGCCACAGTGCTCAGCATAATTAATAGCTCCTTGAAAGACACAACACGGCACTGTGGCATTATTGCACACCAAAGATAAAGAGAAGTCCCCAAATGTTACCAGAGAGAAAAATCTGGTTGCACACAAAGGAATGGGAATCAGAATAGTATTGAACTTTCTAATAGCAACATTAGGAGTTAAAAGACAATGGAGGAATTTACTGAAAATAACAAGAGAAAATTAGTTTATATTCAGCTAAGTTAACAACAAAGTATGTGCAAGTTACTGGATGATGGATTCCATCCAGACAAGTAAACCAAGAAGGACACACAAGAACAAACAAATACAAACAGCAATGTAACACAGGAGAAGGAATTTCCAGGGAGAGTGGGAAGTCTCTGGATGGTGGCAGTACAATGGTGGAACAGGATAACAGCAGCCTCTGGGGCAAATGCTTTAAAAAGATGTAGATGACAGATTTTCTGTTACATTGCTGAGAAAAATTAAAGAAGATCTATATAAATGAAGACAGATACCACGTTCTTTTCTTGGAAGACTCAATTTATCGAAATGTCATTTCTCTGCTAATTGGAATGAAAGAATATAGAGATTAGAATTAGGTCCACTCATATCTAATCTCTAGACTTTCCCTGTGCAATTCACTGTGAGAAGGAAGGTTTTTTGATACATGGTGCTAAAACCTGAAGAGCCAGATTTGGGGGTAATGAACCAGACTCCTTCCACATCAGGATTTACTGAAGATAAGTAACAAAGTAATTGTGGAGACTGAAATTAAAGATTTTAGAAGAAAATATACTCGAATACCTTTACAAGCTCGGGATAGGTAAAGATTTCTTAGAAGGACACATAAGTTGCTAGCTACTTATAAAGTTTAAAATGGATGGATTAACATCAACAAAATTAAAGCATTTGTTTATCAGAAGACTATTTAGAACATGAAAAGGTAAGCCACAAACTAGAATAAGTTTCCTCCACACATTTATCTGACAAAGAACTCCTATACAAAATATATCAAGAAACCCTTCTAGTAGATGATAAAGCAATAACCCAATTTAAAAGTTGGATAAAGGAATTAAATAGCATTTCATAACACAAGATAAAAGAGTAGCCAATAAGGGTATGAAAAGAGGCTAAATATCATTAGTCATCAGGGAAGTGCATATTAAACTCCAGCATGATACAAGTGCTCTCCCGCAATAATAGCTAAAGTTAAAAAGGCTGGTCACACTCAGTACTGTGAAGATGTGAAGCAACTGGAACTCTCATGCATGCTTGTGTTGTACAAAATGTTCCCAACGTTTTGGAGACCGGCATTATGTTTACTTTCAAAGTGAGACATTATCCTATCCTTTTACCTAGAGATTTCACTCCTGTGTACACAGACAAAAGAAATGAGGCCATACATCCAGAACAAGACTTTTATAAGAATATTCATAGTAGCTTTATTTATAATAGCCCTACACTGGAAATAACCCAAATGTACATGAGTAGAAGAATGAATGAACAAATTGTGGGAAATTCATACAATATGATTAAGAAGAATGAACCAGTGAATAAATCATATATAACACATTATGTTGACAGAAGCCAGACACAAAAGTACACATTGTAATATTCTATTTACATGAAGTTGAAGAACAGACAAAACTAATTTATGGTGGTGGTGTTAGAAGTTAGAACAGTGATTCTCTGAGTGGATATCAACTGGAAAGGTACATGAGAAGACATTCTGGGACACTAAAAATATTGTGTATCTTAATCTGGGTAGTGATCACAGGGGTATAGATACGGAACAAGTCAATGAACTTAAATATAAGCCTTGTGGATTTTAAAGCATGTAAATTAGACCTTAATATAGTCCAGTTTAAAAAAATAGCAGCATAAATTTTTTAAAATATAAAAGCAAGCACCAGAAGTGTCAAAAGAAGTAAAAGCAGTTACTTCTACATAATAAATCATTTAGCACTGTTTAATTTTTCATGGATTTGATAATTTTTATTTAAATCACCTTCACAAAACAGTTGGAGGGAAATGTCTGACACATGATAAGTATTCAGTAATGATTTATGATATGAAGGGGAAAAAAGGAGGAAAAAAATCAGCGGGGGAGGAAGGTAGACTACTTGCAGTGTTTTATATTTTGGTAGTAAATTAGTGATACAAGATTCATATACTGAGGTTCCCCATCACTGACTAAATGTTCACCTAATTCTGTGCTCTTGTCCACCAACCTTACAACCCAACACACTGTATTATTAATGTCAGGGTTACCCAGAATCAAGGTCATAGTCCCAGCCCGCCAGCTGGGACATACCCAGCTCGGTGTGTCTTTTCGCTTCTACCAGCAGAAAAATTTGCTCATCAGAAAAGGAAACCAGCCACTAGGTGGTCTCATTGTCCACTGAATCTAAATTGCAAGAATACTGGGTCCTAGGTTCCTCCTGTTTTTTTACATTTTTAGTTGTATTCCCACTTGGAACTTACCAGCTAAGGAGGTCTCACATAAAACATTTTCCAAGGAGCTATGCCGGCCCTGCCCAGCTTCCTTGAGCTTATCTGGGTGGTCTTTCGTGACGTATTCCTCGCCCCATTCTTTGCCATCCTTAGGCTGCCTCCACACACCAGAGGCGTGATGGCCCTTGGACGGGATCTCAGCTGCAAGGCAAGGCTTGAGGTTCTCTTCTGCTTCCGGAGTTGTTGGGTTCATTCCTGGAAAATAGCACCTGCCCTCAAGACCTGACTTAAAAAATTATAGACTTTAGTAACTCTTAAATATTATGCACCTGTTTGGATGAAACCATCCCTTGAGGATTAAATACATCAATTAAGGATCAAAAGTTTCCATGGTAACTACAGCTCTGTTTCTGATGTATACATCCTCTATTTTTGACATATTGTCTCACCAAATAAGGAGTTAAGAAATAAATTAAGAAAATAATATAACTAATTTATAATAATAAGTATGGATTCCTTGCATCTGCTTCCGTATAAACGAGCACACCAGGTGTCTGTAGCTCTGTTAGCAAGAAAATACAGAAAGAGAGAGTACTGGATGCCTTTGTTTGCAGTTCGCACTCCTTGAGTCAATGATGGTAGCTTGCAGAAAGGAAGGAGGAAGGACGAGAAGATGGAAAAATGTATAGAATTCTGAAGGTCTATTCAGTAAGTAACTTTTAAGTAGTTTATAAAATATGTAGACTATTGCACATTTATGACATGCTGCATACACCTGTGAATTCTCAGCAATTGTTAATTCATTGGAAATTGAAATGAGCCTGAAAGAACCAAGAATACTGGCTTTGTCCTAAACTTCCTCACCCCTTCACTGTCTATGGCTTTAATGGAGTCATTGACCTCCCTATGCACACATCTTGGAAGTATAGCAACCATACTGCTTTATCTTCCCTGAATTCTTTCATGCTTGGTTTGGGGCTGAGGAAGCAGAAACAGAGAAGGTGGAATTGCTAAAAGAAAGAGAAATAAGAAGAGCCACTTACCAGGACCCATCATTCCTTTCACATTACTCTCTCCTACATGAACAGATCTGGGCTCTGGGGCTGCAGAGAAAGGAAAGCTTTCAATCAATGTTCACTCCAGGAACATGGGCTGGAGCCTACAAAGAACCAGGCAATGGGGATCGACTCACAATTTTTACAGTTTATTAGGGTTAATTACATAAAAATTTGTCAACCTTTGTTGGAAAAAATCAGAAAACACAACTTCACCTATGCTGAGAAAACAGATACTTTTCAAATGTCTATGTAGAGAGATTGGTATTGAAAATTAATAGAGAATTAATAGATTATAATTAATTTATTAGAGTGAATAATTTTTTAAACAGTTTTCTCCTAGGGATTCTATAACATTATTGTGCCACAAATTTTTTCCAATTCATTTGAAATTTAGAATACCCAGATTAGCATTTTTACAATCTTTTAAAATGGGGCAGACTCACATGGTCTTTCAGATACCCTACCCTTCTAAATTCCACTTAAAAAAGGAAAAATTCTGAGCAATGTGCCATTTTCCTCTAGTAAGAATAGAGGACTTAAACTCACTCTTAGTTACTGCTTAAACCCTAGGAATCAAGGGGGAAATGCTGGCTAATCCAGGATGACTTGTAAACTGTATACCTTTTTCATAGGCTTGAGATGGCAACAGGTTTGTAAAATCTTCACTGGGAAGAACAGGCTCAGGGATGTTAATGGAACGAAAAGGGCTTCCTTGTGCTTGAGCAGGCCCAGCCTGGGAGCTGTGTTCTTCTTTTTGAGTTTTCCTAGGGGAGGGAAACAAAGACAAGGCTTAATACCTGATGGGTTAGGAAGAGATTCAGGTCAGAACAACCCAAGAAATTCTCTGAATTATTGGGTTGAACCACACAAAGTTTTTTTCTTAGTAAATTAAAAATGGTCAAATACTAGGAATTCATATGGTTGAACTTAATTCATCACCAAAGCTAGAAGAAAATTTTAATCTCAAACCACCATGTCATATCTACATTCTTATTTTTCTGTTACTGACTTTCCTGTCATCAGAAACTTTATAGAGTTTGCAGTGGTGAAAATTTGCTTGGTATGATTTACCCTTAAAGTAACACAGAGGTACCAAGAAGTAGCAGGTCCTCATATGAAAACAAGGATTCTTCCTCCACCGTCACACAAATCGTATTGGAATATCTCTATTTTAAATTTGATCATTTTAAAAACATGTAACAATAAAAATGGTTAGTGGTAAAACTTTACTTGATTCAACCTGAGGGAGATATTGTTTAACATAAATTTATTTTCAAAGGTAAAAGGAAAATAATAGTAACATTAGATAAATTTTAGAAAAAAGGAAAATTTAACAAAAAGGAAAAATCACTGGTAGCCCCTCTGTCTTAACACATCACTATTTTAAAACACATTTTTCTAGTTGTTATTTTTTATATAGTTACAATTGACATCAAATCATACATGCCATTTTATATAATTTTCATTTCACTTCTTATTATAGCTTATCATCCATTTTTAGTATGACCACTTTTCATGGCTTTATAATCTCCATCACATATTGAGGTGGAGCCCAGTGGCCAGCTAGCTATGGGCCATAGTGGGGAAGGTGTTCTGGTGCCTCTGCACAAGCCACGCATTTGGATTTGCCTTTGACCAATTTTTTGTAAGACACTCACTTGGCTTTAACTTTTCGAGATTCTCTTCGCTTCTCCTGTTGAAGTTGTTCAATTTTCTGTTGCATTTCTTCTTGTTTGGAAGTGATGGCCTGAATCATTGACATGGCATTGCTCAGTTCTTCCTAAAAAATAAGAATCAATACATATTTAATCTGGCATATGCAGTAAAGGTATATAACATCTAATATACTCTAAACTTTTATTAATATTTTATATAATTCTTACATCATTTTTCATTTTTGCACAATGTATGCATTTTCATTTTGGTTATATTCCCCATACAATTCCTACCCCCCTTATTTTGACCCTAGTCCTTCCTCTCCCTTTCCCTCCCTCCCTGCTGTAGTGTGTCTCTGGTCTATAGTTGCTTGCTGATTTTGATTTTTTACTTTGTATTAATCAATCTTTTTCCTGGTCCCTTATTTAGGTTTTCTAAATTCCTGCTATGAGTGAGACTATCCAGTATTTTTCTTTTTCTTTCTGACTTATTTCGCTGAGCATGATCCCTTCTAGCTCCATCCATGTTGCTGCAAACTGCATGTATTTGTCTTTTTGATTGCTGAGTAATATTCCATTGTGTATATGTACCACATCTTCTTGATCTGGTCATCTATTTTTGGGCATTTGGGTTGTTTCCATAGTTTAGCTATTGTAAATAGTGCTGCTATAAACATAGGGATGCAGGTGCCCTTTGGAATTAATGTTTCTGTGTCCTTTGGGTAAATACCTAGGAGTGAAATTGCTGGATCATATGGAAGTTCTATGTTTAGTAGGTCAAGAAATCTCCACACAGCTCTCCATAGTGGTTGGACCAGTTTGCACTCCCACCAGCAATGCAGGAGAGTTCCTTTTTCTCCACAACCTCGCCAACATTTGTTGTTGCTAGTTTTTTAATATGTGCCATTCTCACTGGTAATACACTCTAAACTTTTAACACATAGTTGGCAAATGAATGAATGAATGAATGAGAGATGAAATTTTTGCTTCCATTGAGATCCAAGAAAAAAAAAAAGAAATAGATATTTTTCCATAATAACCAGTGAATGGCCCAGGAAGGAAATTCATATATTTGACTGTTAATGTAAAAACTTAAGAGTCCACCTCTCTCTTACTAAGACCAAGAATCTCTCTTCAGAGGAAAATAGAAGATGACCCCACCTTGAAATAGTTTAATGAATTCTTCATCTCAGTAACTTTTTCTTCCATGGAACATTTACAGCTCTTAACCTTCTCTTCCAAAGCATATTCTCCATGTTGAATCCTTGACAGTTCTTGCATTGCTTCTGTAAAGCCAGTTTTGAGTTCAGAGGCTAGGGCCTGCAACTAAATAATACACAAAGAGTAAATTTAGTTGCTATAGTTTATAATGAAAGGTGCCCATCGACCCTTGAATTTTTCTTTGGTTTGAGAAACCAGGCTCTTGAAATCCTACAGATCTGTTACTGGTAGGCTGCAGATTGGACAACTTAAGACAAACTTGGCCTCATTCATGTGAAGAAAAGAGGGTCTTCTTTATACAGTACATGCTGAAGCTTGATAGTGATAAGAAAACAAGCAACTAATTAAGTTCGCAAGTGCTCATGTAAGCTCCAATTTATTCTAACACCTTTGATTAAAATGAGATTTACTTGAAAAGCAACATATGCAAGATAATCTTGATCCAGTAACTTTGTGAATTCTGTGAAAGAAGAAAGGATGAGTCATATTCTCCCCAGCTATTGTAAGATAAAGAAATTCAGGGTTTTTTCCTTATAAAATTAAAGGATAAAGAGTGACAGTTAAGCATGTCTAAGAATTTCTTTGAGAGGGAGTTTTAAATTATATAAAGGCATTTCCAATGGCAACATACTTCCATCCACAAGAAAGACACAGAAGGAGCTCAGCACGGTTGACAGAGATCTGGGGCATCGTCAGCTGTCAATTGGTCATGTAGAAGCACACACTGGACTTCTGTCAACTCTCACACTGTGAACCTTGGGGCAACTAAGTAGTCAGGTAAGGTACAAATCCTAGCTCTCTCCCACAAGTACTCACAACTTAGCCAAGTGGGTTAACCTCTTTTGTAGTGAATGTCTTTGTTCATAAAACAGCTACTCTCACATCTATTTCACAGGATTTCTTGAGAACTAAATGAATAAACGCAGGTAAAGCACCCGCCACAGCACGTGTGATATATAGACAGTGTTCAAGAAATTTTTGTTTCTCCCCCTTTAAGTGGCAAATCAAAAGTTAAGCAAAACCAGGGCCTCCCCGGTGGCACAGCGGATTGAGTGCTACACTGTGAAGCTGTCTGCAGCCTCTGCAGCATGGGTTCGATCCCACGCAGGCCAGGGAGAAACCCACATGGCGCAGCAGACCTCTACTGCCTTTCCTGCTGCTCCCCTCAGCAATGTCTTTGGTCCTTCTGCCTGTTCTGCCTGTTCTGCTCCCTGTTCTGTCTCTGGTGAATTCTCTCACCCTCCCAGACCTCTGACTGTACCCCAGTTCTTGTATAAACAAATCTTAAAAAAAAGTTAAGCAAAACCAGAAATGTGGAGAAAATGGAGCACTTCTAAAATTCAGTTATATATCACTTGAATTAGTGAAAAAGCATTTTCAACAGACACAAGATAATTACAATAAGATAAAACATTACTTTCTTGACAGTTAAGATCTTACACTCTGCTAAATAGAGGAACACTTCATTCCAGATCTTTCTGTAAAACAGAAATTTTAAGAATGTTCATTCTAGAATTAAAAGTATCCACCAAGTACTCTTATTTTTAAAAGATGGAAATAAAGTCAAGTTACCTTAAAAAATTCCTTTCAATGTGTAAATCTAAATATTTTTGGAACTTGGCTATCCAAATGGTTCCAATTTATAATGGCGCTTGATACTGTGAAATGACTTAAGTTCCTAAAACACGTTTTTTTAAATGTAGGTTTTGTGGTTGGCTGTGCTTTGCAATGGTTTCTTTCAAGGGCTGAGAGTAGTTGCAAACAAGAGAAACCACAGAAACCATTCTGAGGCAAAAGGCAGGACCTGACAAGTGTTTGGAGCTAGAAGGCTGGCAAACAACATGAGTGATCTGTCTTTCATTCCAATCATTTTAAATTCTAATTAATCTTTGAGATGAATTTCAGTCCATATCCTAATTCAGTCATCATGGAGGATTAAATCACCAAATCAACTGCTTTTAATCTGCTAGTTCCTAGTATGTAAATTAGTCTTTGTGTGAGCAACATTAACAAAATGAGTATCTATATAATATCAAAGCAAAACGTATGCAAGTTCTACAATCGAAGGAAGGACAGGCATGCAGGTGCCCTGACATTCACACACACTTCCTGCTTGAAAATAAAAAGGGAACCACTCTCTGACAGAAATAGGTTTCATATCACTGCTCCCTCAGGCAGATATGTGGAGTTTTCCCCACAAGTCAAAAGGAAGCAGCAGGGTCCTAAGGGAAAGGACTTTTCCTCGGCTCTCAAAAACTTAAGAGCTGTCAGAAATTTCCGCCAGCTGCCAGGTTGTATGGAGACTTTGGGAATTCTGAAACCATTTTGAGCTAAGAGTCCATTTCCTCCCCCATATCACTTTGAGCTTCTTGGGCCCCCACCGCTGAAGTAAGACTACTGCTTTATAAACAACTTCACAACCCAGGAACAGCCAGGGAGGGTGGGGAGCTGGGGTGGGCAGCCACAGGAAGCATCTCACACCCGGGAGACACCAAGGCACTTTTAAGATGCTCCAGGCTCTTAACACCTTCAGCTGCTACAGCCTGGTTTTCTGACTAGTCATTCCTCTGTGACTAAAAGCACTCAAGACATGGACTTAGCATCTATTTTCTGCTCTCTCTTCAGCTTTCTTATTGACAGCCCACAGCCCACCCCAACAATTAGAAATGGATGTCTACCTTGTTCTCCAGCGAGTTGAACACGTTGCTCATCTCGTTGATTTTTTCATGAAGCTGATCTAGAGAGGTTATGATCCCTCCGTCCTGCCGCTGGAGGCGGGCTCCCACCGGAGGCAGGTTCAGGGAAGGCTTGTACTTGGACGCCTAGGGCACCACAGAGGGCATCTTAGGCTCAAAGAAATGGGGGAGAGGACCCCGAATTTTTCCTGGTTCCTGCTCTTAATTTCTGTTTCTCAATTTTCTATACTTTCTTCACTCCTTAACTCTTAAGATGAGTTTTAATCAATGTCTTCTAACTTTTTCCACCAAAGATTCCTCAAATTAAATTTTCGTAAGTCATGCAGGTGGTTCCAACTTGGTTTTTTGGCTTTTGTTTTTGTTTTTGTTTTGTTTTTTTAACAGACATCGCCCTTCTGTCTTCTTATCAAGGTCAGATGGCTACTAGGAGGTATTTTAGGGGAGTGGGCTCTTGCATTGAGAAACTGCAAAGTCATCAACTTGAACAGCCAATGACAAATTCCCCAAATACTTTTCTCTAAATTCTCTGCCAATATTGACCCTTCAAGTTACTCTCACATGGCACTACAGAAGCAAATTCACCTTATGAAGAAACAGGCCTAACAGAGTTTATTTCTCTGATGTTAGAACATTCCTCAATGGTAAAATAGACTGAGGATCAAAGAGGACTTAAAAATCTTAGAAAGCTTTCCACGGCAGTTTGGATGATGAAACCTATTGCTGTAGGACTGGTTCCCATAGTTTCTGAATTAGAGGTCCTTTGGGCACATATCTCATTCTCTTAAGTTAGTTTAATTACACAGAAAAATAAAGAAGAAAAAAGAATCACCTCAGTGTTCATTAATTTAATATAGTCATTAATGTTTTGGCATATTTCCTTCTATTTTGTTCTATGCATACAAATACAGACATTTATATGATTGAAATCACACTACAGATACATGTTGATTCTGTTACCCCTTCCTTTTTTGCCTAATATTCCTATAAAGCTTTTCTAATAGCCTTCAATAATCTTTTAAGTGTCTATTTTTAATGACTACATAATATTCCATTCTATGGATGTGCTAGTTTACCTACCCATTCATTTTGTTGGAAATTCTTGTTGTTTTAATTTTTTAATAATATAAATAATAAATTATATGATATATACTATCAGGCAATGCTTTTATTTAAAGCTTTGTATATATTTTGGATTAGTTTCTTAGAATAAATTCTTAAATATCAAATTATTGTGACTCAAAGAGTAACTAGGTAATATTTAATCCAAATGGAAATCTACTCATTGGAGGAAGGTAATATAGTCAATTAATTAATAAGTATACAAAATACATTTGACAAGAGGGTTTGAAAAGTTATAATATAGTTGTATGTTCTTGGAAACATACGGTCTGATGTATAAAGTCCTATGTTAATGTGTTTAGAAGAATGGGAATTAGATACAATATATGGAATATAAATAATATAAATGGAGCTAGCTGCAATATTTACATTCCTAAGTGAGCCAAAAGCACAGTTCAGTATAATCATTAGTATTAAATTGTCACAGGATTAAATTGTGCAGTTACTATATCTTAATTGCGGGACCCCCTCCTCCTGTTAATAGAATTATAATTTAAAATCCACCTGCAAAATGAAATAATCAGAGGGTGAGGCAACACAATATGACTTTGGTAAAGAAATTGGGTGGTGGTCTTTCATAGGGGCTCTCAATATACTGTGGACAAAGGATGAGAGAAAAAGGGAATAGTCTTAGGTTTAAATAAAAGGCAATACACCGAGCTAAGGAGTAGTCGATGTATCCACACTTAACTGTTCTGACAGTAATTTTACCTTGAGTGAACTGGGTGGTGATAGCACTTGTTCACCTTAACTTCTGTGGCCTGATCTGGGTCACTGTATCTTACTCTCACCAAATAGGTCAAGCTGATGAACCAATGAGAGGTGTGAACATTTTAACACTTTTACTGCATTTTTACTAATAATTTTCTTAAAAGGTTCTACCAAATATATATTTATCAGAGTTAAATATTATTAATTATATTATAATTTGCTAATTTGATAGTAAAAAAATACCCTTTATTTTAATCATTTTTTCTTTGTATTTCTACTTATAATTTTATTTTGGAGACTTGTTTGTTCATGTTATTTGCCTATATTATGAAGGCCTCAGATATTTTCATTTTTATTGATTTCTTTGAGTTATTTATATAGCAGTAAATCTTTCTAATATTTTATGTAATAACTTCTGATTTTGTCATTTGCCTCTAAGTTTATTGGAAATATTTTTATATTAAGATTTTTTAAAATTATGATGTGGATAATCTCTCTAGTCTTTTCTTTGTGATTTCTTCATGTATTTTTTTTTTTACTTAGAAAAGTATATACATACAGAGACAAAATAAATATACACTTATTTTAAACTTCTGTACTCTGACCTTTCATATTTAACCCCTTAAGCCACTATGGACTTTATTTTCATTAGGTAAGTGTGGATCTCCACTTTTTCTCCCAACAAACCAGATGGTTTTCCAAACACTGTTTGTCACCAGACTGAATTACTGCATTAGACCTCTCGACTCAAAGCAATGTACAAACCTTGCAGAGATAGCACTGATTCATTCATTCAGCTAATATTTATTGAATATGTATTAGATTTCAGGCACTGCACTTTAAGCTGAGAATACAACAGAGAGCACAATGGACTAAATCCCTGCTCTTAGAGCTTACATTCTAGAGAAGGAGACAGACAATAAAAAAATTAAATAAACAAATTAATATTTTCACCATAATGTCAGGTAGGGATGGGAGTCTATCCAAGAAAAATATAAAAGGATAAATAATGTCAGAAATGTCATGTTTTGCTTCAATTTTCATAATTTACTCTCCCTTTTTAGTAAAGATTAGCCTCTCCCTCTTTCCTTCTTTCTCTTCATTTTCTTCTTTATTCTCCTTCTTTATCTTCTCTTGGTTAAATGTTGCTTGGAGTAAACAGTTTAGGAATTAGGATGTCTTGTTATAAAACAATGATGGGGATATAATCATGGCATCACAGAGGTCGTATAGACCAACTTTGCTTTCACTGCTTCATTTGATCCACTGTGAAAAGATGTGCTTGGATTTGTGATACAGTAAGAGAATGAGGCCACCCCCAATGCAGCTATATTTAGCCAACATTCAGGGAGTGACCTACATAGCATCTATAATAGATTTAAATCATACCTGAGTTTAAAGAGATACACTCATTCAAATGCCATACACAGGTCAGATGTGAACAGAGGAGACATGGCAGGGAAAGCATTTGGACGTCTTGGACAAGTGAGACATCAAATCAGCATTGAGTGAACTTACTCTGCTTCCAGGCCTTTACTCAAGCTGGCATCTGTGCCCACATGGCAGATGTGGGTCTTTCCCTATACCCACTTACCCCACTTACCAGATGCTTGATTGCATGTAAATGAATGGTTCAACCCTTGATCAATTTTAACTGATCCTTGTGCATATGCCACAGAATTTATCAATGACCCTGTTGTCCTTCCAACAGACTACCTTGTATGAACTATTTACTGTATGCATTTTCCAGGTTGTGGACCCTTAAAAATCAATGAGAATATCTGTTTCGTCTCACATTAGGTCATGCAGTAGACTTTGTACACAGTCACTGTTCCAAAAACACACATAGAAATTGAAATGAGGCTGTTTCCTCTACCCACCCCCAAGCCCCATTGCTGGCCTGGGTCTGGAAGTGACATGATTAAAACTTCTGCCGTAACCCTTGCTGGCGTGCCCTCATTGGGCCCACAGCAGTGAATTCTTGCATGATATTTCTGAAAACTGGTTATGCTCACTTCACTGTCACTTAAACTCAATAAATCTAAATAACATTTCCCTCAAACTATACTCTTGGATTCCTCTGTCACTATTCAGAAAACCACCCTTTTTCCTAGTTACCAGCTCATAAAACCTGAGGAGTGGCTTTGAAATTATCCTTTCTCCACACCCTCACCTGTCAATTCTTTCTTCTTGTGTATTCCAGGTGATACTGCCTTGACTCTAGAAAGAAGCATAGATCCCCCTAACCCAAGCTGCTTTTACACTATAAATTATGTCAGAATATACTTCCATGATGTTTTAAGGACAGAATTTACTTTAAATTTGCAATTGCAAGACGGAACTCAAATAAGCACCATCAGCCAGCCAAAGCATCACTTAAATGGGGCTTACTTACATTTTTTCTGTTTCAGCATTTGCAATGTGAATCCCCTTTCAATTCTTAGTGCTTCCTGCTAAAATAGGAAATGGAGGGGGGGCTCCCTGGTGGGGCAAGGGGTTAAGTCTCAACACTATGAAGCTATCAGCAACCACTGCAGCACAAGTTTAATCCCCAACCAGGGAGCTACCCACATGGCTCAGCAGACCTCTCCTGTCTTGCCCTCTGCTCCCCTCAGCAGTGTATTTCAGTAGATCTGCCTGTTCTGCTCCCCACTTTGTCTCTGGTGAATTCTTTTACCACCCTCCCCCTGCAACTCTAGTCTGCACACCAGCTCTTGTATACATAAACAAACAAAATAAATATTTTTTTTAAAATAGGGAACAAAGTAAACAGATCCTTCTCTCTGATGGAGAAAGGCTACTGAACAGTGTTATGACCATAATGATGGTGGCAACAACAAGAAAACATGGTTGATGTTGGAGTGGTGGTGCTGTATTTTATAAACTGGATGAATTTTTCAATAACAGGTTTTCTCAACAGTACTTTGTTAACGGTGCTCTCCGACCTACCTGCCCCACATTCTTGGCAAGGGAACAAATACAGTGATACATGTGCAAACATTTGTGAGTGCTAGAATATTTTGCATATAAAGGAGAGTCAGCATCATGGCAGCATTCAAAACAATCTATTTGTCTTTACCTGGTAAATCTGTGTGGAAGGATTATTCATCGGTATATGTTCATTCTCTCCTGTAGGGAAAAAAGAGCTTTGTTCAATCAAAATAACTCATTTGTCCCTATCCTCTTCAAACACGTGATGGAACAGAGGACTTACAGGATCCAAAGTATGTTCCTGCGTGATAAGAAACCAATGATTAAAGAACAAAACATAAACTTGTGGAAGAAGTTTTATATTCACATTTAAAAGACCTAACCACATCTACCTGATACAACTCTTGTAGTAGAAACCCATGTTCAACCATGGTTGGGGAAGTTTCATGGTTGGGGAAGTTTCTTGACCAAGCTGAATGATTAATAATTATTGATCACCCAGAGGGGGATCCCTATAAGGGAGGTCTTCCTCATATTTGGGGGAGTGACTGAAGTTTACAGTGGTCATTCCATCGTTATCAGGAGGCCTGAGTAAAATGTCCCTAACTTCCCCTGAACTCTGACCTCCTATCCTTGCCCAGATCAGTTAAGGGGACCTAGCTGTCCTCCTGGGCAAGACAGATGAGAACTGTCAGTGGGAGTTTTTGGCAAGGGTACAGGCACAAAGAAAACACAGTGTTGTCAATCCTAGAGACTATCAGACACTGGGCAACATAAAGGAAGTAGTGGGTTACAAAAACTACTTATAAACTATGGGGTGAGGGTTTGGCTGAAAATGTACTTCTTTGAACCACGTGGTTGATTGTGAAGATGATAAGACTCATGTAGCAGGTGAAGCTAATTACTCATCCATTAGTTACATCTCTATTATATCACATTGTATGAATCAAATAGTTTATCGCTAAAAGTCCTGGTTGCAGACATTTCTTTAGAGGAATCAGCCCCAGTATATATAGTTTCTAAACAATGCCTGACTTCAGCCTGGAACTTAAACATACAGAGGGCTAGTCCTCTGCAATCCAGATGGTTTGAGAGTGCCAAAACTCCCCACACAAACTTGAGTTAAGATAGTTAGCCCATTTTATACTGTGTCCCAACAGCTTCGTAGAATGCTAAGAGGCAGAAGTTGGTAACAGAGACACTTTGTGTTTGTAACCTGTGACTGTTTCCTCATCTGTAAATTGGAAATGACAAGAGACCTTACTTTTCTATGGTTGATTCTATATGATGAAGATTAAGAGATCATTCTTATGTTTCCAATCTGTTCTAAAAGGTGTGACTGTCTATTAGTTGAGTGTGCATCTTGGCTTCATCAAGCAGGTTGTTGTGAAGCAGTTGTAAAGATTTTGCTAAGAAAAATAAGATAACTGCTGGGCCTCCCCTAGAGGCGCAGCGGTTGAGCTCTCGGCTGCAAGGCTGCCCACAGCCTCTGCAGCTCCAGTTCATTCCCCAGCCGCCATCGAGGGTCCCACAAAAAAAAAAAAAAAAAAGATAACAGCTTAGATCAAATGTATGAGAGTGTGTGTGTGTATATATGAATAATATATATGAATCAATGAATATATACATATATAAATACGTTCCTGTTTTCCTAACACCAAATCTGTGTTCTTCATGGTCATTACATGATGATAAGAGAGTGAGAACAGTCAAATTAACATATTACCTTATTTGAGACATGGAAAGATAAAACTATAATCTACGTTTATTAATCTTCAGTCCTTTTAAGGAAAAACAGAAAAAAAGTCTAACCTTGCTTTGTTTTGGTCTTTTCCATGGTGCCTTTTGCGTTTCCCCTCCAGCTTATTCTTCAACATTGCATCTTCATTGTCCCTGGGTTAGGCCACCCCCTCTACCCTGGACCTGTCAATTGAAATAAGAGTGAGGAATAACATGTAAAACTGGCCAAGTAGCTAGACTTACATTATTTGTAAATGTGAAGTGATCACAGCTGTGAGAGGCAACTGGAGGTTTTGACAATTTCAGAAGAGTGAAAATACTGAGTAAATATTATCTTAAAACTTTGCTTTGCAAATAAATATGAAATTAATTTGTTAAAGCCATTGTAGTTTTAAATATGGTACAGTCTTTTTGGATCAAATTAATTAATTTAGGTAGATTGATTTTATGAGGTTTTTTTTAGGATCTTATGCATAGGTATTTTAGGGAAATTATTTGAAAAAGAAAACATTTGGGCAAGGATGAAGACTAATATACCTGTTTTGATTTTCTTAAACAGTAACTTCTTTGATGACCTTGTCCCCAACTATAGCATCTAGTAGATTTCTCTACACTCAGGAGATGCTTATCAAATGTGGCCTGAGGGTCATAATCGTTAGATATGAAGCTATGAGCTCAGACCACAATCTAACAAACAAACAAAATGGTCAATGTTGTGGACATTGGCCCTCTTTTTAGCCATCTAGAATTTTCACTTTTTCCAATGATTGCGGAATCCCCCACCTTAAAAGTCTCCACCAGAGTCCTTCAACCATAAAGTCTAAAAGTGCCTGGTCTCCCGGTCTTCCTTGTTGCTAAGGCATGATAGACACATGATGGACTATGCCACCCAGATGCACTCACCCCAATTGACATGGGAAGTCAATTTCCTAAGGCCAATTACTTGATATGCTTTCTACTTTCTAAGAAATAAAAGGAATTCTTAATACAGCAGTAGCAGCAATGGTTGTGGGGTCATAGCTTAGGAAGCTCATGCTACTGCTGTTGGTGCTTTCCTTACTGGAATAGCCATACTACATGACTGGGGCATTGCTGCGGGTCACATAATCCCAAGCTTGGTTCTCCTGTCTTGCAGCAATGCCATGAGTTGCCCACTTCCCTCAACAAATCCCTTTTCTGCTTATATCAGCCAGAGTTGTTTTCTGTTGTTTGCAACTAAAAAATTTTGCTTGAAACAAGCAAAGCATATTAACATTAGCCAAGATTGAGAAAACACAAGTTAAAACTTTGTACATCATTCTAGAGAAGAAATACATATCTAATTTGGGCCAAAAGTTGGGGGATCTAACTTGAAAAAGAGTCAGGAACTTTAAGGTGGTGTAGTTATACAGGTGTGTACATTTGTCAAAACTCATCAAAATGAGTTAAAATTGGTTGAATTTTGTCCTATATAAATGATACCTCAAGAAAGTAGAAAAAAATGTTCCTTCCACATGTTGAGGTCTGTAAAACAAAAGAAAAAGTTGGCAGGGCAGGAAGATATACTAGGATAACAAAGCATTGATCTATAGCAACAGTTATAAATGAGCCCATGTGGTTGGAAAAACTGGACAGTTATAAGCAAAAGACTGAAACTAGAACACTATCTCACACTGCATACAAAAATTAATTCAAAATAGATTAATGACTTGAATGTAAGACCTGAAACCATAAAAAATATAAAGGAAAATAAGCAAAACACATTGAGACTGCATCTTCTCTCTCACAATTATACATCATGACAATCTATCCAAGTTCATTGGTATTGATCTAACAATTTTTAATGGTTACATAATATTATGGCACAAATGACCTATTAATCATTCCTGCATTGGACACTCCCTTTATTAATATTTATTTACCCCTGCAAACATCTTGCTACGTAGAGTCTTATATATTGGTGCTTTTACTTCTGTGAATTTTAGTGGCCATGACTAGACTTTCCCAAAAGTTTGTAATTGTTCTAATTTTCTCCAGGAGTATTATAACTTTTCTCCTGCATTCCCACCAATAGTGGGTGTTAACACTTTTTACTTCTTGCAAGTCAGATGGGTAAGATATTTCAGTTACTGATTTGCTGATTGCTAGTGTTATTAAGCATCTCTACATATACTTACTGGATATTTAGATTCTCTCATATATGAATTATCTACTCCTTTGATTTGCATATTTTTCTACTAGGCCATCTGCCTTTTTCTCATCCATTAGTAAGAGCTTTTAGATACTAAAACTTGAATCTTTATCAGATGCATTATGAATATTTGTGCCATCTATCTTTTTGTCTGATATTGTGATCACTTTTGATATTGAAACAGTTTTAAATTTATGAAGTCAAATAGAATTTTTTCCTTAATTGTTTCTATATACATATATTTAGCTATATGTATATATGTATATACACACACGCATTCGATTTCATTATCTTCCAGGTAGATAGCCATTTGTGCTTGCACTAGTTATTACATAAAGCATCCTTTGCTTTCATGGAACTGGAATGTCATTTTTGTCACATATTAAATTCCCATTAAGCACTGAATTCTACTATAGGTTCTCTATTCCGTCCTGATCTATTTATTTTTAATCTAAAACCACAATTACATATGTTCATCAGTGTTTTTTAAACATATAATAAGACATATCAACTATTATTCTTTTTATAATTTGATTAACTTAATTTTCTCTTTAGTCTTATTTTACTAAAATTATTATTAGGGATATTGTATTTTATCAGTCCTTCTAGCAACTGTTGAGGGAACTGCTTTTTTCTCCTTTAATTTATTATTAATGAATCATGTTGATTCCCTAAAAGCAAACAATTTTCATGTTCCCGGAATATTTGCTTCATCATAAGAAATAATTCTTTTTATACACTGTGGGATTATAGTTGCTAATATGTAGACACTTTAGCTTCTATATTCTATGAGTGATTTTGATCTACAGAGGGTTTATTTTTTGTTTTTCTATACTGGGGCACATTAAGGTTATGCTAGCTTCTTAAAATGAAGAGAGATATTTTTCTCTTTTTCTATATTATGGAACAATTTTAATGAAATCAGAGTCATTTATTCTTTAAAAGATAATAAATTTAATTTTAAAAATACTTGATCCTGTTGCCTTTTTTAAAAAGGTAGACAGATATTTAAACCCTTTCCATTTTCTTCACTTCTTCACTTTCTTTACTATCTGCAACTTTTCTAGTTAATTTTATAAGTTTTATTTTCCTAGAAAACCATGTGATTCCTTAAGTTTAAGAATCTTTCTGTGTTCTATATAAGGAATGTTAGAGAGGGAATTAACACTTACTGTGCAACTTCTATGTGCCAAGTACTATGCTTCATATTTTATTAATATTGTCACATTTCATTGAATTTTCATGTGACCCAGTATCATATGTATCATTATTCTCTTTTTATTGAGAATATTGAAGCATAGGAAAATGAGGTAAAAAATATAGCCAGGATGCTCAGAAGAAATGGCAAAATGAGTCAGGAATGGAACTCAGGTCTCTGTGATTTCAAAAGCAGTGATTTCATCTCTCCTGGCTCTCTTCAAGAAATTTCACAAGCATTATATTTTATTACTGAAAACAAATTGTTTGAGGAGATATGTCATTGTTTTCTTCCCTCCCCCAGTTATTAAATGTGAGATTATTTTCTGGCTTTCACTGTAATAAATGATTATCAAGAGCTTTTTTCATATTTAAATTTTTTTCCCCTCAGGGAAATTCTGGAAGAGAATTACTAGTTTAAACAATATGTTAGTATTAATGACTAATACATATTGAAAGACATGTTTTAAAGAGAAGAATGGCACCAAGATTTACATGGCATCTTGAGATCTAGTAATTCTTTACTGTGTGCTTCATAGGCCAGTGAATTCTACCTTTGAATAAATAATCATCAGATGTTTCTACAACACACCTAACACATTCCAAGCTAATGTGGCTTCTACTCTTCCATCTTTTCCTTCCATTTCAACAATCCCAGTGTTAGCCTCTAAAAACACCCATCTGGGCCTGGACAGATTTTTGGAAAAATATTGCTACATTTTTAGGAAATGGTCGTTAGTCTCCAAACCAGACTTGATTACAACACAGAGCAGTGTTTGTCAGTCCATGCTCTTTAAAGCTCTCAGACTTTTGAACCTGGTTTGGAAACTTAGAGAAAGTCACCAAGCTGGTGATCATCACATCCCCTGCCCATCCCCTTCAACCAGAGTCTCTCTGCTCTTATGTGATTCTCCTATTGCAGTCTGGGAGAGAATTTCCTTCTAAAGCCAGTTTCTGCTACTTCATAAAATCATTTCAATAAAGATATAGGAATGTAGAAACATTAACCTAAAAAGTTATAGCCAGATTTTTAAGAAATTCATTCAAATAATAAAGATAATAGAAGCCCAAAGAATACCAGAAAATCTCCTGACCCTCCTTGCAGACTGACCTAAAATGTATGCTTCACACACATACACGCAGAAGACCACAGAAACTAAGCCTTGCTTATTACTTTCCAATTACTGCTGCTACAGAAAAGGAAAGCTTGGCACTTGGGGGAATTGAAATTAATTGAAAGCAGACTTGAGTTAATTTCCATGTCAGTGTCCTTTATTGAATGGGTCTTTAGTGCATATTTTTAATTTAGTAAAATGAGAACTTTTTATGTTGGGTGGGTGGGGGGTTGAAGTGAGGATGTATTCTTCCCCTAAAACTAAAGTAATTAATTCATCAGGACAAATCCTGCAAACATTTTCAGAGAAGAGTGTCTGCATAGTCTTTGTGATGTAGAAAAATAGTTAAAAAATGATGAAAGGGGTTGTTTGTTTTGTCAATGAGTCAAAGGAAACATATAGTTCACCAAGTAAGATATTTTATGACTTTGTTTGCACATGCATCCTGGTATTCAAAGCACCCTCACACATCAGCCCACTTCATCCTTGCAGCCATGCGAGGCTGTGGGCAAGGCACGTGTTATTATCCTTTTTATGCAGAAGGAAACTCTAGCTCCAAATAATTACTTACCCAAACTTACACAGGAAGTAGCTTCAAGTAAGACCATTCCTCTTTCTATTATTTTTTTTTAAATAAACTGCTTTATGCCACAGAAATCCAAAGCTCCACTTTTCCTGTCATTAAAAATATATTGATTCCTGTGTGGGTTTTGATAGCTTTGGGGGAAGAAAAAAAACAGATTGAATGGATTGATCGAGTGAGGAAGTTCTGGCAAATCCGATGAGACCGGGTGATTGAGAGAAAAAGAAAGAATATAATATAGGGTAAAAAAAGGGTTATAACCACTATGAACGCTGTTTTTAAAATTCTATACGCAATTTATTGCCAGTAATTTTTTTTTTTTTGTGGGACCCTCGCCTGCAGCTGGGGAACGAACCAGTGCTGCAGAGGCTGGGGGCAGCCTTGCAGCCCAGTGCTCAACTGCTGTGCCACCAGGGGAGGCCCGCCAGTAATTTTTAAATCTAAATGAAGCAGACAATTTTCTAGAGAAACATAAATTTGTTTTAAAAACTGCGAGGACTTCCGAAGTCATTCTTCAAGGAAATAGAGCAAACATTACTGAAATTTATATGGAAAACAAAAACTGTGTATAGCCAAACAATCTTGAGAAACAAGAAAAAGAATAGAGGCATTATGACTCCTGACTGGAAACTAGACTAGAAAGCACTACTAATCAAATACAGTATGGCATCAGAACAAAAGCAGGCACCAGCATAAATGGAATAGAAGTGAGAGTGCAGAAATGAACCCACACCTGCAGGGACAGTTAATTTATGACAGAGGAAGCAAGACGGAGACAATCTTTCCAACAAATGGTGCTAGGAAAAATGGACAGCCACATGCACAAAAATTAACTAAAAAATAGATTAAAGACTTGGATGTGAGACCTGAAATACTAAAATACATAAAAGAAAACAGGCAAAACACTCCACAACATTGACCTTAGTGATGCCTTTTGAGACTTGACTCCAATGCCAAAGGAAACAAAACCAAAAATTAACAAATGGGACTACACCAAATTAAAAATTTTCTGCACAGCAAAAGAAATTATCATTAAAACAAAAACGCATCTTGGGCCTCCCTACTGGCACAGGCAGTTGAGCGCAGCACTGGGAAGCTGTCTTCAGCCTCTGTAGCGCGGGTTGGATCCATGCCGGCAGGAGAGAATCCCACATGGCGCAGCAGACCTCTCCTGTCTCGCCCGCTGCTCCCCTCAGCAGTGTATTTCATCAGTCTGCCTGTTCTGTTCCCCACTTTGTCTCTGGTGAATCCTCTCACCCTCCCGCGCATCTGGCCTGTACCCCCGTTCTTGTATAAATAAATAAATCTTTAAAAAAAATGCATCTGACTGAATATACTGAGAAAATATTTATACATCATACATTTGACAAGGAATTAATATCCAACATTTATAAATAATTCACACAACTCAACAACAACAAAATAAATAGC